GATTGTAAGCAGAAGCTAGAGAGTTTAAAATTAATGATATCTATCCTTACTTTGTATAAAAAATTAGATCAAATTTACATATAGTATTAGGATTATCTCCTATTGGTGGATAATTAAGAGTTCGATTGAGAATGTTCCCAAGTTTAGTTAATTGTTGTACTATTGAGTGGTTGCATAAATGGCCATAAGAAGCTTTAATGAGTGTGGCAGAAATGTTTTTGGAAACTTTAGAATTTGATGGACTTACCAAGGATATGAGATAAAATCTTTATTAAATGTGTGTTCATGTTCATTAGAGTGTTGAAAGAAAATGTGATGAATTTTATGCTGCTTTGAAAAGAAATGTTTATGTTACTCCTAAATCTTATCTTGATTTAATAGAGTCTTACAAGACTTTATTAATGATGAAAAAAGAAGAATTACAAACAAATAAACTTAAATTATCTTCAGGATTACATAAATTACATGAAGCTAATAGTATTATTAGTGATTTAAAAGTAAAATTAACAGAAATGTAACCAATTTTGAAATAAAAGACTATTGATTAAGAACTTTTACTGTAAAAATTATAAGTAGATTCTACAGAAGCAAATAGGGTAAAATAATTGGTATCAGAAGAAGAAAGATAAGTCAATGAATAAGCATCTCGAATAAAAGAAACAAAAGCAGAAGCTGATAAAATTTTAAATGAAGCTATTCCTACATTGAATGCTGCTACAGAAGCACTTAATACACTAAATAGAAATGATATCTCTGAAATAAAAAGTAATAATAATCCATAACCCATTGTACGCTTTACACTAGAATGTGTTGCTATATTATTTGAAGAGAAATTAGATTGGGATTCAATTAAAAAACTATTAGCTGATCCTAATTTCTTATCAAAAATGAAAGGATTGGATGTTGGTAGGATTAAACCTGTAACTTAAAATAAAATAAAAGCTAAAATTGCTAGTAATCCAGAATTTATTCCAAATTTAGTTTAAAAAGTTAGTGTTGCTGCAAAATCAATTTGTGAATGGGTTAGGGCTGTGAGTGAATTTACTGATGTTAATAATGATGTAGAAAAAAAGAAGAGTTAAGTTGAAGCTATGAATCTATAATTAGATAAAGCAAATAAAGTATTAGTTTAAAAACAATCAGAATTAGCTTAGGTGGTTAGAAAAGTTACAGAATTGGAAATTTAATTTAATTAAAATAAATAGGAAAAAGATCGACTTGATTAAGATATTTAAACAACAGAATAAAGATTGGTAAGGGCTGAAGAACTTACAGTAGGATTAGCAGATGAATAAGAAAGATGGAAAATAAAAGTAGAAAGTTTAACTGAAGAAATATAATTACTTTTAGGTAATGTATTCTTAGGTGGTTCAACAGTGGCTTATATGGGGCCATTTACAGGAACATTTAGAAATTAATTAATTTAAAATTGGATGGAAAAAGCTACAGAATTAACAATTCCTTTGAGTGAAAAGTATAATTTTGAAGCAGTCTTAGGAGATGCTCTTGAAATTTAATAATGGTCAGCTAATGGATTACCTAATGATACAGTTTCAAAATCAAATGGCATTATTTAAAAATTTAGTAGATCTTATCCTATGTTTATTGATCCATAATTATAAGCAAATACTTGGATCAAAAATAGTTATAGAGATCACAATTTAAAAGTTTTGAAGATTACTTAAGAAGGTCTTATAAAACACATAGAAAATGCTGTATAAACAGGAATTCCTTTACTTTTAGAGGATGTTTAAGAATAATTGGATAACTTTTTAGAGCCATTATTGTTGAAATAATTTAATATAATAAATAGAAGAAAGATGATAAAGATTGGAGATAGAGAAGTTGAATTCGATCCAAATTTTAAATTATTTTTCAGTACTAAATTGGCTAATCCATAATTTTTGCCAGAAATATTTATTAGAGTAACAGTAATTAATTTTACAGTTACAGAATAAGGTTTAGAAGAATAATTACTAGGAGATGTAGTATAGATTGAGAAACCAGAAATGGAAGAGGAAAAGAAGGACTTAATTAAAAGAATTTCAAATGGAAATATGAATTTAAGAAAGAATGAAGAAAAGATTTTAAATTTATTAGCAAATTCTAAAGGAATGATTTTAGATAATGTTGATCTCATTGAAAATTTGAAAATCTCAAAATAAGATGCAATTTAAGTTAAAGAAAGTTTAGTAACATAAGAATAGAAATCTGCTGAAATAGAAGCAGCTAGATAATAATATTTACCTGTAGCAACAAGAGGTAGTTTACTTTATTTTGTTATTGCAGATTTTACATTAGTAGATCCAATGTATTAATTTTCATTGAATTATTTTAAGAAACTTTATCAGAATGTTATTAGAAATTCAGAGAAAAATGATGATATAAAAATAAGAATATCTACTTTAATAGAAGGTATTACTGAAACAATTTATTCAAATGTTTGCAGAGGTTTATTTAATTAGCATAAGAGAATATTTTCATTTTTAATGACTGTTAAAATATAATTGAATGCTAAATAAATTAGTTTTGCTGAATGGAATCTTTTTGTAAGAGGAGCAAGTTTATCTATTTAACCACCAGCTATGCCTAATACAGTTAAATTAACTCCTAAAATTTGGAATGAATTGTATTAATTGACAACTGTCCATTAAAATTTTATATAAATCTACAATTAAACATTGACTAATTTCAAAGAGACTGAACAATTAATATAATCTGATAATCCTTGGAGTTTAATGAATGAATAATTGACTCCTTTCTAAAAATTAATGATAGTTAAAGTATTAAGAGAAGAAGAATCTTTATATGCAATGACCTATTATGTAGATGCTATCTTAGGAAAAAAATATACATCTAATAATTAAGCCTCAATTGAAGATATTTTCAATGATACTGATCATAAAACACCATTTATTTTTATTTTAAGTTAGGGTGCTGATCCATTATCTAGTTTAATGAGATTAGCAAGTTAAAAGAAAATTTCATCTGAGAAACTTAGAATCATTTCACTTGGTTAAGGATAAGGAATAATTGCTGAAAAAGCTATAGAAAGTGGAGTCAAGAGTGGTGATTGGGTAATATTATAAAATTGTCATCTTGGTAAATCATTTATGCCTACTCTTGAAAAAAGATTAGAATGGTTTGAAGATCCAGAATTATAATCATAATTTAATACTGGATTTAGATTGATGTTAACAAGTATGCCTTGTGATTATTTCCCTGTAAGTGTACTATAAAATAGTATTAAATTAACAACTGAACCACCTAAAGGATTGAAATCAAATATGTTTAAGAGTTATACTGATCTATCATCTGAATAAGTTGAGAATTGTGATAAAAAGGAACCATGGAAAAAACTACTCTATTCTCTAGCATTTTTCCATGCTATAGTTTAAGAGCGTCGTAAATTTGGACCTCTAGGCTGGAATATAAGATATGAGTAAAAATGAATATATACATAGATTTAATGATTCTGATCTTGAAACTTCATATACATTACTTAAAAATTTCCTTGATTTACCTTAAGATATACCTTGGGATGCTATTGTTTATGTAATTGGAGAAATTACATATGGTGGTAGAGTTACGGATGATTGGGATAGAAGATGTTTGTTAACCATATTATCCAAATTTATTAAGTAAATCATAAATTTATAAATTTAGTGAAGATGCACTTAACGATGGATATTCTTTCTCAGATTCAGGTGTATATAAATAATCTCCTGAGACAAATATAGAAGGATATAGAAATTTAATTAATAAATTCCCTGATTTTGAGAAACCTGAAGTTTTTGGAATGAATGAAAATGCCAATATTACTTTTAAATTAACTGAATCAAAAATGGCATTATCTACTATTTTAAATATTCAACCAAGAGAAAGTGCATAAACAAGCGACTCAGATAAAAAAGCAAAAACTCCAGATGAAAATGTTTTGGAACTCTGTGATATTTTGGTTTAGAAACTTCCATTTCTTATTAAAGAATAAGAAAAAAAGAAGAAATAAAATGTTCCCTAACATAATTAATCTGAAATCGATTCTCTAAAAGTTTGTTTAAATTAAGAAGTTTAAAGATTTAATAAGCTATTATCAGTAATTGGAAATTCAATAAAAAATTTACAAGCAGCTATCAAAGGAGAAGTTGTTATGTCTGCTGAACTTGATAAAATGTATAGTTCTTTACTGAATAATTAAGTGCCTTAAATTTGGGCAAATAAAGCTTATCCATCTTTAAAGCCTTTAGCTTCCTTTTATGATGATATGATTAAAAGAGTTAATTTCTTCAGAGATTGGTTTAACTTAGAATTTGGATATCCAAAAGGTTATTGGATCTCTGCCTTCTTCTTCCCATAAGGTTTTCTAACTTCAGTATTATAAACATTTGCAAGAAAAAATTAAATTGCGATTGATATTCTTGGATTCAGTTTCAAATTCTTTAATTATATAGACAGCGAAATGGTAATATATATGTAATATATTTAGATTACATCAACACCTGATAATGGAGCATATATATATGGTTTATATGTTGAGGGATGTAGATTTGACATAAATAAAGGTATACTAGAAGATTAGTTGCCAGGTTAAACTATTTTCTAGGCTCCTGTTATACATTTTATACCTACTTAAGACTATAAACCTAATCCAAGCGAATATTCAATGCCTCTTTATAAAACAAGTAATTTATTAATTTTAAAATTATTAGGTCTTCGAGCAGGAGTATTATCAACTACAGGACATTCAACTAATTTCATTAGAGCTATCGAATGTCCTACTAAGAAGAATCCTGATTATTGGATTCTCAATGGAGCTGCCTTTACAACCCAACTAAATGATTGATAATATATAATATAAAGTTCAAATTTGATTAAAATAAAGTCTAGTTATTCTTTGTTGCATCAAATAATAAATATAATTTTTAATATTATTTAGAGTGAAATTTGGCAATTTTAGCAACATTAAAGTCACTATTTTCTTTTCTCATATAGTTTAATAAATGAATAAATTATTCACTTTAAGTCTACTATTTTCTATTTCTATAGCATAAATGACATTCTAAAAGACAAATTTAGAAAATGATTAGGAACAATTCTACATTTTAATTCAAAATTAGCCTATTACAGGATTTTGTTTCATGACTATAAATTTGATTGAAGAAAATAATGATTTTGCTATTGAAGAAGCAGATGGATTTAAATTAAATTTTATATAAGGAAGTGTTGGACTCTAAACAAATATTATGTTTGCTGGAGCCTACTCATATTAATACAATTCTTGTGTAAACACAATAGAAGTTGATATTGGGCCTATAAAGACATTACATTTAAAAGCCAATATACTTATAGAAGTTATCTTTAAAGGATCTACATAACAAAAATTATATTCTTAATTAATTTCTTATAATCAATATATCAATACAAGTATTATTTATTACATAATTTAGATTTGAATATTAAAACAGATTCTTAGGTCACTAGCGCAATATGTAATTTTAATATTACATATAAACCTATAAATTTTATAATTGAAGAAGATTAAATTGTTATTACTTTTCCTTATAGAGATGAAGATGCCATTGTTCCAAAATCAGAATATTTTAACTTTAAAACACCAAACTGTAGAATTGAATAAGATGGTCACTTAGATGATTCAATTTTATGCTATTTCCTATAAAATTAACTTAAAATAACCAAAATTAATTCTTAATCTGTCTTAAATATAATAGTATAGGATTTTGTAAATCCATAAAACCTAAAAGAGATTAGCAATATTTAATTTGAGTTACAAAGATTTTTTACATCAAAATATTTTATAGTTGAGAGCTCTGTTTTAAGCTATTAAAGTACTATAATCAACTAAGATATTTTTGCATATCTAATTTAAAGTGACGATCATATTAACACTTTAAATAATTTTCAAATATAAATTAAATATTAGGACTTTTTATATTATGATACAATTATGATTATTACATTTCCAAATCAATTCCTTAATACTTAACCAACCATAACATTAAGTGATAATTTGAATACCAATTTTATAGCTAATTTTGTTGATTAAACTTTAACTTTGTCCAATTTTATCAAGAATGAAGGTAAATAATCTAATATAATATTATCATTTTAAATTCAAAACCCTTTAATTTAAAAAATATATCAAGGTTTAAAAGTTAAATTTATTTGGCAAAATTTTGATATAGCTGAATCTATTCCTTAGAATATTATTTTCAGTCCATTAACCTTTAAATCATTTAACATGGAAAGTTCAAATAAAAATCTTATTGAATAAACTTAATTATGCTTTACTTTTGAATTTGCCAAAAGCTTTTATGAATATTCTTATTTAGAAATAAATTTCTTTTCAAACATAAATTTTGATTCTTTAGTTAGCATAACTGAATCATAAAATATTAATTCTAATTCATAAATAGATATGGACGGGAAAAATGTCAAAATTAAGAATATTTTCATAAATTCTTAATTTGATAAATAAACTCATTTCTGTCTTAATGGAATTTATAATCCATCTTATATTGATCAAGATAATGAAAGCTATACTTTTTCTATTATGTTCGATAATTTTTAATAGGTTATTAATAATTAAAAATAATTTTTAAATCTATAACATGGATATTTAGAAATAATTTCTTTGAAACAAAATTAAGAATAAACAAATTAAAAAGAAAACATAATTAATTTAAGTTTTAAGTCATAAACTGGCTTGTTAGAAAATGACTTTATTCTCATTTATTTCGATTTAAATAATTACTTTTTAGAAAGCCTTTTGAGTGATAATAATCAATTAACATGTGAAATCAATGAGAAATAGAGTTCTTGCTCCCTTTAAGAAAATACTTTAAAAATATAAACATCCACAATTTTCAAAGCTAAATCTTTATTAAATATTTAAATCAATAATTTTATATCTAATCGATCTCTTAATCCAATCAATAATATAAACATTAAAACTTTTCATAAAATTTATTTAATTGACATTTTACCTTATTCCCCAAACTTAAGTGTATCAAAACCTAATAATTTGGATTATTTTGTTGTTGAAGCTATTAAAAATTAATAAACATAATCTATTTCAATCTAAATTCACATGTAATTTAGAATCCCCCTCAAATAGACTGATTCAATCATTATTTTAATACCATAAAAAATCAATTGTAAAAATTGTATTTGTTCGTTTCATGAATGTACAATAACTAATTAAAAAATTACTTTAAATAATTTATATGATATTAATAAAATACTTTACATTGAGATTTTATCAGCCTAAAATACAGATAATTCTTTATCAATACCCCAAACTTAAATTCAAGTTAAAGATTAACTTGGTTTTTTAATATATGAAGATTAAACTTAATTGACTACATAAATTAATTAATTTAAAAAATTCAAATTAACTCCAGAATATGATTATATTGGAATTCGTTCAAATTATTTCCTGCAATTCATTTCTAGCATAAATATTAATCAAAAGAACACGCTTATTTTAGATTTTGATCCCGATTTCAACCTAAATTAAATACAATGTCCTTAAGAGTATTAATGCCATTTAAATTAGAGCCAATTAAAATTGAACTTCCTCTTTTAAATTTAATAAAATCAGAATATTACTTTATTGATTGAATCAGTTATAAATCCAAACTCTATGAATTCTCTATATTTTTACACTTTATCTTAATATAATGAAAATAATACTTTGGTGTAATAAAGTTCAATAAAATCAGATTATTTTAGATGTTAATTTGACAACTGTATTCTTTGTTATTCTGATTATTGTTAATAGTGTGAGAAAGGTTTATTAAAACTCTCTGGAAAGTGTTTATATGATTGTCCAGAAGGATATATAATTATTAATGAAAGCTGCAAAAAGTGTGAAACTACAAATTATTGCTCAACATGCTCATCAAATAACTTATAATAATGTTTATAATGCTAAGATGGGTATTTTTTAGAGAATAATATTTGTATTAAAATAGATTTTATACTAAATAATCATCTTAATACAACATCTCCAAATGAAAATAATAGTTTATAGAATTCAACCTCTAATTATAATTCAGATATTCTAACCTAAAATAAAATTGTAAAAAATAATACTAAAAAATCATACTCTTTGGGTTTACTCAATTATTTAGAAGCAGGATTTATTTGCTCATTAATACTTTATAAATTAGTAAATAAAAATTTTTCGATGTTTTTTACTTTATCAATAATGCTTGGATTTTCAATCCCAATTTTTAGAATATTTTCATTAGTATTTTTTACGATTTAAGAATAATATCTATTTTCATCATTTACTTTGATTTTATTTTTTTTGAGTTAATTGTAAAGTTTTCATTTTCAAGCTTAGATTGAGATTCCATTATTAACAGATATACTATACAAATAAAATGTTTAAAAATAAAATTACTTTTATATAAACAATTTACTATTTAAATTTTTAGATTTTAGAATAATTTGCATGTTAAAAAGCAGATTAGCAAAATCTAATTTATTTAATTTTTCATTTAAATACAATGAAGAAATTAAAATTGCTCTGGCCACAAATTACAAACGATTAACAACAGTATAAAATCCTCTTTAATTTGGATTGCTTCTAACTGCCATAATTTTTTATGAGACAAATAAGTAAAATTTATTTAAAATATTTAGTTATTAATTTGAGTTCTTGATATATTCTTCGGTGGAGTGGTTGGCGAATGCAATCATATTATACTAATTAAAGAAAAATTAATTCTGATATTTGAATAATTAAAAAAAATACTTTTTATTAATTATCAATATTTATTTAAGTAGATGATTCTATCATCAATGTCGATTAATTATTTAATTATAAAGATTGAAAATAAATATTAAAGAGTATGAATTAAAAAAAACAATTTAATAAAATTTACTGAATTGAAAAGTTTGTTGGTGATATTAATTCATTTTCTAAAATTTTGATGTTATTTAAAATATTTTTTAAATGCCATAAAATTATATAAAATTTTGAGAATAAGCTATTTTGAAAATTTTAGATTGATAAAATTAATTATTGAAAGTTTGTAGTAAAGAATTTGTTATAATTGATTTCAATGAATGCTTTACTATTCTTAAGTTTTATAATATTCAATATGAGATTACATATCTAAAAGCTTTTTTCTACAAAAAAATATTAGAATGTTTCATTTAAAATCATTATTAAAAAAGTAAAAATACAGAGCTTCAATTATTTTTAAAACAATAAAGAATAATAAAAACTTATTAATAAAGTTTGATTTCATTAAAATAATTATGAAGACATTAAATAGAAAATAATCTCTTATAAATTATATTAATTTTGAGTAATATTTTTAGATTAGTAAGAAGAAATAGATTGATAAGCATTTATTGTTAAATTATAGAATAAATTGAAAAGCCGAAAATATTTAGAAGAATTATATATTGATATAAATATGTGAAAATTATTTTATTATATTATTATGATTTACGATTAACCAGAACACTTTGGACTTTTCGAGAAAACAGTAACAGCTAAAGAGAAAGAAGAAGTGAAATAATTTTTGAAATACGATAGACATGTTCCTTTAAAATTAACTGAGTAAGTATTCCATGCAGAAGCGTATTAAATTTAATTGTCTACAATAGAGATGCTTCAAGATTTGAAAGATTAGGATAAGTCGGAGGAGCAGTCTATTCATTTTCATTCTTTTTCTTTCCAATAATAAAAGGTTTACCAATAAAACAGAGACTATTTTGGGCTGCAGTTCCAGGAGGTATTGTTGCATGGTTAGGATGGAGAATAAAAGAAGAATTAGAATGGAATAGAGTTTATAATTGTTATTAAAAATATCAAGTAGCTCATTCGATGCACAAGAAAGTGTTCATCTGAGAATTATAGCAGACACACAAAATATAAATATATAAAACCAAAAATATCCTATTTAATAATTAATTTATCATGTTTTTTGAGTTAGACGACATCAGAAGAAGACATTCGTTGTATTTTGATTGTTATAATGCTGGTGTATGGACAGATGCTCCTGAGAAGTAAATCATCTCTTTCATAACTTAGTTCATGGAGATGGAATTTTACAAGAGGAGCAATCTCAGGATTATTGGGAAGTGTTGTAGGTGAAACATGGCATAATTTTTATGAAAATTGGAAATTATTGTAATTAATATTTATATAGATAAGGTTACGATCATATGAATAACCAAATAATATGAAAGAATTGTATAATTTTAGTAAAGCAACTATTAATCTTGAGAATTTCAGAAGATCAATGGGTACTAGAATGTAATTTGCTTTTGCCTCAGGTGGTATTGATTGGGCTTTGAGATTAGCAACATTTAGAGCTATTAATCATGGATGGCAAAGTATTTATATTAAATATTAAATTAAGGAACTTGGGGTACATTTGAATATGGTTTCATGAGAAAAATTCCTGGCTCTATGTTCATGGCTCTTGTTACTGCTCCTATTGGAATTCCATTTGAAGTTGCTAGAATGGCATATTATGCTGATAAAACATTCCCTAAAGAATTATAAAAAGGATATACTTCATTTTTCAATGCTCTATGGAGAATTCCATTTGAAGAAGGACCATACTATTTCTATAAAAATTCATTCCCTCTCTTCGCTAGAAACTTTTTATAAACATTAACTCTATTGTACTCTTTTGATTGGATGAAGGATAAAGTAAATTATTATATAATTATATCAATAGCTTTCTGTTCTTACAAGAGTTTCAGAAATCCCATATTTCCCAGTTAAGGTTTTAAATTGTTTCTTATCTACATACTTGGCAATCATAACTAGTTATTCCCTCTCTTAAGTGACTCGAGAAATGGTAGATTTATGGCCAAAACCTAATGGCGTTTGTCCTTATGACGGTAATTATAGAAAAGCTGCTACTCATATTTGGTATATTTATTTTATATTTTTAACTAAGGTATGCTAGAAATTTCAATAACTATTTCCCAGGAATGTTAAGAAATTATGCTAGTAGATAATTCTTACCAATGTTTGTAACACTTTGGTGGGCTGACTCTTTTGGATTATTTACTTACTGGAAAATAGATATGTTTAGTGGAGCAGGATCAAACACATGGGAAGATTCATTTTGTTGAATTTTATCAATAAATATATTCAATTCCAAAATAGAACAATTATTATTAATTTTTTATCGCGTTTTTTAATATAACAATTTTTCATAATTATATTAATGAAAACTACATTGCTATTAGTATTGGTTGTTTGTATTTTTACTACAAATACAGCTATGTTTGATAAAATTGAAAGTAGTGATTTAGGTAGAACACTTTTAAATACAATTGCTATTTAAATGACAACTGGTGAACCATTAAAGAATTTTTTAAACACTTTATGATTTGGAAGATAGATATATCGCTGACTAAAAAGAAGATGATACTAATAATTAAGCTTTCTAATAAGTATGTGATGCAGATTTAGCTGCTTTAAACTAAGAACTTGCTAATCTTGAATAAAGAAATACAGAATTATAAGCTGTTCTTGATGATCTGATCCCAATTAGAGATTAAAAGATTGGATAAAAGAAAGCAAAAGAACTCTAAAAGGCTGAATTATAAAAAGTTATAGATGAAACAACAGCTAAAAGATAAGAATAAGCTGAAGATTTTGAAGCTTAAAGATAAGAATATACATTTGTTTCATCAGTATTGGCTGAAGCAAGAAGACTCTTCACAGATAATTTATAAGCTCCATCTTTCTTATAAAAAGGTGAAGAAAAGGTTCATATAACTCCATAAATCATGGCTTAAGTTGCTAGTCATATGAGTTAAGGTGCACATAAAGCCAGTACAATGAGACATGTTAGAACATTTGGAAAAGCTATAAAATTGTTAGCAAATCTTGCAAACAGAACTCAATAATTTGCTAACTAAGAATTAACAGGCAGAGTTATTAAATTAATAGATGATCTTTAAAATTAATTAAGTTAAGCTTTTGATTTAGCCAGAAAAGCTGAAGATGATAGAACCAGAGCTTTCTAAGCATATATGGGTTTATTAAACAAAGACATGAATAAATACAATTCATCAATTGCTAATTTAACAGCTGAAATTTAATCACTCTAAGACAGAATTGATGCTACTACTTCAAGTTAAAATGATGTTCTATTAAGAATTTAAGCTAAGACTCAATAAAGAGATGATAGAAGAGGAGAATGTTAAGAATCTGCTTATGATTACTAATAAAGAAGATCAGCAAGAGATAAGGATAGATAAACAGTTAGTGATTTGATTGGTATTTTGAATTCCAACATGAGAGATCTTAAAGAATACATTGCTTTAAGAATTGCTGCTGGTGATAAGAACCTTGAATGAAATTAATATATAATTATCATAATTGAACTTATTGATATTCATACATATATACTTTCTTTCAAATTAATTTATTTCTATTTTCTTTTAAAATAATTATCTACAGAAATAATTAGAATTATATAATATTTTAGAAATTCTACATTGTAAATCAATAATTAAAAGAAATAATAATATCAACAACAAGATTTTTCAGTATCATTTTTATTATCAGAGACACCAATTTTAATGGCTGGTCTCTGATCTTTAGTTTATTGTTATTTTAATCTTTCTTTTTCATTAACTAAATCACCAATATGATTGAATAATTCCTAGAATTTTTAAAATAAATACAAAAACACCAATATTCTGTTTACAACTAGTTTCAAAAACCTTAATATTAGGATCACATATGTAAGCATACTATTAAACTTCTTCTAAAGGTACTTTAGATTCTAAATCAATTTTGTTTGCAATAATAAATTTAGCTAAACTAAAAATCAAGATTACTAATATCTGGTAATCCTTCTTCATTTAGTTTTTCTAACCAAAATTTAAGTACTTCAAAAGATTTAGGTCTTGTTACATCATAAACTATGATAGCAAAATTTGCATCTTATTAATATTTGTTATTATAAAATACCCATATAATATAGTTTAGCAATGCTTCTATAAACTTCTTATCCTGCAGTGTCCCAAATCTATAATTCTATTAATCTACCATCTCTTATAATTTATTTAGGAGAAAATTCAGCACCCAAAGTTTAGGTTCTTACTTCTGTAAAATCATTTTTAGTGAATCTTTAAATCAAACTACTTTTGCCAACTGCATAGTCCCCTAAAGTAACAATTTTACTTTAAATAGGTTTTTGCATAATAATATTTATATTTGTTTTTTATTTTATGTAATACTATCATTATCAGAACTTGTCTAATGTGGATAAATCTTAAGGCAATTATTATAATTTATCTGGATATTATTTGAGGATTTATTGTAAAACCTAAAAAAATAATAAATGAAATTTTATACTTCATCATCAGTATGTTTTTTAGAATCAGATGCTTCTTCTTCATATTTAACAAATGAGATTGCAACTCCATTAGTTTCTTATCTACCAGCTCTTCCTACCTAATAATATGAATAATAAATATACTCTATGTAAATATGTTTCTAAAGAATCAGGCATATCAAAATTGATAACATAATTAACTTTATCAATATCTATACCTCTTCCCATAAGATTAGTAGCAACCATTAATCTGAAGTGTCCATTTCTAAATTACTCATATGTTTTTTATCTCATTTTTTAATGATCTGGTCCCAATCTATTTCCACCATAGAGTTATCTAACTGAATCTTCACCTTTTTTTTTAAGTTCTGAGACTAATGCATCTGCCTTTTCTGAACTTTTAACAAAAATAATGCATTAATTTAATTTGCATGTATTTAAAATTTATCTTAAATAATGGAATTTAAGAGTTTCAGGAACTTTCATATAATATTGCTTCAATTTATCCAAAAAGAGTTATTCTGGTTTAATTGTAATCTCATAAATCTGTAAAATTTTTATAATAATAATTTACATGTTTATTATCAGCAATGAATTTTTTGAGTGATGTTCTACTTGAATCAGTAAATGTTGCACTAAATGCCATAAATTATTTCTCTTGTGGTGTACGTAAAAATATGTCTTATATGTCTTTTCTAAAAATAATTATTTCCAAAAATCAGCACCTCATGTTCAAATCTTCAATCATTGTATCGGCTTCATCCAAAATAAAGTACTTTAGTCTATCTACTTTCAAAGCTTTCTTTTCGCAAATCAAATCCTTAAGTCTTCCAGGTGTACTAAAAATTTAAATTTTCAATAATACCCAACTACAATTTATGGTTTAACTGTTTCAATTGTTGAAATATTCACAGTTACTGGTTCTCCTCCTCCATAGAAACATTCAACTTTAATACTCTTCATAAATTTTCCCAATCTTAAAAATTCATCACGAGCCTAAATTTTTATTTTATTTATATACTTGTTGGGCTAACTCTCTTGTATGAGTGATTACTAGACATTCTACTTTATTGCTTTCAGTGTTTATCGTATTCAAAACAGTCAATACAAATACAGCTGTCTTTCCTGTTCCTGCTTTTGCTTGGCATATCAATTGTTCTCCTTATAATGCATTTGTCAACGATTCTGCTTGGACTATAAATATTAAACCTATAATTACCCCTAGTAGGATGCTCGAACCCGGCTTCTTTCACGGCTCGTAAGAGCTCCTCTTTAAGCCCAAAGTTTTTGAATTATGAAACATTATAATTGTCATATTTTCTACGATTCTCAATATTTGCTCTTACTATATATCCTATTTTGTAGGTTGTTGTGGATCATCATTAAATTCAGGAATATCTTCTAATCCGCTCATTTATTAAATAAAAAGATTTATATTTTAATATCCTAATTTAAATCAATACACTTTTTATATTCTTTTTTCTTATATACTCACTCTTCTAATTATTTCATATAATTTTCTTATTCCTTAATCCAGTTTTATATTCACTATTCATCTCAAACCAAAATTACTTTTTATATTAACCTTGTCTATATCCAAAATCATTCATTTATACTAATAGATATTATATATAATTTAACTTAGCATGTATAAATTTTAAATTCATTAATTACATACATATTAAATCTTCCTTCTCTTCTTCGTAATATAATATTTTCTTTACAATATAACTAAGTTGCAAGGCTTTCTTATATTTTTTAAAGATTCTTCGAAGTATATCCCAAATCTTAATCATATAGACCTACAAATTTGAAGTTTGTTTTGTCTTTTTTTAAAATTCTTCATATCTTTCTTCAGTTTTTTTATGAAATTTTTGCCTTACTGCAACATTTAACAAATCACTTAATCAACAATATTTTCTCTTTATATTTATCCTTAAACTGATGGATTCTCATAATCATTTTGAAAACTTATATCTTTGAATTCAATTAATCGCATCTCTTTTTATAGTTTATTAGTTAAAGAGTTTCTAAATGTAATTAAGTTAATCCCCTTTTATTTAAATTGCTCTTTATTCGAAGAGTTATTTGACAAAACTTTATCTAAATATCATTTCAATATTTAATAGATTGTGGATAAATTAACTTAAAAAATAACTTTTTAAATTAATTTCCTTTCATATATTATTTATTTTAATACATAATATATATAAGCTTAATCCTTCTTAGAATATTCTTATATCTAAATTTATATCTCTTAAAATATTAAATAATACTAAACAATTTCAGATATAATATAACATATTTATTTATGCATATATTTTTATGGCAATCTAAATAATTTGCGATAGCTCTTTCAAAAATCTTCTTTAATCCTGCTATTTATTGATTTTTTCGTAACTCATCTTTTTATTTAAATCTTATTATTGTCCTTTTAAGTAGGGAAAAAATTAAGCAATCTAAGTTTAAAGAGATAATCTACTATATCAATTTATTCAATGAAACTAAACCTTGCAAATAAATTGTTCCTATTTTCATTTTAAAGTATTTTTGATTTTAAAAATTAAGATATGATAAAAATAAAATGTTTTGTCAAAAATGCAATCAATATAATAAAATGATGATTTTGATCTAAACAAAAATTTTAATACATCTTTTAGGAAAAAATAAATTGAATAAAAAAAGCTTAGCCTGTAGTTATCTTGTCACTTATTAAGTGAATGTTATTAGTTCATTAGTCTATGTGTTATTTTTCTTACGAAAAACTGTTTATTTATTAATATTTATAAGAATTGCTTGATTTATTAAAAGAGCTCAAATTTGTAGTAAATCTAGTTGTTCCTCATTTAAATTGAATTATAGTAATGATTGAAAAGAATATATTTAGACCTTTACTTATTGAAAAAAAACAGCTACTGATGGATAAATTGGGATGGAAGATGATGATATAAAAAAGAATAAAAATATGTAGTAATTGATTGATCTGCATGGACTCATTTTTCACCAATTAGTAAATATTCTTATAATTAATTGTTAATGAACATCAAGATGTAAAATGACTAATGGCATTTATTTTGTAAAGAACTTATGTTTTTAAATGAATTATTGGAAGTTTGTGAAATCGCTGAATTAGAACCATTAATTTCTGTACCATGACCACATTTTCAAGAGGCTGATTGAACTATGTGTATCTTTGAATAAGATTAGTTTTAACTATTCTTAAAAGCTATAAACCATTTACCTTTCCTCTATTGGTCCCTGTAATTGCTTAATTTGCAAATAAACACTGGATTAGAGTTTCTTAATACATTAAAAATAAGACTCAAAGGAATTAATTAATAAGCATTTGATACTTTAATCAGATATTCATATTATAGGAGAAATAGCCTTAATATTTGAAACATCACTATTTAATGATCAATATTATATTTAAAAATTACTCATAATTTTGAAACAAAGGATACTTATTTATTAAATAATAAATGAAAATACTTAAACTAAAACATACATTTATTTCAAATAAACCATATTATTATTTATAATTTCTAAAAAAGTTTCATTCTTAATGGAAAATAATAAATTTTATGAGCTGCTGCAAACATATGAATTTCCTGAAAAAAAACTTAAAAGTTGTTGTTTAGCAAATCAAAAGACAAGTAACATCAAAAAGGTTTTTCCGCTTGAATTTGGACTAGATGGAATAACGCTACTTTAAAGAGGGCCATGGACATAGCAAGAACGAGATATATATTTATAAATTTGTTAAAAACATGAAGACCAATGTAAATAAAATCAAACAGCATCAATTTTTAAAGAAATTCTTGGAAAAATACCAACTAGAAATCTCGCTCAACTTAAAGGATTTCATAAAATTAATAATCCTTTTCCACCAAATATAATTAAAAAAAATAATAGAATTAGGAGAACTAAGTTAGAGTTAAGTTTAAATGACTCGGATAAACTTCTATATTTTGTTATAAAAAGTTAGAGAAAAAAGTGCATTAAATAATAATAAAAACTTGCAAATCTTAATAATTAAATTCTAACTTAGCAAACTTAAATAGTGTAATTTAATTTAAAAGAAGAAAAATAAACAGAAGTAAAAATTTACATAAACATTGATCTCCTTTTAAATACTATTAATTAATAGGATTAGAAATTAATTAGAGATGAAATTAAGGCAGAAAAATTAGATTGCGCTATAGAGGAACAAAAAGAATAATTAAATTAAATAATGTTGAAAAAAGATAAAATTATTGTTAGCCTTAGAAATCATAATGAAATAAAGGATGAAAAAGTAGAAGAAGAACTTAAATTCATAAATAAATCTAAAAAAATTACTTTTAACGAATTAATTTCTAAAATCGAAATAGAAAGCAAATTAAATCATAAAAAATAAATAAAACAACAAAATTTTTGGTAAAAGATTGATAATTCAGAATAATTACAAACAGACGAAGTCATAATTATTGAACAACAAGAATATAGTTAAAAAGAAATAAAATTTATACAAGTAGAATAATTTTAATAATAATTTTTGCAATAGGAAACCTTTAATAAATTAGAAGTTATGCCCCAAAAAAAGATAATAAGAATAATTAATCAATAAAAATCTCTTACTGTTGAGAAAAATAAATTGGATTTGCAAAATTTAAATGAAAACAATAATAATCCAGCAAACGGTTAGATTATTTATAATAAAGATGAACAATTTGATTTTCAATAATACTTAAAAAAAGAAAAATAAGGCATTAACTAATAAATTATTTAGGAAGATAAAAGTGGATAAAATATATAAATAATTGAATAAAATAATGGATAGAATATATAAACAATTGAATAAAATAAAATAGTAGAATCAGATGAAGATAAAAATAATCAAAAAGAAAACTTAATCTAATTAAGAAAAGACAAAAAAGAAAATATTTAACATGAGAAAATTCTAGAGGAACCATTAGAAAAATAATAAGATGATGAAAAAATAAATGAAAAAAATTTATAAGAATAAAAACGATTAGAAGGAGAGAAAAAGATTGAGATAATAAAATAACAAGAAATAGAAATGCAAGAAAAAAAACAGTTAGATATTCATATAAAAGAAAAAGAAATAGAAAAAATGAGAAATAATTATAATTAATTAGATAAATAAAATGAAATTGAGACCAAAAAAAAATTAGAATCAAAAAAAATAAAAGAGAGATTAAGAGAGGAGGTATAAATAAAACGTAGATAAACTTTTAATGGGCATGATAAAAAAGAAAGAAATAGGGTGAAAAATAGAGAGTCTAGATCTTTGCTAGAAGTAAAAATACCATAAAATGAAAGAAAAAATAATGAACATTATGAGTAAGAAGAACTAAAATGTTCACAAGAGTAACGATGTGACTCTTCCTTTGAAGAGAATTAATCAAAGTTAAAATTATTACATTCAAAAGGATAAGAAATAATTAATTAATAGTAGTTAAGTGCAGAAATTTTAAATAAATAATGTTATAGATAGGATTTTTAAGGTTAAAACTAAAATCAATTTACTTAAGATTATAAAGCTTAAAACTAAAATTAATTTACTTAAGATTAAAAAGCCTAAAACAAAAATCAATTTATTTAAGATTATAAAGCTAAAAATAAAAATCAATTTACTTAAGATTATAAAGCCTAAAACAAAAATCAATTTACTTAAGATTAAAAAGCCTAAAACTAAAATCAATTTACTTAAGATTATAAAGCTTAAAACTAAAATCAATTTACTTAAGATTATAAAGCTTAAAACTAAAATCAATTTATTTATGATTATAAAGCTTAAAACTAAAATCAATTTACTTAAGATTAAAAAGCCTAAAACAAAAATCAATTTATTTAAGATTATAAAGCTTAAAACTAAAATCAATTTACATAAGATTATAATACTTAAAACTAAAATGATTAAAAAGCTTAAGACTAAAATTAATTTTAAGTCTCATATATAGACCAGATCTAATAATAATATTTTTATCTTCAAAATTTATAAAGAAATTAATTTATTGTTCATAACAATTATTATAAACCTATTTCAGTTGTAGAAGGATAATATTAAAACCAAGCAAATTAATTAAATTTTAACTAAGGCATAAATAATTAAGATAAAAATTCTTAATTCTCTTAATAACTTCCAATTCAATTTTAAAATTATACTCCTTATTAAGATCAAGCTATTTCATAACCCTAAACATCATTTGCATTTTAGCCATCTTATGTCTTCATAGGAAATCCTCACTATTATCCTTAAGTAATACCAGTAGGCCAATTTTAACAATAATCTTTAGGTTCTAATGATGAATCATAAAATATGAACAAAGATCAATACGAAATAGAATTGGCATATGTATTTCGAGAATTACCTTAACACTTTGATCCAAATTTTTTCTGTTAATATTCTCCTCAAAATTTTGGATCTATGCCCGGAGTAACATAATTTGGAAATACTCTTAAATGAAAGCATTATTAAATAAATATAATACAAGTATAATTTTTTCACTCAAAAGTATCTCTAAATCTTTTGGACTTCCAATTATTCAAGATAATAAGTATTTAAATATTTCACGATAAGGATTGCATAATTAATAATAAATTTTTTTATCAGTTTGATTTTCCACAATTCTTATAAAAATCATATTATTTGATTATTTTTTTTAGGAAAACAAATAAAATATTAATTTATATTCAAACCAGACCATAATATATTTATATTGTTTAATGGAATTCGTTCAATCTATTTTTTAATAAATCTTAAAGAAAAGTACTTATTTATGCAATTAATTTTTTAATTGATAATTATATATCAATTTTTCTATTTATCGGCTTTGTTGCTATCTAATTTAATTTACATTAAATTATAAAAACACCATTTTATTGCTCAATTTTAGTGGTTTCCTTTCCTTACTCTAAGTATTTTTTTGAGTTTCTATTTATTAAGCAAGCATTTTAATATTAATTTTTCATATTAAGAAATTTTGCTTTTGAAATTTAATCTCAGAGTTTTCTATTCCAACATAGTTAATCTTTTTTGTTGTTGAATCAATTGAAATTTTAATTTTTTCAAAATTACAATATAAATGAATTATTTCTTTGATTTAGACATCTTTATTAGTAAATTAAAAATATTCTTTAAAAATTTATAGAATACTATTATTAAGTATTTTAATAAAAAAGTTTCAACTTTATTATTTAATTATTTTAAAAGAGCTCTTAACTTTTCTGGTTTGTTTTTGAATTCATCTGATAATTAACAATATTTTTTACTATCATATATTAATTCATTTACAAAAGTTTTCTTAGATAATTTTAGGTGTTAAAGCTTTTATAATTAAAATAAATTATATAAATTTAATTGAAAAACTCATTCTTATTTAAAATAGGTTGAAACAAAATCTAGCGAAATGAAACATAATCAGGAAAAAGTTAATTTTAATTTATATTATAATGTATAGGATATGTATTTGCTATTGAATTTATATAAGAAATTAAGGAATAACTAAATCACTTTATTTTTCATTAAAGATAGTAGATATTTAAATTTAAATGAAGGAAAAATTAGTTTGTGGCTTAATATTAAATTTTAGTGAATTATAAATTTTAATTAATTAAGGAAGACTGTTATATTAAGAATTGGAAAGAGATTTAATAAAAGGACTATGATAGTTTAAAAGTAAATGAACTTAAATTATATATAAGAAAGCATTACAAATCGAATTGAATTAATTTACCTATTATTAGTAAATTTTATCAATTAAATGTATAATGAAAAAATAAGAATATCTTTAATTTATTTAATGAAAAATATCCAATTAGTATTTTTAGTTATCTTATTTGGTATTGCCTCTGCAGATATTATCATCAATAAATAAAAGAGATGCTAATGTCCATCATTTATAAAGTCAGAATGTGAGAAATGGTATGATTGTAAGTGGAGTGAAACATCTTGTTTGAAAAAAGAATGCAAAGATTACACAACAGAAGATAAATGCTCTGGAGATTGTTAATGGAAAAGTGGAAAATGTATTGATGAAAAGAAAGAATGTGAGGATATGCCAAATGAAGAAAGTTGCTCAAATTTAGCTGGATGTGGTTGGAAAGACAATAAATGCATTGAATTTACTAACTGTTCAGATTTTCTTGTATCTAAAGCTGAGAGATGCAATGTTTTGTAAAGTGAAAATGGTTAAAGATGTTAACCAAAAGTAGTAAGTGTAACAACTCTAAGAGAAAAACATTTAGTTGTAGCTAATGGATTTTAATGTGAAAATAAAGTATATTAAGATTGTTCTAAATTTGTGAGTGAAGCTACATGTAAAGGAGATGCAACTGCAACAGCCAAATGTTAATGGAAAAATGATGGTAAATGTTATGCATTTGAATTGAAAACATGTAGAGATGCTGATGGATTTAATTAAATGTGTGATCCTAAATATTGTAAGAAAGATGGATAATTATGTGTAAATAGATCTTGCTCTGATTTAACAACTTAAGCATTATGTACATCTTTACCAAAAATTGACAATACTAAATCTGTTTTATGCAAATGGGGTACTGATAATAAATGCACAAATGCAATTGATGCAACTCATTTGAATGAATAGACATGTAATGATATTACTTTTGGTTCCTATCATTGGGTGACTAACACCTGTTAATAATGTGCTTCCAATTGGATTTTATCAATTATGTCATTGATTATCTTGGTTGCCTTTATTTGAATGAATTATTCATTATATCATATACAATTTTATGTTTAATTAAATGATAATATTAATAATCACAAATAAATTATTTATTTTTTAAATAATTATTCATTTTTATTAAAATTGGTAACATATTTGGTGTATTTTTATAGAAATATTAATTATTATAATATGAAATAATTAAATAAATATAAATGGCATCATAAATTAATAAAAACATCATTTATAATATGTAGTAAATTAAAATTCTTAACTAAAAGTTTTATAAAACCTCAATTAAAAATTAAATGAATAGACACTTAAGTAAGCTAGTTAAAAAATCGTTTTCTAATCAAATTAGGAGTACCTAAAATTATACTATGCCTCATCCAATATGGAATAAACCAGAACTGGATCAAGTTAGTTTAGAACATAAATCTGCAATTACTTTTGGAGATCATTTTGCCTATTATTTTATATAATCAATGAGAGTTGGATTTGATATTATGAGTGGATATAAAAAGGTTGTTCCATTTTAATCAGAATAAGTGTCTGAAAAGAAATGGATCAATAGAGTTCTATTTTTAGAGACTGTTGCTGGAGTTCCTGGATTTGTGGCTGGAATGCATAGACATTTAAGATCATTAAGAGGAATGAAAAGAGATTAAGGTTGGATACATACCTTATTAGAAGAGGCAGAGAATGAAAGAGTTCATTTGTTAACTTTTTTAAACATTAAAAAACCTTCATTAATATTTAGAACTGGAGTTGTTCTAGCATAAGCCTGGTATGTTGCATTGTTTGGAGTGGCATATATGTTTTGGCCTAGAGTATGTCATAGAATTGTTGGATACTTAGAAGAAGAAGCAGTAAAAACCTATACTCATATGATTCATGAAATAGAAAGATAAGGAAGTCCTATTCATTCATGGACTACTAGAAAGGCTAATCAACAATCTATTGAATACTGGGGATTAGATAATGATGCAACTCTCTTAGATGTTGTTAAAGCAATTAGAAAAGATGAAGAACATCATAAAGATGTAAATCATTATTTTGCTGATGATTACACTTAATCTAAACCAAACCCTTTTCCTCCTGGTAAATGAATTTATTATTATATAATGTCATATATCATCATATATCTAATTTATTTATTTTATTAATCTCTTAACCTAAAAAGCACTAAATTTTATTATAATTATGGAAATTATGCTTTGTCAATAATTCTATTAAGTCTTCTCAGATTGGAATTAATAACTCTTATTATTCTTTTTATTTTTAAATCTATCATCTTTTGAAAATCTGAAATTATTTTCAAATAAAATAAGCTCTTTTATTAAACTTCTTATCTAAGCATTAATATTTATCTATAATTTTGTTAATTGGTTTAAATTAAAATAACAGAAGCTGTTTTAAGACAGAAGGATTATTTGAGATAAGAAAGTTTGCATTCAATCATCTTCTTTATTTGATTCAATAAGCATAGGATCCTATTTTGAAGAGATTATCATCAAATCAACTCCACTTTTAATGTATTACTTTAATATTTTGTTTATAAAAAATGTTTTTTAGTATTAAGCATTATCAAAAAGTATCTATAAAGTGTCAGCAATTAATGACATTAAAAATGATTCCTTTGAAAATCTTTGGCCATAAATTTCATAAGATTGTCTTTAAGTATTTTCTAGAATTATAAGCTTGAAATTAAAATTAAAATTATATGATTTTTTTTTAGCATTAAAAGTTAATAATGAATTAATGAAGGATATAAGAAACAAAATATAAAATAAATAAAATCTATTATTTTGAGGAACTAATAATTATGATTTGTATTATTATGTAATTCATTTTGATAATAATTATAATTTTATATAAAATATTGAGATTTAGTTAATGGGAGGTTGTGAGTTTAAATTTAGAGGATCAAGCGATGATTCATGTATTATTGATAATATATTTAGAAATAACATTATAAAATTTTGAGTTAATATCAGTTGTTGGTTAAGGTGGATTTGGTAAAGTTTATAAAGCTAGACTAATCAAAACTCGTCATATAGTTGTAGCTCTAAAAGTAATGTCAAAAGTTAGGTACGAAAATAAATTATATAATAAGAGTGATATAGAAAAAGAGTGTGAGTTCAGTTATGAATGAATTATAGATTTTATCTACTTTGAGGCATGAGTAATAATAATACCTAAATAATTTTAGATTTATAATAAACATAATAAGTGCCTTTTAAGATCGTTGTTCATTGTATTTAGCATTGGATTTCTTGGCTGGGGGAGATTTGAGATTTCATTTATGCAAATTTCGAAAATTCTCTGAAGCAATTACAAAGCATATAGCTATATGTATAATAATTGGATTAGATTATATTCATTCTAATGGAATAATTCATAGAGATATTAAGCCAGAAAACTTAGTATTTGATAGTTCAGGGTATTTGAGAATTACTGATTTTGGAATTGCTAGAATATGGAAACCATAAAATAGTCATGAAACTAGTGGTACACCTGGTTATATGGCTCCAGAAGTGATGTGTAGATAAAATCATGGAGTTGCTGTTGATTATTTTGCTTTAGGAATTATAATGCATGAGTGTATTGTAAACTCTTTTTATTAATCTTAGCTTGGAAAACGACCATATAATGGAAAAAGTAGATAAGAAATTAGAGATTAAATTATAGCTAAATAAGCTGTTATTAATGAAGTTCCTTAAGGATGGAGTAATGAAGCTATTTCTTTTACTAATGCTTTAATGCAAAGAAAACCTTAATCCAGGTTGGGATGTAATGGACCTGATGAAGTTAAATTTCACCCTTGGTTTAAAGATGTCAAATGGATTGATTATGAAAAGAAATTTATAATTTCTCCATTTATTCCAGATGAAAAATTGGAAAATTATCTCAAGTCTAATCACCTTGAATCTCTTGAAGATTAATCTATTTTACATTCTGAATAAGTTTAATGTAAATATTATTAAAAAATCTTAGCGCAATTCTTAGGATATGAACATCTACCTTAATTAAATGGCCAACCTCCTTTTGTATCTTCCATTGCCTCTCCTAGAACTCCACACTTAAGAATTTAATTAAACAAAGATTAATGATTTTTATTTAATTATGCACCACTATCTATTAATTAATATAAATTTTAAATTTTATTTTAGATTAATTTATTTTACATTTTCTTCATTTAATTAATTTAATTTTTTTCTAGTAATAATTTAATACAAAAAGCTAATCATAAAATATATTAATTCAGTGTTTGTTCTAATAGATTTAGCTCAAATAATTTTCCAATTAAAAACAATCAGCTCAATTAAATCTATCAAATCTTTCTTTTTTACTCAAAATATTATGTTATGATAAAATTATAATATTTAAAAATAGCTTTCTCATAAGTTCAGTTTCTCTTATTGTAAAAAAGTATTACAACTCCTCTTCAACTTCTAAATTGAAAAAGAAAGCATTATTAACAAAATAATTATAAATTGTATATAACTTATCGATAATGCAAACTATTCTGAATGCGTTTCTTTACTTTTTTTATATATTGAAATATTATTTTACTCATAATCATTTATTCAACACGTGATTAACACAAATATATAAAGCTCATATTTCATCTAAAATGATTATCCACTTAAGTAATGAAGTTTCTTATAATGTTTGTAACTTCTGGATAAAAATTCATGCTTTCCAAAAAATTTGTTAAATCCTAATTTATTTGATGTTAAGCATTCTCATCTTCATTAATATAATTAAGGTGTTGATAATGACTATTTAATAAATGAGAAAACTTACTCTCCAAGTATTAAGTCCCAATTGTATCGTAAAAACTTATAATATCGATTTTTTACGGCATTTTAACTTCTATCCAAAAAAAACTAAGAAATTATTTAAAATCTTGGACCATGTTCTATTACAAGATTGAGGATTTTTTCATCTTCCTCTATAGTAAATGGAGTATGTTTTTCAAAAATTAGTTTTTTTTTGTTCACTTTTTTTCTTTTCTTAGTGTGAAAATCACATTTTTTTCTTCTTGCGATTTTTTTTTTTGTTTTTGGAAGAGTTTACAGAAATAAATCTAAAAAATCTGTTTAGGATGGTAGAGGATCATCTAGATGAATGAGAATTGGTAAATTTTCATTAGATGTATCACCTATTTCTTCTTAATATCGAGCTTACGAAATTTCATCATAAGATTTTGTTTATTACATCTCAATTATAAATAAAATTAAGTAATATTTGTTAAAAGTATTTATACCACAAACTTTGTTGGGGATGACAGTTTCAATTTAAAAAAAATTACCGATTATTAATTTTTGTCAACTCTATTCAGTTAGTAATAATTATTGATTAATTAAATTGATTATATATAACTTTTAGAAGAGAATTTATATAAATTAAATAGTATGATAAAAATACATTAAAATGGAAATGTCAATAAGTATTTCTTATTTTATTTTTTAATATGGTAAACAATTTTATTTTTTGTAGAGGAAGAATAAAATTTATAAATTATGAATTGAAAGTATGCCAAAGGAAACAAAAAAAATTGAATTTAAACAAAATTAAGAATTAATCTTAAAAATCTGCTCTACCATTTAGATATTAAAGCATATTTCAATTTTAATATTAGTTGAAATACAGTATTAGAGGGTGTTATGATTATTACTAATTTTTCATATATTTGAGTAGAGTAGGACTTAAATTATTCCTAAAATTCATCAAATAAAAAAAAGAAAATCAAAGTATTTTTTTGAATAATCAATGAAATATAATACTTTTAATTTTATTGAATTAATTAATTAAGAAATATGAATTTTTCTATTAATCAAATGAAAAATAGCTGATCATTGGATATTGATTATTTTAAAAAGAATAGATGCTATTAAAAGAGATGGCTAATTTTTGATTAAATTTATCATATTTTATCAAAAAAAAATATAATTATAGAATAAATAAATTTTAGATGTAAGGAGCTATGCTCACGTAAATATCATAAAAAGTTTAGAAAAAATATATATGAATTGATATTTATCTTTATTTTTAAATAGATATAAAAACTATGCCACTATTTGATGGTGGCTTTTCTATAAATTAATAATGTCTTAAATATTTAATATAGAATGACATCATTTGGGTTGATGAAATGATTAAGAAAAATAGTTGTGGTGTAGAAATGTATAACATAGAATAGGTTTGAAAAGAATAATAGAAAAAAATGATACAATCGTATTTTAGCAATTCAAATGGTGGAATGAAATGATTTGCAGATTAATATTAAATAAACAAAAAAAAATGAAGATCTAAATGTTGTTAATACTAGTGGCATTTAGTGTATTAGGGTATGCACTACTTGTTCCTCACGTTTAATGTTCATGCTAATAAATGATAAATGAGAATGATTGCAATAATAGGCCTAATTGCGAATGGAATCCAATAAGCGCAACGAATGGATATTGTTAGCCAAAACCATGCTCATCCTAGAATTAGCCAACATGCCAAAAAAGTGAAAACTGTTACTACTAACCAGGATAATCAGGATAATAATTCTGCTTCGAAATGAACAACTGTAATGATATTCAGCTATCTACTGGTCAAACATGCTAACAAGCTAATGCAAATTGTGTGTAATCAAATTTAACAAAATCATAATGTATATCAGCAGGATTTTCTTGCAGTACATTAAGCTCAGAATAATGTTAATCAGGATAAACTTTAACATTAGCAGAAGAAGGTCTATGTTATTGGAATGGATAATCATGTTAAGTAGTAACAAGTTGTGGAGTATTATAATCTTTGGCTTAATGTTAAATGTTAAATAATGCTTGCTATTGGACAGGTTAAGCATGTGTTGTTTAATAATGTTCTAATTATAACAGTTCAAATACTTGTACTTATGCATATTAAAATCCAAAGGGTGGTTCTGCAATATAACCATGTTAATGGATTCCTAATAATAGTACTATTACTAATGGTACTTGTACAACTGCAACAGTAGATTAATTATCAATATCAAATTGCGCAACAAATACTAATAATGTTTATAGATGGTCATCTAATTCCACTACTCCAGGATTAGGATAATGTGCAGAATGTAATTCAAAAAAATAGATATATCGTAATTAATGTGAATGCAAACAGTTATATTAACCACAAGAATGTATAAGTTCTCCAAATTGTTAATGGGTACCTGCTACAGCTACTTCGGCTGCTTATTGTTAATAAAACCAATGTTTAAATATTACCAGCTAATAGACTTGTGCATAAATATAAGGTTGTTATTGGAATACATCAGCTAATCCTAATGCCTGTACACCTTATACTAGTTGTAATGCAATTGTAGGTTCAACTTCTTTTGCCTGCTTTTATTAATCAAATTTTTGTCCTGGATCAAATGGAAAAACCTGCTTAAATCAATAATCTTTATAGACATGTTCCGAAATTAAAGAAGCTAATATTTGTTATAATTCAATTGGTAGTGATGGATTTTGTACATATAGTACTTCATCAAAAGCATGTTAAGCTTTGACTTCATGTACTGGCTTAACTCCAAGATCATAGTGTAATTAATTCATAAATACTTGTATCTGGAATACCAAATCAAATACATGTTAATAACGATAATGTTCTGACTTTCAAACTAAAGAAAGTTGTACTTTTGTTTAAAATAATTTAAGTGTTAATGTTATAAACATTTGTACTTGGAATCCTGATACAAAATAATGTTATGCTTATGATAATTCATTCGACTATGATATTAATACATGCTTTAATTCAACAGGAAGAACTCATCATTGGAGTGAACCATCAACTGCTTCAAAAGGATTATGTTTACCTTGTCATTATTCCAGCGTATTGAATGTCAAATCTAGTTGCTAATGCTCTGATTTAATCAATTATACAGATTGTGCATTATCTTCTCCAAAATGTTTCTGGAATTCTACTGCTACTACAAAATGTCAATAATAAACTTGTGCTTAATTAACAAGCTAAGGTTCATGTGTTATGAGTAAATATTGTTATTGGAGTATGACAAATAATTAAGCAAGTTGTCAAAGTATTAGTTCAGCTAGTACAACTTGTGCTACTTTAAAAGCAAATACATAATAAGAATGCTTAAGTTAATCTATTCTATGTGGAGGTATCAATAATGGTACTTGTTCATCAACCCCTAATTCCTGTAGTGATTTTTCAACATTTTATTAATGTTTTGGTTCTGTTGGTACTGATGGAATATGTCAATGGAATTAAAATGAATCAACATGTACAGGTATCAGTTATTGTAACATGATTACAACTGAAGCTTAATGTTCATTAGTACTTAATACCTGTTTTTGGTAAGCTTCAAATTCTTCTTGCACTGCATATAATTGTTCTAGCTTATATGCTTAGACTAATAATTGTAATTACTATTTAAATACCCCAAATCAAAATTATGAAGTTAAGATATGTTAATTAGAAGGAACAGAATGCAATCCTGCATCCAACCTTTCAAGTTTAACTTCATCTAATTGCTATGCTTCATCAGGAGGTACAGCTTTTTGGAATCCTGAAAAAGATAATGGAACTTGCTCATATTGCTACAGTCAATTAATCGGCATCCTTTTCATAGTCTTTATTTACATGTTCTGACAAATTCCATTTATAAAGTACATCATATAAACATTTATTCATTTCATAACTTTCTTTTCTTTGTTTCCTCAACACAATCTCACTATCATTATCTTATCTATTAAATCTCTAATCACTTCATTATTATAAACTAATTTAAATTAATAGATAGATAAATAGATAAATATTCATAATCAATATTTCATTCACTCTCTAAATATCCAATTTTTACTATCTTTTCATTTAATCATTTTCTAAAATATACACATTTACATTCTTAATAATATTCCTATCTAAACTTATATCCATTCTTTCTTCATTTATTTTATGCGTTTTCTCTATTTCTCTATATTCTAATCAAAATCTTATAAATATTCAAATCAAATCTTTAGTTAAACTTCTTTTTTAAACTATTTTTCAAATTTTAAAAATTATCTATCATATTGTAAAACTTAAAACTTCAAATGTTCATCCCTTCCAAAGCTTTATTATTTTTTTAGTCTTTATTCTTACGTACATTTTTCTAAATTGGAATTTTTTATTCATTTTTATATATTTTAGCTTACAATATCTTTGATTTACATTAATTATTCATGTTCTCTTTAATCATGTTATAATATTAATATACAATTAATTATTCTTATTAAAATTCAAAATGTAGAACCTAATATTTCATTTATTTTTAAAAAGATAAACAATCTATTATATTTACAAAAAATCTAAATTTTTCACCTTACCTAAATAGAGAGTTTATTTTATAAATATTTCTATTATATATAATTTTTTAAAGCAAAACAATTAAAGTAGATATATATCATAGATTAAAATTTATTTTAGTGAAATTATTCATCTTTCAATTACTTTAATAATTTTAAAAAATTATAGATCCTAAAATGATCCTAAATAAACATCTTTATTTATTTAAAAATTATATTTAAGTAAATATTTGCCATTTTTTTAGCTAAAAGATAAAGATTGAAGAATTTTTCCAATATTGATAATTAAAGTTAAATATTGTTTTCTTTTTTATATATACAAATTTTTTGACATAATTAAGAATCTCCTTTATTTTTTGAGAAAATATATTGAGGAAAAATATTTTAATTTAAGTGATAATACAGAGTTTTATGTAATTAAATTTATTGGTTTTTTTTTCCTTTAAAAATTTTGTTTTATATTGTTTATGTGAATAATTGAAGAATTTATAAAACTTTTAATTTGAAAATAGATTTTAAATATTCAAAAATTAACCATTTAACTCTAAATATTATTCTCATAAAAATATTTATATTTGGTAATTATTTGATATATTTTTAAGTAGCTTCTTTATTTATTTATCCGTAATAATTAATAGAGTTAATTAAATTTACAAGAAGTATAAGAAATCCTAATCCCTAGATCAATATCAAGGAAATGACAAAATGAGTTTTGAAATTTCACCTATAAATATAGAAAATAGACAAGGTACTATAAAAATTAAGTGAAAAAACGCTTTGAAAAAAAATTAAAAAAGAGCAAAAAAATTACATTTATAATGTTTGATCATTCTTGATCATAGCTTTTTTAGACTATAATGATTCTATAATTCTAAGAAGTTATTTTTTATATTAAATAAATTTCATATTTCTTTACGCGGTAAAATAAGTTTAAAATAGCCGAATATGGATTCACTAATTATAAAATGTCTTTAAATGTTACATTAACTTACTCTCATTATTTTTCAAGTGTTAAAATATTCTTTGTTATAGTATAATATTTTTACATGACTTTTTAAATAATGATGACTGAACAATTATTTTATGGAAATGTATTTCAAATAATAAATNTACCTAAATAGAGAGTTTATTTTATAAATATTTCTATTATATATAATTTTTTAAAGCAAAACAATTAAAGTAGATATATATCATAGATTAAAATTTATTTTAGTGAAATTATTCATCTTTCAATTACTTTAATAATTTTAAAAAATTATAGATCCTAAAATGATCCTAAATAAACATCTTTATTTATTTAAAAATTATATTTAAGTAAATATTTGCCATTTTTTTAGCTAAAAGATAAAGATTGAAGAATTTTTCCAATATTGATAATTAAAGTTAAATATTGTTTTCTTTTTTATATATACAAATTTTTTGACATAATTAAGAATCTCCTTTATTTTTTGAGAAAATATATTGAGGAAAAATATTTTAATTTAAGTGATAATACAGAGTTTTATGTAATTAAATTTATTGGTTTTTTTTTCCTTTAAAAATTTTGTTTTATATTGTTTATGTGAATAATTGAAGAATTTATAAAACTTTTAATTTGAAAATAGATTTTAAATATTCAAAAATTAACCATTTAACTCTAAATATTATTCTCATAAAAATATTTATATTTGGTAATTATTTGATATATTTTTAAGTAGCTTCTTTATTTATTTATCCGTAATAATTAATAGAGTTAATTAAATTTACAAGAAGTATAAGAAATCCTAATCCCTAGATCAATATCAAGGAAATGACAAAATGAGTTTTGAAATTTCACCTATAAATATAGAAAATAGACAAGGTACTATAAAAATTAAGTGAAAAAACGCTTTGAAAAAAAATTAAAAAAGAGCAAAAAAATTACATTTATAATGTTTGATCATTCTTGATCATAGCTTTTTTAGACTATAATGATTCTATAATTCTAAGAAGTTATTTTTTATATTAAATAAATTTCATATTTCTTTACGCGGTAAAATAAGTTTAAAATAGCCGAATATGGATTCACTAATTATAAAATGTCTTTAAATGTTACATTAACTTACTCTCATTATTTTTCAAGTGTTAAAATATTCTTTGTTATAGTATAATATTTTTACATGACTTTTTAAATAATGATGACTGAACAATTATTTTATGGAAATGTATTTCAAATAATAAATAAATATTCACAAGTCAGAGCTCTAAAATAAGAACAAATCATTTAAATTTTGATTTCTGAAACTTTAAGTTTCATCTTTACCATTATTTTAGTTTCCTTCGTAAGTTTGGTACTCTTGTTAATTTAGATAACCGTAAGATCTAAGTAATATTTATATATACTCTCCTAACACAGAATCCCATCTATAGCGTAAACATTTATAATATCTATTCTTGACCATGCTAATAGTTTTTGTGGGGAAAAATTTAGCAATTTTCATGAATTTAGGGCCAAAATATAATACATAAAGCAATATAGCTTTGTCTTCTTAGAAAGAGAAGGGATTTGTTTTCTAAATTTTTGTTATCTACATAATTTACATTTATTCATACCTATTTGTTTGATTATCTTCTTTTCCTTTTCTTATCGTAATTCAACTATTTTTTTCTCTTTTTTCTTGGTTTCTTTTACCCTTAAACTGGTTATTCATTAGAATAAAGATTATCTAATCCAGATTTGATTTCATCAAAAATATTATTAGGAGCAGCTACTTAGATATGATAAAGTATTATACAAATCTATGAATAATTATCCACGCTTTCCTGTTAAAAAATGGACATCTTTTACTGTTCTAAGAAAAAGTCTTGTGATTCATTAATCTCTTGAAAAAAATTATTCTTTTTATACCTTAATAGACATCTTATGCATTTTCATTCATCATTCCTTGAGTAAGACAATGTAAGGGAATAATATTTTAATAATATTTGAAAATTTACTCTATAACTTTGTGAGTATTTATACTAAAAAACGATTATCAAAGATATTTTGTCAATAGTTATTTATTACTATGAATTATTAATTTTTTATTATGATTAAAAGCTTTTAATTCTTTGAGCATCATTTAAGTAAAATTAAGTATAAATTAAAATTATTTAAATTTAATTCATGCAAACATAATACAAACATAAACAAATATACAATAATTCTAAATATGATCTATTTCTCGTTTAATGAACAACTTTAATCAAAACTCAGAAAAAAGTATTTTAAATAAAAACAATCAAATAATATTGATTCATTTAAAAAAGATAAAGGTTAAATTTAAAATATTGAAAAAAATAATCAAGAAATAATGAAGAAAGATCAGAACCAGAAGAAAATTTAATAAAAAATGAAAAAAGTAAATTAAATTATAATATAAATTTTATAAATTTTCATGTCATCCCAAGATGCTTACTAAAGAAAAGATTACTTGAAAAAAAAATCGACTATGATTGTGCCTAAGAAGTCAAGATTTGATAAAAAATGCGAAGTATTATAGAAACCCCTAGAAATCTACAAAACCTTTATAAAAACATTATTAGGATTTGAATTAGAAGAAGAGGAGGATTTCAATTATAATTGCAATTTAATGAATTTCAAAAAAAATCTTAGTGAAGATATTGAAATATTTCCTGACTGCGTAATTAGGTTTCATTACTAATCATTATTTATTTAGTCTAATAAACCCAGACTATAAATACAAGAATGAGAATCAAAATTAATATTTGGTGGGTACAAGCATCGAACTATTTGAATTCCTCCAATCAGGATTAAGAATTAATTAAAAATCACTCGATGATTTACTGTTATTGAAAGCGATCGAGTCAATATATTTTAATTTGCCTGTATATGATCCATATTATCATCAAAAAAAGGACCCGACCGTTCTTTTAACCGAAGATAATCAAGAATAAAGAAACATTAGAGATAAAGATTACCAATAACAAATTTTATTAGCAGACAAATCTGACATTAGGTATAATCAGATTGATAAAAATGGTACTTAAACATAATTAGATAGAAATAATTAAGAACTACGTATCTTAATTAGAGAAATCGTTTCATACTTTGCTTTAAAAGGATATTCATGGAAATATAATGGATTGTCTAACATTAAATTATAAAGAATTAAAATAGACTTCCTTAAGAAAATGGAGAAGTGGTTAATATTTGGAAAATTAAAATGATTTATGGTTAAGAACAGGGTTTCCAACTCAAGATGTTTCTACATTAATTAGAAATGCTTTGATCATAAAATTAAATAAAGTAGGCTTTAAAATATAATCATTTATTTCTAGTGAAGGCCACAAGATTTTTATTATGTTAAATATGTAGGATTCTAATCTAAAAATAGTTGCTGATTAAAGCCATGTATTGAAGCCATTAAATTTTTGGTTTATAGATTTATTTTCTTTAGAGCCTGTTGATAAATCATTTAGACCCTTAAGAATAAATAATAGATTATGGAAACCTTAGGATTATGATGTTTCAGATTTATTTTTATATTTAAGACCATAAATGATAAAATTAATTCAGCAAATTAATTTCAAGCGAATAGCAAGAGAAACTAATTAAAGTTCAATCAATTCATAACTATTTGAATATGGTAAATTGGATTTTAGTGAGAAAGATGATGGACCTACTGATGAAGAATGGATAGCTTATCATAAATATTTGACTCACTTAGAAAAATGTATTAGATAATTTAGATAAAATTAATTAATTGATAATGAATTAGCTACTTTAATAAATAAATAAATAACTCCTCTTTAAATTTATTAGAAAAGAAATTTATAGGATAAAGAAATATAAAATCTTAATTATTAAAATTTAAATGAGCCTATAAATTATGAACACTTGGAAATGATAAATTAAATTGAGAAATAAGCAGAAAGAGTTATGGATGAATTTTCAAATTTTTAATTCTCATTATAAATTCCAAAGGTTAAGGCATTAAAATTATTAAAAAAGGAATCAGTATCATTAAATTACCTTTTTTCATTTTAAGAGGCATTGTAAGTGGCAAATGGAGAGTAACTAAAATTATATAATTTATGGTAAAGATCAGAAATACCACCTTTTGATATGTATCACCCTTATTAAATGCCAAATAAAGAAAATACAAAAACTTATCAAGCAAAATAAGAATTAAGCTGGAGAAAATATGTAAAAAATGAAAACAATCAGATTTCATTATTTTCATCTTAAGAAAGATTAAAATTAGTTTATTAGAAGGTATCTTAAGAATTAGACCTTAGTATGTTACATTAATTAGGTATAATTAGATAGATATTTTGTTTAAATGATCATTATGAATTATTTGGATAATGCAGTAACATATAAGCTTAAATAACTTTGGACACAAGATTTTTTAAAAAGAAGCCATTTTAATTGATAGATGAATGGAAATTGGATTATTTAAAACCTTGGATTAGTCCTTGTGATTTGATTTGTGGATATTATGGAGAAAAAATAGGTCTCTATTTTTATTTTATGAGTTATTTCACTGAAATGACTACTCCAATAGCTTTTACAGGTCTTGCTTGTAGCTTAATTTAATGGATTATATGGGATAATGAAAGCGATTTTTATATTTTGATTACTATCATATTTGCTTTTTTGTAAATTTAATGGAGTAATATATTTACAGATTTATGGAAATAAAAATAGATGTATTTTAATTTAAGATATGGTTAAACTAATAAAGATGAATAATAAGTTTAAAGATCTAAATTTTAAGGTAAGCATATTAGATCCTTAGTGAATGATCAATTAAATTCTATTGAAGTATTATTTAGTGAATATGTGAAAAGAACAATCATTAGTTCAACCTTACTATTTATTTTTATCTTATTTTATATTGGAATTATAGTATCTTTATTTACATTTACTGTTGTATTGCATAATTAATATTCATAAGAACTTTAATAATTCGATATAGCTACTATAGAAGTTACATCTGCTGCAGCAATGAATTTTATTGCATAATCTATTGCAGATATGATTTTTGATAAAATTGCTGGATAATTAACAGAGTATGAGAATTATAAAACTGTAGAAGCATATGAAACTAGCTTTGTTTTAAAGAAATTCATTTTTTAATTTTTTTCTTATATAGCTCCACTTTTATTTTTAGATTATTTGAATAAGCCTCTTAATTTATATTGTTCAATCACAAATTGTGAAAAGCATGTTAAATATTATTTTTCAACTATTGTAATTTTAATTTTATTTAAACAATTTTTAAAATTTGGTGTCTTTTTATATAAATTAAAAAAATTTCAAATAAAAAACTATGATTACAATGAAAATGATATAATGGAATTTGTTGAAGAATAATCATCAAGATAACCTTATTCTGAAGATTTTGAAAGATATGGAACTATGTAAGATTATATGGAGTTATTTGTTCTTATTTCTTTTTTAAGTATTTTTGGATATACATTTCCATTTAGCTTTTTTATTTTATGGATTTCTAATATAATGCAAATATAAGTTAAAAAGAACACTTTTTTAAATTGTTTATAAAGACCTTGGCCAAAAAATGAAAGCTCTTTAGGAATTTGGAATCATTTTCTAGAAATTATTAGTTTGCTTTGTTTATTAAATAATACAGGTGTTGTAACAATATAATATAATAAATAATATGGTTATGAACTTATTCTTGTATTTTTATCTGTTTTAATCTTTAATTGCTTTTGTAAATTTGTTATAGGTATAATATTTGGATAGATTCCAGATACATTAAGTGATATTATGAAAAGGCATAAATATTTGATTAAAGCAACAATTCAAAATAAAATTAAATAAGGAAAATCTTAAGATAATAAAGAAGCCTTAAAAAGATTTCCTATTTTAAAAGTGTATGGCACATTAAATTCTGCAGAATCTGGTAAATTTGAAACTGTTAGTTCTGATGATGAATTACATCATCATTATGAAATTCCAGATATAAAATAGAAATTGAATCTTATTAAAGTAGAATCATATACAAAAAACTTAGATAAGTAATATTTGGGTGAATTTTAATTTACTAAAATTCTAGAGTACTTTAATGTCAGAGAATAAAATTGGGCCTTCAAATGTATTTTTTAGTAATAAACAGAAAAACAAAAATTAAGACTATTATTAAAAATTTATTCTTTATTATACAAAGCTTAAGTTTTGACGAAATATAGATAACTTTGGACAGATAGAAGAATATCTTAAAGATTTATACACATGAGAAGAAAAATAATTTAATTAAGAAACTTAGATTACAGAAGATTTTTAATAATCTCCTAAAAACTTAGTTAAATGAAAACTTATTATGATGAAAAAGCTCAATAAAAATTTAGAAAAGATTTTCAATTAATTGGATAATAGGAAGATGAAAATGGAGATGAAAATGTTGAATATACAAATTTAGTTAAAAAATATTAGAAATATGTTGAGAAACATGCATGGTTAAATACAAGAAAAGTAATTATGCTAAAAATAAAAGCAATGACTTTTAAAGGATTTAGAAAATAAGTTGTAAAGAAACCATCATTGTAATTAATTTAAGAATTTTATAAAATTAATTAAATTATTGAGGATCTTGAACCAGAAAATCCATTATAATTAGAATTAGATTCATAAATAGATTATTCTAATTTAGAAAGAACTAAATTTTCAGATTTTATTGATATATTCAGTAATATATAGTTAATGTAAACATAATTATTTATTTTAAGTTAAAAAACATAATGGTTTTTACCTCTTAGTTCTAAAAGAAATATATCATCAAATTATTTTATAGAAGAGATGAAATCAACTGAATTCAAAAATATTCTTGATTCATGTAAAGATTCTTCCATTTTTTAGAAACCAACAACAGTTTTAGAAGATATAATACTCTCCTATTTTTAAATTGAATAATTTCCTATTCCTTAAATCAAATTTATCAAGCATATGCATGATAATGTTTGGATAGTCAAATTTGGTTCTACTGAAACAATATCTTTGTTGCAGTTTTTTTAAATAAAGCATGGAGAATAGATTCAATTTTAAAAGTATACAGATAATCATGAAGGGATATTATATACAGAAAGCAAGACATATTATAAAATGGCTAATATTGTAGATTAAATAGATGACTTTTATATAAAAGGTTATTGTATTTGTGTTTACAATGCTTTTGAACCTAAAAGCTTTTTATAAGTTTTAAAATACAGAAAAACATATGGAATTCCATATACAGAAGCAGAAATTAAATAATTTCTCCATGCATCTTTAAACCTATTAAAGATTAATGATTTTAAGAGTTTATCAAGCAGAAATATTTTCTTAATTAGAGGTGAGTATCATATTTTAAACTCAACAACGAAATATCATTCTTTTTTTGAATTGGGTAAAATTGTTTTAGAGATGATTTATTTAGAAGAAATAGAAAATGTTAAACCTTATTTCGATAAATTATAACATCCTTTAAAATGGTTAATTAATGAATTATTATTTTTAGAGGATAATCTTTAGAAGCTTCAAGATTATATATAAAAATAATATTGTTTTGTTGACATTAAATTTGAAGTTGAGCATCATTAGAAATAATAATCCATTTAAGGAATATCATATTAAACTTTTACTTGGTCAAAACTTCATAAAATAAACTTAACTTTTAGAATGAAATAATTTCATGATACTTTATTATTAACTTAAGAATATGAAAACTTTATTTAGAAAGAAGTTTTTGAGGTTAATGAAAACACTTTTTCTTACTTTTGTCTGAACTTAATAGAAGAGTTAAATTCTTATTTGTTATCATCACATTCTCTCAAAAGAAATCTTGATATGATTTTAATTTATTATTATTAGATAGCTACAAAAATTCAATTAAAAATTGATGTAACAAAGTAATTAGATTATTTTATAGAAATTTTAAAAAAACTAACAATAGAATTAAGACTTATAATAAAGCAGTTAACATCAAATATTAATGTAGCTAATTTAAATGAAACAGAACAATGCATAATTTTAAAAACTATATAAACTACTACTGAGCAATTTTCATAATTATTATCGAAGTAGAGACAATCTTTACTTAAATAATTAAGAAAAAATCCTAATCTTATTGACAATATATTAGTTTTTGAATAGTAAGTAAATCGATTTTTAAATCAATTTTATGCTTTATTTGCTTTATAATAATATTTTAGTGAACATTATGAGTTTGCTAAATTAGCAATTTCTACAATTATTGAAACTTAATAAAAATTAATGCGCAGATAAAAGCTTCCTGAAATTTTGAGTGAAGCTTAAGAATTAAGTCCAAGTTAATTCAACTTTGATTAATTAAGTCCTGGTATGGAAAGGGATGATTAAGAAATAGTTGAAGAAGAAATATGGGTCTTTAATATTAACTAAGAAATTAAAACTAATCCTTTATACGCAGTCTAATATATATACTATCTTTACTTGTAAGTAATTATATTACATGATTGTAAAAATGAATTATTTCATGTTAAGTTGTAAGAATTTATTAATTATAACTTTGAAGATATTCCAGCATATACTTATTTTTAAATCTTGATTTCTTCTCTTTATGTCGATTTTTAAATCAATCAAAAAAATTCTTAATTTTTCTAAATAGAGTCGTAATGTGAATTAGGAAGATATAATATTCTGTAAATTAAAGCTAAAATTGAAAATAAACAATATACAGAGTCTGAATTAGAAGAATCTACTAATTTAGAGTATAATTGGAGATAAATTTTTTCATATAATAATTTGAAATGTAATGCTAAAAACAAAACTACTCTACTTTATATCTTAAATTAAACTTCAACTAATGAATAAATGAAAATACTTTTGAATATTAAAATAATTCATTTTCTTTTAAAATTGTATGATTATTGTCCAATCAATTTGAAGTAAAAAATTAGTATTTTAAATAAAGAATAATTAGGCTAAATAAATTTAGAAGACACATCTAAAATAATTTAATTACAACAATTACATAAAAACTTTAAGTTAGGAGTAAAACTAGATTATTTTTCTCATTAAAATACCGAACACTCCTCATGGCTATTTCATTAGGGACTTGTTTAATTAAGAATATTTATTTATTAATCTTATTGTTATTGTTATTCGAAGAAACATTTAGAAAATATTGTTTCATATATTGATTATTAAGATGAAATATACACCTAAATTTCTAAATTAATGATTTAAGGAGATTCTACATTCTCAAAAGCAAAAAATTATTAAATTCTTCAACGTCCAATTGAAAATATGTTAATTAATCTTTAAGCTGATTATTATGGATATCATTAATATTTTTTGGCACATTCAAGAATAATGCTTTAATAAAAAAAAAAATTAAGTTAAATCTATAACAGTTTTGAACAATATATAAATGAGACCTTTAAAAATTCAATATTTGTTTTAGGACTTATATAAATATATTATGAATTTGAAGAGCTTGATATGGCAAACTTAATAATTTATTTTAGTAAGAAATTATTAGATGCAAATGCAATTATCTTTAATGATTAACATGAAGGATTCAAAAAAGATTTATAGATAATAGAAGCAATTATAAAATAAAAAAGTTCTTAGATGATTAAAAGTCCATATAATAGATTATATCATAGAAATAATTATATCGATTATTTTGAAGATGAAACTTTAAATGCAAGATATTTTGTTTTTAATTTACCTTATTATTTTAATATTAAATTTTCGCAATCAATTATAGAAGACTTTATGACAGTTAGTTATATTAAGTTGTGTTTGCCTTTATAATAAATTTTGAGAACTGCCTATTGTTCAATAAAGGCTGAATGTGGAGATGAAGAAATCCTATCATAATTAAAAATGTATAAATAAATATAATTTTAGTGTAGTAGAATATAAATTTTAAGAAGGAAGTTTAATTTGGGCATTTCATTGTCATTTTATGTGTAGATATTATATTGCTATGATTGATATGGAAAAGGCTTATGATTATTCAGTTTCATTATTGTCATATCTACATTAACTTGATCTTCAATAAGGTTTTTATATTAAGGAAAATAAAAATGGGTATAAAAATAATTTTGTAATATTTACTATTTATTTATTAGATTTGTTTTTAATCAGAAAAGAATATTATCAAACAAATTTGTTAGCCTACAAACCTTACAATAAAAGAATCAATTGAAGATGCTTTATTTGATAATGTTATTGATGATTTTTTTGTAGCAGAATGTATAATAAATCATTTAGAGATATTATCTAAAAGTCAATTTTAAATGCCAAAATTAACTTTATTACTCCAATTTTAATTGAAATTATAAAATGAAAGACATAAAATTTAATTTTGGAATATATTGGCACATGTTTTAACTAGAATAGGAAGAGAAAATTTAATTGAGGAGATTTTGAAATAAATATAAGATGTAAGAAAAGATCGTCTTTAATAATTAAAAGAAATTAGAAGATTGAGTAAAAAAAAACGAAATGCAAAAATATTATTAAGAGAAATTACTTAAGAAGAATTAGAAGAATTTGATCATTAAAATAATTTAATTAGTTTTTAAATAAGTATATATAAATTAGATGAAAATTCAAAGGAAATGATATTTAGACTTTTATCATGTTAAGCTGCTGATAGAGCTTTAACTGGATATTTAAATTAATGTAAAGACAAAACAAAAACAAACAAACATTAAATAAGTTAGTTGAAATTCTTAATAGCATAAAATTATATTTATTTAGGTTAAATTGGAGATGCTACAATAACTTTAAGTGATGCAGAAGATTTAATAGTTGAATGGTTTGGTAAGATTAAACATCCAATAAAGGGTCTTTATTTTTATTATTTGGGTTAAATGAAGATTTTCTTTTATGAAGAAATCATAAAGATTATATAAATTTTTATTGAATAAGATGCATTTAATATATAAGAGATGAAATTACTTATTTAAGGATTAGCAGTAATGAAATCTTAATTATGGAGATAAATAGATATGTTTAAAAAAGGTTAAATCTAAAGTTTTATTCCTTATTTTTAAAATTATTTAACAGATTATGGAGATTAATAAACTTTTGATTGTTTAAAATGTAAATATACAGCAAATGATGCCAAAATTATTTTAGATTCAGTTTTATAAAATAATATGGCATTTGATTTATCAGGAATAACTGAATTTATAGATGTAATAAAATTAAAAAAATATTAGGCTGAAAACTGTTTCAAATTATTTGAAGCGGATAATTTTTTAACTAAAGAGATTTCAAGCTAGATTTTTAAAATTTAGAATGAGAAATTAAAAGAACAAACTTAATGAATATGATTTTAATTTATTATTTGGTATTTTATTTACCAATCATCATAATTTCAATTGAGTTAAATAATTTTTTTATTTAGAATATTTTTTATTATTATTAATATAAATAAATGGCAAGAGCTCCAGAAGAAGGATTAAGTTTGGCAGCTTTAAATAAAGAAATAGATTAATATTCTACAGATCCATAAATTATCCAATAAATTGAAAAACATTTTCAAGATGTTGTGAGAGATTTTAGTGGTGACCCAGATTTAGAATTATTTAAGATAAAATATGAAACTCTTTATAATTCTTTAAAAGAAAGTTATGAAAATGAAGTTAGATGGACTAAAAAGTATTAGAATAGAATAATTTTAGATGCAAAGAACATAATGGTGAAATAGTAATCTACACATCAAAAGTTTAGATGTCATTAAAAATGATAAATGATGATAATCAATAATCAGAAACATTTTAAAAAGAATTAGAAGAAAAATGGAGAAAAATAGAAGATCTTAAAATCAAAGAGAAAGAACTTAAAGAAAGAATTGTTTAAGCAAAAATTGAAGTTGAAAATGTATTATATTAAATTAAAAATATAAGTTAAAAAAATAATGTGATAGAGTTGTTGAAGATATAGAAGAACAAAGTTAAATATAATTAAATGATAAAAAAAGATTAATAGATGAAATAAAGAAGAGTATATATATTTTATATATAAAATTTTAGATTTTTAAAGTGCTAAATCTAAATTTGAATATTTAGAATAATAGAATAAAAATTTAAAACATGATTTAGATAATGAAGAAAAATAATATTAAGATTAAATTTAGAAAATTAGCGATTTAGAGGAAAAAATATCTAAAATTGATGTTGATTCTAAAGAATAAGAAAGAAGGAAGAAAAATAAAGAAGTAAAAATGGCTGATATTAAATAAAAAATTGATTTAGCAAAAAAAGAGATTGAAGAAAAGTAATCTAGAATTCATGATATTAAAAAATAAATAGTATCTACAAATAATACTATTTTAATAAAAATAAAAGAAAAAGAAAGTTAGCATACAAAATAAAAAGAAGCTGAAGATAAATATGCTGCTGCATTAAAAGATAGAGAAAATTAAGAAGAATAATTAAAGAGTTATAAAGAATAAATAAAAATATAATAAGAATAATTAGAAAAATTATAAATTGAAATATAAAAAGAAAAAAAAGATGTAAAAAAAACACATAAGGAACAAGAAATAACAGCTAAAGAAAAAAATAGAACTATAAAAGAAAAGGAAGAATAATTAATAGAGAAAAACACAAAAGAAATGTTAATTGAAACTGAAAAGATTGAATTATAATAGAAGAAAGATATTTTAGATAAAATAAATGAATAAAATAGTTAAAGAATTAAATCAAGAACATAATAATAGAAAACATTAAAAAAATAAGAAGATGTATAACATTAGACTGATGAAGAAATTGTAAATAAAGTTAATAAATTAAAAAAAGTAGAAAATTAAGTAATGGGATATGAAGCTAGTAATGAAAGAATTAATAAAATGATATTATAATTATAAAGAGAATAAGAAAAATATGGTATAGAAGCATCATAAGCTCATGCTAAATTTTATTAGACAGTTGAAGAAGTGAAAATAAAAAATAATTAAATAGCTGAATAATAAAAATAAATTGCTGAAGCTGAAGCTAGATTAAAACATTAATAATAATTATATGAAACAGTAAGAAGTGATAGAAATCTTTATTCTAAAAATTTATTAGAGAGTCATAATGAAATTTAAGAATTAACAAAAAAGTATACAAGAATGAAACATTAAGTAGATTAATTAAAAGAAGAAATTAAAACAAAAGATTAGTAATTAGTAAAAGAGGATCTTGAATTTCATAAAGTTGAAGAAGAAAATGCTAAAATTGAATAAGATAAAGCTAAAGTTGAAAAAAATATTAAAGCAGATGAAGATCTAATTAAAAATTAAGAAAGTCATATTTCAAGATTAAAAAATATTATATAAGGAGCATAAACAGAAAAATAAAGATAATAAAAGGATTATGAAATGGTTGTAAATGAAAGAGATATATTAGGAACTTAATTAATAAAAAGAAATTAAGAACTTTAAATTCTTTATGAAAAAATAAAGTTAAATTAATCAAGTTTAAGTAAAGGAGAAATTAATTTTAGAGAAAGAGAAATAGAATTAAAAAGTTTAAAAGATGAATTAACTAATTTAAGAAATGAATTAAAAGTAATAGTTCTTTTAAATATAAGTCTACTTAAGATCAAACTGCTTGTATTGATGAATTAAGAAAAGAGATAAATAATATCGAAAAGGAATTATTAAATGAGAAAAATAAAGTTAAAGCTTTATCAGATGAATTGGAGAATCCAATGAATGTACATAGATGGAGAAAACTTGAAGCAACTGACTAAGAAAACTTTGAGAGAATCTTAAAAATTTAAACATTATAAAGAAGATTAATAGCTAAAACAGAAGAAGTAAATGAGAAAGAAAACTTAATAAAAGAAAAAGAAAAATTATTTATGGAATTAAAGAATATTTTATCTAGATAACCAGGTGTTGAAATACATTAATAACTTGCTTAATATAAAGAATCCTTAAAAGAAAATGCATCAAAAATGAAAACAACATTAAGTTAATTGAAGCAAAGTTAAGATTATGTATCATTATAATTAAACATAGGTTGATATGTTAAAATTTGAAATTGATAGAATGAAAGGAGATTTATAAGAGATGAAAAAAACATATTTTTAAATGAGAAAAGCAAAAGATAATGTATTTATAATTTTTAGTTTAGGATTTACTTTAAAATGATTAAAATGGAGAGTAAGAAGCACCTTAATATAATAGTGGTGGCAATTAAAATGATTTACAATCATATGCATTATTTGGAGTCAATGCTAATAGAATAGGAAATTGAATTTAATTTATTTAATATATTATTAATAATAATAATATGTGTTTACCATTTGACAATAAAAAACCAAATACTTTTTAAGGAAAAAGATCGGTTTTCTAACTATAATTGATTGCTTTTATATAATTGGCTCTATTATTTGCAAGACAAGTAGCCTAATTTGAATTAGGAGAATTGTTTGAAATAGTCTTTATAATATTATTATGGTCAGCCTGGTCTTCCTTAGGATATTGCCAATGCCTTATCTATATAGTTTTGACTTTATATTATGTATCAAAGATAATTAATCAAGATTTTAATAAAAGGAATTTATTTTGCTACTCGTTTTTAGAATGAATTACCATTATTAGGGGAAAGTGGAAGAGAAAAGATTTTAACAATTTTACATTTGGCAACAATATTTTTTTATATAGTTGCTCAATATATTGTCTTTTTAGCTTATAAAGAATTTATGGCTTTGGATATTGAAAAAGACTATACAATAGAAGATCTTGAAAGTATAGTTTAAATTTAAATTAAGGGAGACCTTTATAATAAAATTAAAGAAATTAATAAGCTCCAGCTGTTAGTAATTCTATTTTTACAGGAAAAGGAATAACTATTGGTTGAAAAAGATTTTATTTATCTAAATATTATAAATATTACAAAATAAGTTGAAATCATTTTATAGTTTAAATAAATAATATTGTATCACAATTATTTGAGTGAACTTATTGTCTTTGCTTCTAGTAAAATATCATATGGAATAAGTGTTAAACTCAATCTCATTAATTAAAGTCTTGTTGTTATTTGTTTTATCCAATAATAGGAAATTAAAATAAAAAATAAAAACATACTAAATCCAGTAAGATAAACATATATTTAAGTAAGTGTTGTTGCTTAATTTAATTTTGATTAATTTTATTCAAATAAATTATATCCAACAGTGCTTAACAATTTTCCAGTATCTAAAAAGTATTCAACCTATTAAGTTATATGTACTTTAGATCTTAAATATTGGCTAATTTCAAGAAGACTGTCATTACTCAATTTCTTACTTACCAATTCTGTATAATAATACATCTATAGATTTTTACTAAATTCTTAAACCATATTAATTATTCCTCCAGAAACATATTCATAATTATTATCTTCAGCTACAGGTTAACCATATTCATCTATAAAATTTTGTGGAACACTAAAATTAGCATCACTCTTAATTTAAATATTACAAAAAGGAATTTCTGAACTCATGAAATTACATAAACTTTATTCAAAATACATAAGTAATTCTATTTTTTATGCTTGCATCAAACCAGAATTTCCAATTAAAGAATCGTAGATTTATTTCATACTATCTTGAAATCCATCATATTGTTAATTAAATAGTTCAATTATAACATCTATTTACATATCTAATTCTTGATATTAATTTAAAAAATATTTTTCTATTATTTTTTCACTCTTAATTATTTCACTGTAGACAATTAAAGAATCGAATCTAAATTTAAAACGTATTAACTATAAATTTAGATTTAGTGTTGGTTTGATGTCTGATACTTAATTTACAGTAACAAGTATTGAACCAATTACAAAAATACAAAATATCAACCAAATCGCTAATAAATAAATATAGTTCATTTTATTTATTAAACTTAAGTCATAAATTCTTTAAGCAAGAGAATTACTTTGATAATTTCTTTTTGACTTTGATTTAGATCTTGAAGTTTGATAATTTGATCGTGTTGCTGATGTTGTTTTTAAGCTCTTGGCAACCATCATTTTATTTTAATCACTATTATTTTCCTTACTTTCATAATTAAGATCAAAAAAGTTAATTTTTTTCCAAACTAATTGAGTAGGTTCAGATAAAACAGACTTTATATCTAATAATTTATCAATTGCTTCTTCTGCCGCTTTATATGAAACTCTTGATATAAGCATTAATATTTGTTTTTCATACAAAGTAACATTTGAAATCTAAAATGTTATGTACATTATAATCGCTGTTATTAAAGCTAAAATTATCATTGTAATTTAAATAACATCATTAATAATTTTCTCTTCATAATAGACAAGATTTTCGTTTAATAATGTGATATATTTATATGCAAATTGATAAATGAAAGGCATATTTAAACGAAAAAATAAAATATCTTTGAAACTAGTAATATTCTTAAAATTATCAATAAAATTAAATGCATGAATTTAAATTAATTAAATTAATTATGTTAGATCTAATTATTAAGTCTAAGCTTCATATTCATTTATATTAATGAGTTTTAATTCATTTGTTATTATTTAATTTTCATATTAAATAATTCCTTAATAGAGTTCATTTAATTTAACATCTATAATCTCCTTCATTTATTATAATTCTTATTCAATTTAAGTTTAAATAAATTCACTATAGGTCACTAATTCTGATTCCTATGTTAATTAAACCCATGTAAAGTAAGTTGCTTTAATAAAGTAAAAATTTAAGGTTTCAGGAAATGTTACATAATTAATATTGGTTTGTAATACATTGTAATTTTCTAATTTATAATAAAATTTACCTTAAACTATTTACATCTTAATAAAAACTAGACTTAAAAATAGTAGAGCTATCAACAATATACTCAATACTATTAATTTAATATTCCCTTAAAAAGTATTTATTGAATAAAGTTATCTAATTAACATAGAGGGAGACTTAGATGAACTTGTACGTGAAGAACTGACTGATCTTTATTTATTTTCTTCTTCATCATGTTCACTAATTTAATAGAAATATATAAATTACTGATTGTTTTATTTCTATTATCTATTAATCTTTAAAATTTCTATCAAATCTGCCTTTACAACTTCATGATCTTGATTTGAAGAGTTTTTTGCTTAATTTTCATCAATTTCTATTTGAGATTCATCTTTATCTTTTCCAAAATTACGAATAATACTTGATTATTTTTGATATAATTGCATCTCTTAATCTTATTCAAATTACTAAATAAATTAATTAATTATTACTTTAAAATGTCCATCTAATACTTATAATTCAAATTCATCTTCTTAATCCATTTTCTGAAGTGGTATCTAATAGAGTTAAGGACCTTTATCTCTTTATATAGTTAATGATAAATTATTAAATTCATCATTTAACTTTTCTTCATAACCCTTAGATTTAACTTCATTAAATTTACTATGTTTTTATTTCTCATTTTAATTATTCGAAATTTATTATTTTCTTAATTCTTTAATATACTATTAATCATATGGTTATTAATTTAAATTTTAATTAAAATTATTGATTGATCTATCTAAGCTATCATAATGGCTATCAGGATATGATGTTTTATTAAAAGCAACAGTTTAACCTACATTAAGTTAAAATTCAATTATTTTATTTATACTGGGGTATTTCTAAAAATTTTTATGCTCAGAATTAATTTCAATTATGTGATCTAATTCTAATATAAAATAATTATATTAAAATGATTTGACTTTTAATTGTTGATAAAATAATTTTACTTTTGTTTTTAATATTGTAAATTATTAAAATAATTCTCTATGTGTTTAAATAAATTATAAAGTAAAATCGATATTATCTTAATTAGTTATTTTAAATAAATGATTTTTTTCTTGACAATTTTCTGAAGACTATATACTTTTTGTCATACTTTTCCAAGATCTCCAAGAACTTAGATTTTCACTTTCCAAACCAAAATCAACTTTTTAACCAAATTTATCATATTATTCTTTGATATATAAAGAATTCAATTCAATCAAATTAGAAGGAATATATAATAAAGTATCCTCATTTTCTAATAAAAATTCATCTAATTTTTATTTATTCTCTTATTCCATTTGTTTTAATGTTGTTAAAATTGATGGAAATATTAAAAAAACTCTACAAAATTCTTTAAAAAAATCTACTTAAATTTATGGATTAAATCTTTTTGCAATTTCATACAATTTTTCACTAATACCAATTATTTTACCCTCTATATCAAATAAAATTGTTTGATTTAATAAATTACATTTTAACATAGATGCAGTTAAAACATAATCATCTAATTCTTCAAATAAATTTCCTAGTTTAATATAAGATTTTTGAATAAATCCTTTAGCATTTTCATAATAACCACTAATTTTTTTGACAAAAAACTAACTAAAACCTCTTTACATAAATTAATCAATTAATAATTCATGTGCTGCCATAATTGATTTAGGTAACAATTTATGAATATTAGAAACATTATCTTTAAAATTATTACTATCAATATATGAAAAAAAATTGGCTAAAGCTAATTAGTTCTTATTTACTATTTTGCCTTTATTCTTAACTAAACTTACTAATATGATTGTTGTTCTATCATTTAGTAAAGATAAATTATCTATGATATCAATTTCTTTTTATCTATCATTTGAAGTAAGATCTTTTACATATTATTCAATATAAAAACTCTAATAAATTAATTAATTAATTTACTCTATCAAAATCATTCATCATTATTGAATAGAATAAGGAATAAAGTTTAAGTGTGACACAATTTATATTTAATTAAGCATGACTTAATTTCTTAATTTAATGACCTTTGCTAGTCGTAACTTTCAAATCAAACCATTCTTCCGGCACTCCAATAAATTTATCCAATTATATTTTTAACTAAAATTAATACTTTAATAAAATTACTTATTTAATTCTTCCACATAATTATTGAGTATTCTATTAAAACGGATTAAGACTTTAGTATCCAACCATTAGATTATTCCAATGTTCAACCTTTAAATCAAGTAAAGAAACATAATCACTCAACAAATTTTCATATAAATTTTAAGTCCACCATTATTATTGTAATGAAATTTCAATTAATTAACTTTTTTATTCTTAAATGAGAATATCTTTTGATGTTTATCTTTATTAATTGTCTAAAATTTAAAGTTGAAGTTAATCAGCTAACTTATTTGTTATTTCAATAAAATAAATAGAATTATTATTGTTTTTACTATTTTAATATCGTCTTAATTCTAAATATCCTAATAATGGTTTTTATGCTATATCAGAAACAAAACTAATATATTATAGTTACAGCTATTCAAACTATAAATCTTGATTTTAATTAGCTCTAATTCAATTAATTTAAATATATTACAAAGTAAATAACCATTATTGAGCAGTTTTAAAAATGCATTTAATGATACTTAATGAAAATAAATGAAGATCTTTTTTTTAATCAAGATCTGTTTATCTAAACTTCAAATCCTAAGAATAACACTTTTTGTTTTTACAAAACTATCTATGTATTTTAACAAATTGTTGAAATTTAATTTAGCTTTCTTAACTCTAATATTATATAGATTAAATACTTTATTATAATCAAGATATAGCTTATAAAAATAGTCTGCTGTTATTATCAAATGTTTTTCTTTGATCTAAATCTTAGAATTTGAATTAATGATAGCATAGAATTAAAATTATTATGCTAATCCTTATCCAATCATATAAATTAAAGGCAAAGGGAGTATCATAAAAAAGAATAATTATTATTCTTGAATAAAGGATGTGAATCTATATAATGTCAAAATTGAAACTATCCAAAATTATACAAATGTCATTGTTATAGCAGGCAATCTTACTGGATCTCTATAAGGATAATTATTTAATTAATCAATTATTTAATTGATAGTAAAAAGATTTGCTAAAATATATTTAATGGCATCAGAAAATTCAAACTATTATCAAATAATTATTTACAAATTAGTAATTATAATGAAAAAAAATGATAGCTAACACTATTGTATTATTGAACAACAATAAACTTGAGTACCTTCTTTTAAGTGAATTTATTTCATTAAATTTATGATTCCTCATTGTATAAATCAGTATTTATCCATTTATAAAGGATATTAAAAGCTATATTATAGAAAAAACTTATAGTAAAGGTATTATTTCACATTCATTAAATGGAATCAAACTCAATGAATTACATGATAATGTACTAAATGATAATACTGCAATTTATAAGTAAAGTACTGGATAAGTAACGAATATCCAATGTAAAAGTTCATTAAATTAAATCACCCAATTTTAAATATTGCTATTTAAATTACCTTTATTGTTACTCTTTATTAAATTGGCAGTATATAATCGAATTAAAGTTGAAAAGCATAAAAACACAAATAGTACCAGTTAAGATAAAAATGAAATAACTATTATTATGTATGCTAAATAATAGGATAAACTCTATTTTATTAGGTTATTAACTAAAAAAAACTCTAAGAAACTTTAAACAAAGTCTAATTTAAAGTCAATATATCGTTTTTCATTGCTTGTTTGTATTATGATTGCCAGCAATTAAAATTAATTTATTGTATGCAAAATTATATAAAAAGAATAATCCATCTATTCTAATATTATTATTTTTACTTTATATTTAGGTCTAATTTCAATCCCGTAAAGCATTGTTTGTAAATATCCTCTAAAGAACTTTTTGAATTTTTCCATAGAATAATTAAATTATTTATATTATATTCCTTGAAAGGCAAATTATTACAAAATTAAAAGTGATTAAAGAATCAATTCAATAATTTTATTCATTTTTTCTCTAGCACAAATTCTATTTTCAAATTGATTATTATTAACATATATTTTCACTAAAATTTCTTAAAATATAATAATAGTAAACTAATATAACTGGAATAGATAACGACTAAATAATAATCATTCATTTACCCTAATTTAGAATAGTTTATAAATTAAGAATAATTTATTGGGTCTTATTTAAAATATAATTTTAAAATAATTGTATAAATCAAGTGCATTGCTACTAATGCTTTATTACTTTTAGGAGGAAATAACTCCAAAGTATAATTTATCATTAAATTTTAGCTAAGGAAGAGGCTACAAATTATTTATAGAAGTGGAACTTGATTCAGTTGCTGCAGATGTTAAAAATTAAGTTAATATATTAAAAGAAGAAAATTTGAATGATGTTATTTAAGAAGGTAAAAAGTAATTGAAAAGTTTATAAGTGGAGAAGGAGCATGTATTACTTATTAATTAATAAAATTTAAAGATCAGCTCCACTTTAATAAGCAACAACTGTTATCTAAACAGCTCCTGCACCAAAAGTTGAACCATCTAAGTAGATTGAAGAACCTAAAGAAGATGCTGATATATGAGAACTCTTTGATTGAGAATTTATGTATTTTTCATTTTTTCAATATTAAACTTTTTATTTCTAAATATTACATAATTTCACTAAATATCTAAAAATTATATGTATCCTTCTTGTTATTTGATAAAGTCCTTTATTTATCATTTTTTCGTTTTTAAACCTAAAATTTAAAGAAGCGCATTCTTTTTTATTTATTTGATCTCCTAACTATTTATCATAGGATTAAGCTATCAATAAGAAAAAAAGGATTATAATATTTTGTACCAACTGAAAATTTTGTTCAAATCATTATTATTCAAAAAAGTTTGCTTTTAAAGATCGTTTTTAAAAATTATGCGATTAATTTGTCCATTTAACTTATAAATATTAAAAATAACAGCCAGAAATTATATTTTTAAAATAATCGTTTTAAGATATTTTCTTTGTAAAACGTTAGCTCGTCATTGATTATTGTAATTATATTGCAATTTTTTCAAAACAAAAAAGAAAAATCAGCAAGGAATAAATGNTTAAAAGTGATTAAAGAATCAATTCAATAATTTTATTCATTTTTTCTCTAGCACAAATTCTATTTTCAAATTGATTATTATTAACATATATTTTCACTAAAATTTCTTAAAATATAATAATAGTAAACTAATATAACTGGAATAGATAACGACTAAATAATAATCATTCATTTACCCTAATTTAGAATAGTTTATAAATTAAGAATAATTTATTGGGTCTTATTTAAAATATAATTTTAAAATAATTGTATAAATCAAGTGCATTGCTACTAATGCTTTATTACTTTTAGGAGGAAATAACTCCAAAGTATAATTTATCATTAAATTTTAGCTAAGGAAGAGGCTACAAATTATTTATAGAAGTGGAACTTGATTCAGTTGCTGCAGATGTTAAAAATTAAGTTAATATATTAAAAGAAGAAAATTTGAATGATGTTATTTAAGAAGGTAAAAAGTAATTGAAAAGTTTATAAGTGGAGAAGGAGCATGTATTACTTATTAATTAATAAAATTTAAAGATCAGCTCCACTTTAATAAGCAACAACTGTTATCTAAACAGCTCCTGCACCAAAAGTTGAACCATCTAAGTAGATTGAAGAACCTAAAGAAGATGCTGATATATGAGAACTCTTTGATTGAGAATTTATGTATTTTTCATTTTTTCAATATTAAACTTTTTATTTCTAAATATTACATAATTTCACTAAATATCTAAAAATTATATGTATCCTTCTTGTTATTTGATAAAGTCCTTTATTTATCATTTTTTCGTTTTTAAACCTAAAATTTAAAGAAGCGCATTCTTTTTTATTTATTTGATCTCCTAACTATTTATCATAGGATTAAGCTATCAATAAGAAAAAAAGGATTATAATATTTTGTACCAACTGAAAATTTTGTTCAAATCATTATTATTCAAAAAAGTTTGCTTTTAAAGATCGTTTTTAAAAATTATGCGATTAATTTGTCCATTTAACTTATAAATATTAAAAATAACAGCCAGAAATTATATTTTTAAAATAATCGTTTTAAGATATTTTCTTTGTAAAACGTTAGCTCGTCATTGATTATTGTAATTATATTGCAATTTTTTCAAAACAAAAAAGAAAAATCAGCAAGGAATAAATGAAATATTGAATTTGTATCCATCCACTGAAAATATTAAATAAATTAATTTACTAATATTATGAAGAATAATAAAATACTCATACAATTATGAATGATTATAGTTTAGTTTTCTTTTAAATTATTAAATCTTTTTGAAAAATGTTGATTAGAAAATGAATTTATCTCATTTGATGCATTATAATTATAATTAATCTTATAATAAAAATTTAATGGATTATATTAAAAGAGTTTCTAATTAATTCGCATTTATGTTAAAAAATCAGGATCAGTTAAATTGAAAAGATAAAAATTGTTGAAAAAATGCATTCGAATAATGTAAATTCTAATAATTCTCAAATTAAGATATGTTAAAGAATTATAGAAGTGCATGCACCATTTTCCTCTTGCAATACCTATAATTATAGTATTAGAACTATATATCAAAAAAGATGAAGTGGTATTATTAAAGAAAATTAAGAAAAAATTAATAACAAAAAGATTTATCATAATTTATATGTGAGATTGCTTGAGATTAATAAATTAATAAATCAAAATTATTTATATCTTAATTAACACACATGAATATGACAGTTAAGCTTATTAGAAAATCTAAAAAATACAATATATGTACTAAAATTGATAAGGATAAAAGTAGTAAGCAATAAAGAAGGATTTAATAGTAACTCAATTAATCACATAAACCGAATTCAAATTTTTAAAACTCAATATGTGATATAAATTCATCAGTCATAAGTAGTTAAGATCCTAATTGTATGATTTTTTGACTTATTTAGTAGTTGGTGATATAACTGAAAATTTAGACGGCGTTTATTCGCATTAATTGATGAATAAAAATGATTAAAAGATAACCAAAGCCTCTAATGATTCAAAAAACAAATTAATACGCTATTCAACGAAAAGAAAAAAGGATTTGAAAAGAAAAAAATAAAGGAATAGAGGAAAATAGTTTACATTAGAAGAAGATAAAAGATTGTTAAGCTATATTTTAAAGAAGGGGCCTAAGTTTCATAAGTTTTCAAGATATTTTCCAGGAAAGACTACAAATGTGCTTAAGAATAGATATTATAAATCACTAAGATTTATATGGGATCAAATTCTTGGAAAGTATTTATATATATCATTTTAGTGAATATTAACATATGAACGCAACATCTGAAGAATTTACACCTATGATAACTGAAGATTCACATATATTTATGTTTGATGAATTAATTTAACTCAAACTTTTTCCTGAAGCTGAAGACTTATTGTCTAATTTTATCGGAATTTTATCTCAAACATTCAGCCATATTTAAGCATATTTTCCTCAAAAGACTGATTGATCATTTATTATATATATATCGAGTAATTATTTTTTTATTCTTCCATTCGAAATTATAGTTGCATAATTATTTACTAATACTAACTACCTTCTAAGCAATATAAATTGTGTAGAATAATTTTCTTAATCCTATTATTGACAGTTTTTATGGATATTTTTCTACGATATGTTGTACTAACTTATTATATCTTTTTCAAGGGAACCCTGTTTGAATTCATTTATATAATTAATTATAAGCTATGTTATAATTCATTACTATCACATATTATCAAGTGCTAATTCCCTTAGAATATAATTTTGATTTCAGTTAGTTTAGAATAATCAAAATAAAAATTATTTTTTTCTACTTATTATATTATATAAAATGTATTTATTAAACTTAATAATTATTTTTAAATAATCTTTGTTAAATATTAAACTATTTATATCGAATATTCTGAAAAAAACGAATAAATTAGAAAATCTAATAATCCTGATTTATTTAATGTAAAATCATTATTTTTGTAATTAGAGTTTTAAATTTTGGCGATAAAAGAAAAATTTAATCTTATGTGTTAATTTTTTCATACTTTATATAGGCATATATATTTTACTAACTAAATATTTAATATTAAAAAAATATTATATTAATACCTTTTATTTATTTTTTTAATTATGTGATGTAATATTATTTCTAGTCATTATTCATAAAATATTTTAATAGATTACACAAGGATCTTTATCTAAATAGAAAGTTCAATTGAATAATTATTTGATTTAGCTTTTAAGAATTTTAAAATTATCGTTATTCAAGGAACTAAATGAATGAAATTTTTAAATGAGCTTGATTAATTATATAATTACTCTTTATAAATATTTACAGAATTCTATATATTTATAATAAAAGAAAACATTATATTTGATTTTTAAATTTGATTTTGGCTTTATTAGTGATAATATTTTATTAATTCAAAGTTCTATTTAAAAATAAATTTTTTATCCTAAATTCTCTTGAACCTGTATCTAAAGATATATTTGATGCATTCAAATCATTTTTTTAGTTATTCATTTAGGTACTACCCTTGATTTATTCTAGTAATTTTTGATTTAAGAAATCTTGAAAGATTTTTAATTATCTTTAAAATGATGTATAATGTTTTACTATAAATTAAAAAATTAGAAATTTTATATAATTTTTATTAAATAATTAAAATAATTGATTTAAGTTTATAAACCCAGTTTGAATATTTTTTTTTTATGATGTTCCTGAATTTTGATAATTAAAATGAACTTAAGAAGAATATAAATTAAAATAATTATAATTTTATAAACAGAATTAAGAGAAACAAATTCATTGAGTTTTCAAAAGCAATTTTTGCTTTTTTGTAAGATTTACGAAACAACAATAATTTTGTTTCCATTAGGGTAGTTAAAGACATCTGTTTAAATTTACGATTCAGTCTTTATTTTTTTTCGGTTTGCCTTCATTTTATGAAGGCATCTGTGTAATAAGAATAAAATAATAAATAATACCTTTCTATATTCATTCCTTGAAAATAAGGATGCAAAAGAGCATTCTAAGCAGATATTCTCTAATTAGGATCAAGAATAAGCATTGAATCAATTAGATTTACTAATAATGGAGGCAATTTTTTTTCTAGCAAAGTTGAAAGTATTCTTATTTACGGTTCTTCAGTTATTAAAGTAGAGTAGTTTTTAAGTAAAGTTACTCCTGGCCAATTATCTAGATACTTAATAAAAATAAAACCTTCAGTTGGAGTTCCACAATATTTAAGAATTTATTTAAAACTAGCAAGATCAGATTGGCCTTTAAAAGGATTTTATTTTAAGATCAGTTAAATAAATAGTACTCCAGTAGCCCAAACATCAACCTTAGAGCAATATTTTTAACCTAATATTAGTCATTTAATAAACCAAGGAACACTTCTGGAGCTCTGTATGAATGATTTTGAATTCGGGTAGTTTGTGGCTTTTATTTATTTAAATTTTGAGCCATTCCCAAATCACAAATTTTAATTTCTAAATTACTATGTAAAATATTGTTAGCTAAAATATTAAAATAATAATTACGTTTTATGTCTCTATGAATAATTCCTAATTAATGTAAGTATGTCAAACCTTAAAGCACTTAAAACATGATCACTTTAGTTTCTTATTCTGAGAAAGTGTCTCTTTTTATAGCTGTTAGTAAGTCTTCTTCCATATATTCCATAATAATATAAGTTTTATTCTATCCGTATGCTAAGTCTTTAAAAGAAACAATTTATTGGCATTTCATAGATTTAAGTATTTCTATTTCTCTTAAGGCTTATACATTAATCTTTAATAAAATAATATATCAAACCCCTTAATCAGTATTGCTATGGCGCAATTCTTTGATAGCAACTGTTTCTCTAGTGCGTATATTCACACCTTGATACACAGTTCTAAGAATAAGTATATAAAATTACCCAAACTGGCCACAGCCTAAAATCTTTTAGAGAATATACTTTTTTTTTAATTCATCTGTTTACATTTGAGAAGTATGTATTCGTTAGAAAGTAAATTCCTGATTCATAGAAATAAGAAAATTATTAATTGTATAAATTAATGTAAATTTTGACAAATTATCAGGAATATTATTTATAATGTATAGATAGAAAAATTATAAATTAAATTAATCACTCTAATAGCATATATTTATCAGTAATTATTGATTTTATTGCCTTTCTACCTACAAATTCTAGAATCCATTAATGATCCAATCAAAATATAAATGATTTGATTATTAATTGATTAGATTCTATTTTATGTAATACATCAATTTCTCTTACAAACCCTAACATAAATATAACAAACCTCCTGGGATAAACGCAAATTAAATTATTATAAATTATTATGTAGATGCTTTATTATTTGGCAATTATATGAAACCCATTATTACCAAAGATATTAGAATAATTTTTTTAACAAAATGTAGGCTCTAATATTAAAATTGTTTTAAATCTATAATGTTAATCTATTTTTAAATCGAAATTTGCAATCTCCCACTGTAAATTGTCTCAATAACAAGTAAAATAATATGTAACCCATTCAATTCAATCATAAAATTCTTTAAAGTATAATAAATAAATGCAATAACAAAATAGAACAGCAACCATTCCTAGAATTTTCATTGCAAAGAGTTTATGATCATCTTTAGATTTTATGAGGTTTGTGATTTTTTTATGCTAATTTATTACAATCATAAAATAACAAAAAATAAACAAATCTAATACTAAATGGATGAACAAAACTTAAGCTGAAATATAAAAGAAAAGTAATAAAATAAAATTAAACTTGAAACAATTATATAAGCTTTTAGTTAACTAGAATTAGTCTAAATATCAAAATAGCAGGTAAGTTAATGGAATTTCCAAGACCATTATACTTTTAATCTTAAAACTATGTGCAAATGTTGAATTAATCCGAAAAGATTAAAGCAAATTGCAAATAATTAGTAAAAGCATTAAAATATGCCATCCAACTTAATGAATGAACATAGTTTTGATAGCTTTAAAGCGATCATGTAAAAAATTGATAGTACTTAAAATATGCAGTTTAATTAATAAGAATACATATTTTATTAAGATATTGTCAAGTAAGAGAAGGTATAGATCTAATAAAATGACTCTTTATTTGCATTTTTATTTTATGTTGTAATTAATGCTTTAACTTCAAAATTTTATGAAATTTCTTTAAAAAATATGTCCAAGTTGAGAATAAAAGTGCATACCAATTATGATGTTGTAGTTTTAAGTAAACTGATCTTATATGATGTAATCATGGATTCTATTATATAAATTAATCAAATAAAAACTTAATGAATATAAAATATTAATTATTATTTATTTATATTAATATCATATTATAATTATTAATATAACCATGATAAGAATATAAATTAATTTTCTTGTACAACACCTTAAAATCTTAAAATAAGTAGATTATTCATTTAACTCACAGAACTTTTAATTCTTATTTTTTTTTTTTTGGCCTTTTTAAAACTTTAATCTTCTACTAATGTAAAATAAAACTCTATTAAAATATAAGATATAATTTATTTATATGAATATTCAGAATATAAATTTTATATCTATATTCTCTAAAATAGATTGACAATAGATATATTAATAGAATTGACATTAAATGAAATAATTTAATTAAATTAGACTAAAATAATGAAACCTTTGGAATATATAAATTTTTAATGGTTAATTAAAATATAAAAAAAATAATAAAGAATATATAAAATCTAAATATAAAATGAATATATAATTAAGTATCTATGATCATTAAGTTTAGTATGGTGAAGTCCATTTGATTCTTTTTCCATTTATCCATTCTCCTTCTCTATACAAACCACTTTTAGAGTAAAATGTTCCTAAACCATTTTCTTTACCATCTTCCCAATTCCCTTTATACATTGATCCATCTGAATATGTAAAGTCTCCAAAACCATGTTTTTTGTCTTTTACATACTTTTTTAATAATAAATAAAATACATATCCATCATAACATCTACCATCTGGCCAAGTGAAAGTACCATAACCATCCATTTAATTTTCTTTCCATTAACCATCATATTTACGACCATCAGGAAAATAAAATGTTCCTTTTCCATTAAATTTATTATTAACAATAGATCCTTTATACCTTATTTTAGCTGAACTAATACTTGGATCCATCTTAGAAATTGAATTCACCAAATCCTGTTTTAATTCCATCAATAAACCTCCCCTTAAAGTTTGTACCATCAGGAAATCTCTCTAAGCCATCTCCTTATTATTTATCATTAATCCAATTTCCTTCATATAAATATCCTTTGGATGTAATTTATTTTCCATACCCATTAGCCTTATTTCCTTTAAATTCTCCCTCGTAATAATCTCCATTTTCAAATATCAATCTTCCTTAACCATTCATTTAATCATTTTTCCAAAATCCTTCATAAACCCTCTTATCTTTAAATATGGCCCTACCTCTACCATGTCTTTTACCTTATTTCCACTATCCTATATAAATAGATTCATCAAATAATAAGTATGGATCTAAATATGGAGCATTTAAATCTTCTTCTTCATAGTATTAACTCTCTTGTTTTAGGAACTCTTTATAATTAAAATTCCCAATTCGATAAATGATCTAATGTATACTAGCTGGGTAATCACTTTATTTTCTATCTAATTTAATGCCATTCTAAGGAGAATGGTCTACTGTAGCAACCATTTCTTCTATATTTTCCTACTTTACTACTTCTTCCAAAGCCTATTATTGAACTATTGTGTTTTCTATATGTTCTTGATGACTTCTCTGACTATCATTTGTTATTGAAATAGGTACTAATGATCTTCTCTTCCTATTTTTATACTCTAAATCTATATTTCATATACATCTATAAGCTCGTTATATTGTCACTGCATTTTTTGTGTATATTGTCAAAAATGATAATTCAAAATTGGGCATTAAACTTTGGATTGTTTATTGAGTGTTACAACATGCTCCCATTATTTATTAATATTATGAATATAATTGGCCAAAAAGTACTTTTAGATGGTCAAGTAATTGATACATTATCGAATCACTAATTTAGATTACCTGAAACTAAAGTTTATGCTTGGTCATTTCATAAATAAAATATTGTTGCCCTAGGAGTATCAAACAATATTTAATTATGGACTGAAAGAAAACCAAATGATTGGTAATTGGCTCTAACATTTTCATCTCATCAATATCCAATCATTCATTTATCATGGGCACCTTATGATGTTACTTTTGCATCTATTGATTAAACTGGATTAGCATTAATTCATAATAAAAAATAAGATAATTGGGATTAGCCAATACAATTAAATTAGGAAAAATATTCTGTTATTGCATTTGCTCACAATAAATCTACCATTGCTGCAGGAGGATAATGTTTAGATTGTATTCAATATATTATTTTATTCTTAGTTTATGAAAATTTCAAATTAATTCATAGACTTAATTTACCTGTCTAATTATTAGCATATAGTTTCACTGATCGATTGTTAGCTGTGAGTGACAATTCCATTAGTATTTTTGAAAAGAATATCTTAAAATAACACATACTTCTTGAATAAATTCCATCATCAGTTTCATGGTCATTAAGTGGTTCCAAAATTTATGTTTAAATTCTAAATGAAACATTTCAGTATGTAGAAAATTTGTATAATGAATTCGTATTATAACATTGAATAATCTTTACATTTATTATAAACTTAAATATTTTTATTCATATTTTATTTATCATGTATTGCTATTAAAGCATAATTTCAATTTAAGATCTATTATATGTTACTTGTATAAATTAATTCTTTGTTCCTTAATTTATTGTAAATTCATTGGATTATCTTTTAAATTTGAGATTTAACACATTCTAAGTATTTGAATACCTTATTAATTTTTTAAATTCTCTATTCAAATGGATAAATAAATCTATATAAGAATTAGTACATGTTCTTTCTCAATTTAGATTTTGGCAATACAAATTTTTCATAGATAAAACATATCACGCTTTGTATATGTTTTTAGTGCTTAGATTTCAATACTTAGAACAAGTCTAGGAATTCCTGCCGTAATTGGAAATTAGTAGATTTTGAAAATATAATGAAATTATATAAAAAATAAATTTATATATGGCTATTATCATTAAAATTAAAGAAAATAGAATAAAAATTATGATAATTTATCTTTTAATGAATATGTATCTAAATTTCATAACAATATGTTTAAAAGGACCATGGATACAAAAATAACATTGCCATAACTAGATGATGAACATTCTTCACATTAGGAACTATTTTCATTCCAAGAATAAGTACCAAAAGTATATGATATACATTAAATCTTAGTCAATCCAGTAGTAGCTTCAGAACATAATGATTTAGTAGAATCCCAAACAAATAGAGTTCTATTATTATAACCTTTCCTCAAATATTTGTACATGCTCTTTAATTTTATAAATCGTTTATGGACCACATTTCGTACCCCATTTACAAAGTGCAGCAGAGCAATCAGCATCAGTTGTAAAAGTTCCACAATCCTTTGTAATAATTGTTGAAATTGTAGAGTCTTTACAAGGATATAAATTATCAGTTCCTTTAGTTCCAGCATCACATCCAATATTAATACAACTAGTTGTTCTATCATATTATAATTAGCACAAAATGTTTTCTTTTCACATTTATTTGCTGCTCTAAATGCACATCCATTTATTATTACAATCTCCAATTTTATTTTTTGTTGTACAATCAATATCTTAACATACATTTGATACCCATTCACATTTAGATGAGATTTAGCCACAATCATTACTATTTTCAAATGTATCACATGAACATTAATCAGTTCCTATTATATAAGTAAACGCTCCATTAATTGAGACAACTAATCCAATCAACAAAATTATTGTGTAATTCATTTTATTTTTTTTAAATTATTCTAAAATCAATTTTAATTAAGGATTTGAATCACGACAGGTAAATCTAACTTTCATGAGAATTAAATTTTTTATTAAAATTCTAAATTTCTTAATTCAAGTATTTATGTAGAAAATTAAACAAAATTTTCGATTTAAAAAATTTTTTTTTTAATAACTTAATGAAGTATTTACTTTATATGTACAAACCTTCATTCAGATCTTCTAGTTTCTTTTTAACATTATCATTACTCTAAGAACTTGTTCCATAACTCAACAATTTTAAGAACCAATTTTTAGTATTTTGTTTCATTTATTTGGAAAAAATTCTAATCTCTTTTTTAGTCATTCAAAATAAAATAGAAATATATTCTTTATGGATATTCATTATTTAAGCCTTTATCTTCAGGTTTAGTTATTTCGAATATATCCTATTGTTTAAAAGTACATTAAAAATATATAGAACAAAAACTTATTTAACTTTATTGCATTCGGAGGTTTCGATGTTGATTATGCATTAGATTATTCTGATAGTCTTATTCTTAACCTTTTTCCAGAGTTTACAAAATTTTATGATAAGAATTTTAGAAATACATTTATAATTATAATCTATAATGTAGAAACACTTTATTTTGTATGTGATGCTACAAATTAGGGCACTGCAATATTGAAGTAAACCTTTTAAAAAAAAACAACATCATGCTTTTCAGATGGTGTTTCAAAAAATATCACAAGATTATCCCTATAAATAGTTAATACTTAAAAAAGTGATTATTTTTTCTTTTCTTATGAATTCTGATTCATTTAAATTAAAATAAAATTTGTTTTCCAGTTCAATTTATTGATAATACTAGATTAAAATATAGAAAGAACTTCTTGACTACTCTATTTGAACTAAAGAAATCTTTTTACTCCATTTTATTTCAACTGTATCTTTAAACTAAAAGGATTTATTTTTAATCTAAAGTATTTTGGATTTCTAGATAATTAAAAATTGATTATATGAATATAATTTAAGCTAAGAAATCAGTGTTGGATATTAATCTAAATAAAAATCAAGTTTCGATTATTATAAATAAAAATACTTGAAAAATAATATATCCTGAGAATTATTTATAAACTAGAGCATTATTAATAGTTGTTTTTCCAGAGAATAAATTAAAATAATTTAAGTAAGAAGTGGTATTTGAAATTAGAATCTAATTTTATCTGAAGGGTTTGTATTTTAATTTCTTTCTTGTCATCATTTAACTTATTTGAATTCCATTAAAGCTTATTAGGAATTTGAAATAAAGAAAATTTAAATATTATTTAATAGATTTAAATCTAATTTTTAATCTGAAAATAAAGTAATGATTATAATATTTTAAAGAAACTAATATTAATAGATTATTAAAGAAATAGCTTTGTGATTTATAGGTTTTTGTAATTATTTATGTTGATTAAAAAATTAAGTTCATTTTTAATATTATTATTTTAGGGATAATGATTAAGAAATAAATAAGTTCAATCTAGTAGGTTATTAAGAGTGAGACATCGATTGTAGAATTAAAATGGTTTTAAGATCACGAAGTTTATATAGATTCTCCAGAGAATAGCTGGAAGTAGTTGATAATGAACAATTTTGAATACTTCCTATTTATAATGGTTATGGTGTATTGTCTGACATTCTGTTTCATGTACATTATGTTTAGTAAAAAATCAGATAAAATGATCTCACATGCTAGAAAAGAGAGTGCAGCTAGTGATGAATTATAAAAGTAATACGTGTATATTTAAAAGTTAGTTCAATTGGGCGATGTAGTGATTAGAATGAAAAGTAAAAAAAGGAATAAACTTCAAGTACAGAAACTTCACCAAGAATATTGTAAAAGGAACCTGTATGTAATATTGTTGCATTACCTAATTAATAAATATAACTTTTTGGACATATGATTTCAGAACAAAAAGAGTAAATTATTGAGTTGGAAAGAAATTAGGAGGATAATATCATAACATTTACAAAAAAAGAGATTTAAAAAGTAAAAGCGAATGATGAGGAATTAAAGTTTTTGACATGTTAATTTGCAGATTTAAAATAAAAAAATGCAAAAGGTGTGCATATGATAGAGTAGAATAATGGAAATGGGATACCAGAAAGAGCAATTCTAATTCTAACAGATTGGAGTAGGTATTGCGAAAATGGAAAATTCCAGAAAATGTACACTTCTCCTAAACTAATTGGGAAAGGAACATTTGGAGAAGTTTATAAATGTTAAAAAATTATTGATCTTAAAGAATATGCAGTTAAAAGAATTTATTTTAAAGTTTAAAATGAAAAAACATTAAGAGATCATCCCATTTTTAGAGAAATAGGGTCACTTCAAGAGATAAATCATAAAAATATAGTTAGATACTACACTAGTTGGATTTAAGAATTGACACCAGAAATGATAGCAGAAATTTCAAAATTACATGATATTGTAGCTGAATAACAATAAACATAATTAGAATCATAAAATCAATATCATCCTATATTAATGGATGAAATGTCTTATATGAATGATTATGTTTAATTTGTTGGTGATGGTGATTCAGAAGTAGAGTAATAAACAAATACAAAATAATAAAAATCGATATAAAGCTTTCATTTGTCTGATTACAGTAGTTATGTATAGTCTCGAATGCGTAGATATCAATTTAATCCAAATTAGAAAGGACAGGAATATTAATTATTAACATTATATATTGAGGTAATTTTTTATATTGATATATTAGATGGAATTATGTGATTTTACACTTAAAGAGTTTATTGATAAAGTTGATAGAAAAAAGGAAAATGACTTAATTAAATCCATTTTTAAATAGATTTTAGAGGGAATTAATTATATGCATTTAAATAAGTATATTCATAGAGATTTAAAGTATGTAAATAAAATTAAAACTTAAGACCTTAAAATATATTTATAAATTCAAAGAATGAAGTAAAAATAGGAGATCTTGGATTATGCAATTCTTTAATATTTAAATTAGATGATAATTATCAATCCTCTGGCGAATACACAAATAATATTGGAACTCCTATGTATATGGCTCCAGAAGTAAAAGACGATCAATATGGTTATCCTGCTGACATATATTCATTAGGAATCATATTCTTTGAAATGTTATGGAAAGTAAAGACTCATTCTGAAAAGATCAGGTAATTATTAAAATTCAATTTAGATTAATAAAAGATCTGACAAAAGATTCTTCACTACCTCCCAATCTATTTAAGGAATATCCTGTTGAAGCAGAACTAATACTAAAAATGGTGAATAAAACTCCATCGGAAAGACCAACTGCTCAATAGGCTTTAGATACTCTAAACATATTATGAAAATAATAAAACTATCACAAATCTTTTAATAATTTATCAACATATTCCCAATCTTATAATTTGTTTCCATTACTATATTCTCCTGTTAAAATTGTAAGACTATCAAAGTATTATTGAAACACTTCAATCCATCTACCATTTTTCATTCCATTTATTAAATAAGATCCGCCACCTCTTTATTCATTAAATTTAAAATTACGTCTATTTTTAATGCATAATCTCCCATTAACCAAATCTTGTATCATTATTTTAATCTCCAATATACTTAAGAATTCTAAATTGAATAAGTATAAATTACATTAAATTGCAATATCCAATATGTGGAATAATTTCAATCCATGAATCAATCTATGAATCAATCTTTATTCCTTTTGATGAATATTTACCTCCACCACTAAATATAAATAGATAATTACTTAATTGTATTTAAACCATGTTAAGTAATAGACCATTCACCAGTTCTAATTCCATCATCATAATTCCCATAATATTTAAGAATTCTATTTAAAATTTAATATATCAATGTTATAGATTAAAATCTTTTCTTCTTACTTTTAATTATAATAAAAATTAATAGAAATATATAGTTTAACAATCATTTAATAACCTCCACCAACTCTAACATCTATATCAATCCATTTTCCCATCTTACTTCCAAAATCACTATATTAACCTCCACCACTTAGTTAATAAAACTTATACATAAATTTTCCACCCAATTTAGTAATAGCCCAATTTCCTTATTTCAATCCATTTTAATAGGATCCATTGTATTAGAGAATAACTTCTGAATTGTATCCAATGTGACATTCGACTTCTTACCATTATCCTTCTTTAATTCCACTTAAAGAATAATTACCTCAACCACTTCAATAATTATAATAATAATAAATACATTTATTCTTTATTTGGCTTTTAAATATTCCATCTACCAACTCTAACTCCATGATTCTATTCTCCTTAATGTAATAAAGTAATAGTATCTTCAATACCATCGTGCGCTTGTATTTCTACCCATTCACCATCTTTACTTCCTGATTTAGTATAAAAACCAGAAGAACTTAATAAATAAATCAATTTACACAATTTCTCTTTGTTCATTCTATACTACCCATTTTCCTGTTCTAACTCCACCTCTATATTCACCTATATGAAATAATGTTCTATCTATTCAATATTAAAGATATACAAATATTTTCCAACTCCAACATGAACTTCAACTTCTTTCCAACCTCCTTCTTTGAATCCATATTTATTATAACATCCTCCTCCTAATTAATTCCCTTTATACAATTTAGTTATCGACAATCCTGATCTTTTCCCATTATTATATTCTCCTTCTGATATCAAAATCCTTTCTATTTTTTATATTCTTACACAAAACATCTCCAACCAACTTGCATATCCACTTCAATCCAATCTGATTGCTTCTCTCCATATCTAGAATACATTCCTCCTCCACTTGTACTATATGATTATTTATTTACATCACACCCTCTTGTTATTCTGAAATCACCCATTTTCCAATTCTTCTATCGACACTATAATCTCCAGTCAATATTAGTGTTCTTAAACATAATCTAAAACTATATACTTTGTACTGTAATATCCACAAAAAATTTGAATATCTGTCCACTTTCCATCTTTCTAATCTTAAATATAATTTCCTCCTCCTAAAATAGTATCGCACCCTTCTTTGTAAATATTCCACACTCCAACCCTCTGTCCCTTTTTATATTCTCCTTAATGTAATAAAATTCTAATGTTATTAATTTATCAAATAACTATGAGCAACGCCACCCAACACAAACTTCTATTTCTAGCCAAGTTCCTTTTTTATATCCTTTGCATTATCCTCCTCCAATCTAATTTCTGCATATATCCAGCACTTTCCAATTTCCTTATTTTAACCCATATTTATAATCTCCAAGATGTAATAAAATTCTTAATATTTAAATAAAATACATTGAACATTCAACCCCAACATGAACTTCAACTTCTGTCCATAAACCTTCTTTTAAACCAATTTAAGAGTAATTTCCTCCATCACTTTCTTTTATTAAAATATTTACATTTATCCAGCATTCAAATCTGATATTAACCACATCCCAACTTTAATTCCATTTCCTTAATTCAATATTCCTATCGAACACCAAAAACCAGCATAACCTTCAACTTCTGTCCAATAACCATGCTTTTACCCCTGTAAATACATTCCACCTCCTCTGATATTCACTATCATACTTACACTTAACCTCTATTTCCATAAATTGTAGTCCATTCTCCATGTTTCACTCCATTTACATACTCTCCTTTATTAATTACAACGCTAACTAATTTTAAATTCTTACATTTTCCCCCACTTTCCCAAAAATACTTCAGGCTCAATCCATAATCCTATCTTCAATCCTTCTTAAAATTAACCTCCTCCGATTACTGATTAATCCTGATCATAATAAAACCATTTATTCACTCTTACACCTTATTAATATTAACCTCGAAATGTTCTTATATAATATTATTCACTTACATACTAAAATCTCGATTATTATTATAATACAACACTTCTGACCACATTCCAGATCTTACTCCATTATCATATTATCCTATTTTATTCAATCTTCCTTCTGTTAACAAGTAACAAATTCCAATATTATTTTAATTGTATTCTTTTACTGCCAGTGTATATTAACCTTCCTAAAATTCTTTTAATTTTATTCCCAATGCTATTTCATCTAGTGGATAAATTGTGAATTTATTGGCTTAGTCTAACACTTAATTTGAATATTAAAGCAATTGAAATATCTAACTTGGTTTATAATCTGCCATCTATTATAATTTATCAGGCATCATTAATTATATAACTCTGTCTAAATATTCATTTTCTAATGATGTTGTGAATGATAAACTCTAAAATCCATCAATCAAATAATCAAACAATTCTAATTCCTTGAATATCTAATCCTAAATTATTTCTGAAGCTCTTTGTACACTATTTATTACATCTTTGATTTTCTTTACTAATAGCTCTGATGCTTCATCTAATTAAATTATTGCATCTGAAAATTTCATCTCTACTATCTCTCGTATTTTCTTTTTTGCCAAAACTACTTAATCTTCAAATTCGCTAACACTAATGCAACATTCAATATGAGATTTATGATATTAACTGAAACACTTTTAGCATCCCCATTTTTTTTAACATCTAGGATGCAAGCAAAATAATGTTATTTCCCTCTCAAAATGATTTTTCTCTTTGCATTTCGGAGCATACATTTTTTTCAATTTTATTTATTTTCTAATATAAATATAAATTTTACCTAAATTTTCTGATAAAATCATTTTTACTATTTTCTAAGTAACCAGAATTAAAGGAATATGATAAATAACATTTTTGAGGGAGATTTTAATAGTATTGCTAAATTTTATATGTCATTAACAAAAAAGAAAATAACAAATTCTGCTAAAATTATTATTTATTAGATAAACCTGCTATATCCATACTTTATTAACTTAATCGAATAATTTTTTATTTTATAAAATTCATTCTGATTTTATAATGCAGCTATTTTTGATTTTAAGATCTAATATGTACTCTTAATTATTTATTGGTTTTTTATTTTTTAAAATGATCTCAATGTTATGATGATAATTAAATTATAATTATAACAAAAAATCAAATATATTTTCTTATAAATAAGTAAATCTAATTAATTAAATATAAGTTTAAGTTTTTGTATTGAATAGTTTCTGTCTAAATTTTGATTATATAATCAAATATAAACTTTATTAAAGAATTATTAATAAAAAAAATGTAAGATTAAGATTACATAAATTCATTGTCTTTAGAACTCTCCATACCAAAAGAAAAGTTTATTGAGTATGATTAACACAGAAGTCCGATCTAAAAATAATTTGTATGTTAATACTGGTTAAGAGGAACCTGCTGTTTTTCGCCAGGTAAGCGTGAATGCAATATTTAGAGTTTTGCCATTTTGCGCATGGAATCGAATTTTTAGAATATAAAATAGATTCAATGACAAATTTAAGACCTTTATTCATATAAGAGGATTTAAATCAAAAATACAAGATTGATGGCATTCCAAAATAATATTTTATAGTTGAGAAATTTTAATAGCATCCTGAAGTAAAGGAATAATTGAGGTAACATCATGAATTTATTGGAAAATATTATGATCCTAATAAAGTTTACAATTTAAAAGAAATACAGTTTGAAAAATCAATCAAATAAATTATCATGAATACTATGTATTTATTGGAAATTTAACGTTTTTATGATAAAATCTTAGAAAAGTTATAAGTTAAAGCAATTCCTAAACTTGTTTTCATTCATGAATTAAATAGAGTAGGATATTCATATATGGGTAAGTAATTTAACCTATTTTATAGGAAGTAATTTTGCTAGACCTAATACCCTGATATTCAATTTAGAAAATAGTGGTTTTTGCTTTTAAGAGACATTTAAAACAAATTTAGTAATAAATGGATATGATGGTTCTATTTATAACAAATAATATAAAAAAGTTTAAAAGGATGGTGTTGAAAAAAAATAAGCTTTAGAATAAAATGAGAATGAATAAGATGATATTAATAAGGAGGATAATGAAGATTAAAACGGAGAAAATGATTGTGAAAATGTAGATCTAGATGATCTTATAGATACTAATGAAGGAGAAAAAAAAATTCCATTTTTAGTTAAAGTTGAAAATAAGTAGAATTTAGTAAAAAGCTTTAATGCTAAATTAGTAGAAATTTTATAAGAAAAACCAGAGTTGGCTAAACTTACAGATATATCTAATTTTCATTTAGCAGTAAATGACATTATGCAAAAATAAAATCAGATAAATTTTAATAATAAGGAACAAATACTACCGAATTTGAGATAGATTTTGAGGATTATGGATTAGATTTGGGATGAATATGCAGATTAATATGGATTTCAAGATATAAGATTTAATAATTCTAGAGATTCTGGAGAACCTTTAAATTTTTTAGTTCAATACTTTACACCTGAACAAAAATAAATATTAAATGAATATCTTTAGAAGCCAAAAGTTAAATATTATCTATGTTCATATTGGATGAGAGGCATTTGCATTTTTCAAAAGTAAGATTGCAGATTTGCACATGGTTTAGAAGACTTAGAATTAAATTTTGATATTGAAAGAGATTTTGCAAAATTAAATAATGAGTAAAAGCCACTTAAAGATAATGAAAAACCATTAATAAATCATCGAACTTATGGAGTATTATATTTATCTTAATATAAAATGATTGATTAAGGAGTATTAGGATTGCATTAAAAGAGAAATATCTTTCAAATTGATAACTTAAAAGAATATAGAGATAAAATAAGAGAATATATCTAAAAATAAATGGTAATTAGTTTATATAAAATGATTTCAAATGGTAAACCTTAAAATAAAAGTGAGATTATAAAGTATTTTAATTTAGCGGGCTTTATTTAGAAAGGAATTGATTTGTCGGAATTGAAAATAATTAAAATATTAATAAATAGTGATGTTATATTCGAGAAGGAATTTGTAATTAAAGCACCTTAAATTAAATAAGAGGATTAGAAAGAGAAAGTGAAAGAAAAAGAAAAAGAGAAAGAAAAAGAGAAAGAAAAAGAAAAAGAAAAAGAAAAAGAGAATGAGAAAAAGAAAGAAAAAGAGAAAAAGAAGGTAAACTTAAAATAGATTTTATTAATACCAATATTAGATTACGATATTTATAATAAATTTTATGAATAAATAATATTCTAAGCCTTGGTAAATATTTTGAAGAATAAAGTCGAATTGCCAATGGAGGAAAGCATAGTAAAAAAGGAGATCTATAGGTTGGATTAGGTTTTAGAGATGCCAGGAATTTATTAATATTTTTTAAGACATCCAAAAAAGAAATATACATTAATTGATTACTTTTAAGAGAATATATTATCAAAAGTAAAAAATTAATTAAAAGACTTAATTCATCCAGAAGTTTATGATTAAATATCTGAAGATGGATTTAATTTGATATCTTTTGATGCAGATATTCCCTAATTAATGGCAATAATTTAGGCTATTTATGGTCATGCTTAAACACATAATCAAATTTCAATAAATTTTAATAAATTGATAAAGCAGATAGAAATGAATGCCAGCGATAATGACAAATATAATTGTATGGTAAATTATTTGCATAAAGAAAAATTGCATAAGTTTTATAGTATAAATGGAAATCTTTATGTTATAAATTAATTTGGTAAAACAGTAAATAAAAAAAAGAAATGCAAATGTGGAAAGGAGTATTAATCACCATCAAAAATAAAATAGATAAACAATAATATGTTAATTACAAAAATTTTGGAGATACAAGAATTTGTAGATAAAGAAGTTAGAAATACGATAATAGTGGATTCAGCAGAAAAATTACTTTTGGCATAAGAGTTTTTCTCATTTGATGTTAATTATGTTGGAATAGATTTGGAAGGATAATTGAAGAAAGGAGATATTTGGCTTATTTAAATGGGAGTAATGGTAGAGAATTTAAGAATAATATTTATATTTGATTTAATGAAAGCTAAGTATTTGGAAGCTGATTTAATTTTTCATGAATAAATGTTAAGTGTGGTTAGAAATATATTGGAAGATGAAGAGATTTGTAAAGTATTTCATGATTGTAAAAGAGACAGTTAAGCTTTGCATATAAATCAAATCTGTCCAAAGAATGTAGTAGACACAAGTTGCACATATTAATTTATAGAATAATTAAAATTTAACGATCAAGATTCGAAAAAAGTTAAAAAAAAGTATTATCTTATATTAATTTTGTAGTCCAATATAAATTTCCAAAGAAATATTATAAGTAGCTACTCCTCCTATCAATAATGTACTAAAAAAATATTAAGCTTTACATGGTTGCAATGAATTAAAGGAGGAGATGCATTCTAAATTTAATAAGTGTAAAGCAAGTGATTTCTTTGCTCGTCCAAATCCAGCATTTATGTATTATAGTGCAAGGGACGTAGAAGACCTTGTTTAAGTTTATTTATAAATGGAAATGCTTGTCTTAGAGTATAAATATATCATCGAAAAGATGAGTAATAAAAATAAATAATTCCATATATTATAGAAAGATTAGTGATTTTTTGAGTATATTTTAAATTTATATTAATATATATTTATAATAAATTTAATGTTACCAAAAATGTTGGGTAAGATTTAAATATGAGTATCATTAGATGCTTCCTTCTTGTATGGAGAGAAGAGATTCTTGAAGAAACTTAATAGACAATAAGATGAAAAGTATAATGTTATTGATTAGTAATGAGATTAATTAAAACCAAGAAATGACATTAGAAGAAGTTTTATCTTCAAATATAGATTGCAGAGATAAAATAGAAAAGTTAGTTTCTGATTCCAATTTATAGAATGATTTTTTAATCAAAGCTCATAGTATAAACAAAGAGCTTAAAGACTTTTATTATCTCCCTTTGGTAGCCTTAACTTTAGACCCTCCTAGTTATTATCCAGTCGATACAATCGATATTGAAACTATCTTTTAACATTTTGGATAAGTAAATAATTATTTAATAATTTGAGATTCTAAAAGTTATCAACAAAGATAAAATAGCTTATATTTTGATGAGAAGTATTGTTGAATGTTGGATTGCTGTTAAATTACTTAATAATACTCCAATTGAGCTTCCTGGTAGATCTGGTACCAATTAGATTCACACTCTTAAAGTTTAATTATGTTTTGAGGATTCTTCAGTTCATCATATTTATCAATTCAATCATAGAAATCTGACAGAAGAAGGGCTAACAATATAAAAGGTAAGAAAAAGGTATTTTTAGGAAGACTCCAGATTTATTTGATAATTTAGAAAAAGATTATAAATATATTTCAATATTTGAAATTGATGTTGATAAATATTAGAAAGAATTTAATATTAAGCAAAGAATATTAGGATTAAAAGGCTCTAATATAATTAGAATATTATATTTAGTTGAGAAAGCATTTGCTTTTTAGACAAAAGAGAATTCAAGTAATTTGTAAGAGTTGGATGTTAAATTATTGGTGGATGAATGTAAATTTATATGATATTTAGAGAATCTGAAAATTAGTTGATTTTGCTTGGCAACTAATGGAATAAATTTGTATTAGCATAAAAATATGCTAACGAATTATTTGCTCAAATTAAAGAAGAATTTAAATTCTTTTAAGATTTTCAATAATAAGGTTTAAAAGAGTCTAGAGTTAGAAGAATTGATAAATTTGTTCAACCTGTTGAAGTTTAATATTCATATGATGCAGATTTGTGAATAATTGAGTACCCTTCATTAATATAAAATTATTAATCTTTTTGGTGTAAAAACTAAATATTTAATAACAATATATATTTTAATATTAATCTCAAAAGCCAATTAAATATAAGGCAATTGTAAATGCTATCAATAATGATGAATAACATTCTTAACATTTAGATCCATGATCCTCATCTTAAACCCATCTATAAGTATGTCCAGAATTTTAATAACAAGTTTATTCATCAAATCTATAGTATTTATCAGTAAATTATTGACAAACTTTATTCTACCATTAACATAATTCTACATAGGAATCTTTGAAATTTACAATCACATAAGTGCATTAATCTTAATTCTTATAGTCTTAACATTTAAAAGGCACACATTTATTAAAATAAGAACTCCATGTACATATCCTATAAAGTGCATTACATTGTGTTAGTTGAGATATTGAATCACAATTTATTAACTATTAACAGCCAGTATTGTTATCCCAGTAACAAAATCCATCTGGAGATGCAGTTCCTATAGTACATTGATTTGGTGTTTAATTAGAACTACAAGAACTTAATGAGGATTTAGATTAACATGTTTGGTTTATTATTCCTGGACAATTAATAGATTAAGCTAAGCAATCAAAAGTAGTGGTTCCTTAAAGATTAGTACAAGATGTGAATTCTGTACATCCTTAATTAGACCACATACATGATGGTAAAGTAGAGCAATTATTTTAATCAAAAATGTCTTTGCATTGATTCTTTATACAACTACCTGAATCACTCAATTTACATTTAGGTTTTGCAGCCAAACATTCAACATTAGTTAATTAATCGCATGAACAAGTATGAGGTAATTAAATGAGGTCTAAAGAACATGAAATACAATATCCTTTTTTTTGATTATTAGACCAATGATAGGTACCTCCAGTTTCAAAATAACAAGTTTCAGGGTCTTTATTATTCAAATTAGTTAAAGAGGCATTTTGACATATAGATATTTCTTAATTCCATTCACACATAGATATAGAAGAACTATTCATGCTTTAAAAAATGTAAGTACAATTCTCTTTATCTGATATATTAGAACAAGTAATACTAGCACATTAATTAAATTCCAAATTCCAAAAACAGAAATGTTAGAATCCAATACAATAATTATAAGATTTAATCTAAGAACAATTAGTTATCACATTACAAGCTTAATTTTAATATCTACAATAGCCTTCTTATCCAATACTATTTGCACATGCTGCTTAAGTTGTAATACTACTACAGGCTTATAAATTTGAGCTATCTTAACAGAATCCATTCAAAGTACCTGGACAATTAACACTTTAAGCTAAACATTCTAAAGATGAATTTCCTTTTAATGTTGTACAGAAATTTAATGATAATGTTATTGAATAACATGCATTACTACTCATTTTCCAATAACATTATTTTTATTGAGAACATTCAAATTAATTTTTAATATTACTACAACTATTTTGAATACATTAATTATTTGTCCATTAACAAAAAGGATGTAAACATTCACTTTAATTAAGTATTTATGAACATGCGCACTTATTTTAATATTAAGTAGCATATGATGGCACATTACATGTTACACAAAAACCTTATGTTAATGAGTCTGTACTCCAACGACTTGTTCCATCTGAGTTTGTAAAACATGTGTTTGCATCAACTGCTTATTATATAATCATAGGTTGGCATCTACCATTCAACCATTAACATGATTATATCTTTTATGGATCTGTTAAGCTTAAGACATATGTACAAGAATATCTTGTTTTATAATTATTACATGTTCTATTTTGACAGTTACCATAATATGAACTAGAAACCCATGCACAATATAGAGCATGTTATTCACAATTTATTTATTAATATAATTAATTACATGATTCTAATATTGTACATCTATTATATTAGTAATTCCAACTGCACACTTGTTTTTTGGTGCCCTATAAATTTATACAAGCATCTTATGTTTTATAATCTTCACATTATGGTTAATCTTTCAAACTTGAACAACCTTTTACTGAAGCATTAAAAGGACAAAATAAAGTTTATGATAAACACTCATCCATTGATTCTCCTTTTAATTGACTACATGAAGTAAATTCTATACAACCACTAGATGACCACATACATTTCATACTACTAACACATAAGTTTTCTGTCAATTATGTACATGAATATTCCTCACACAATTTTAATATTGGATCCCAAAAACATAATTCATTTTAAATACAATTTATTGATGATATCAGTTATTAACAACTACATTTGTAAGGGTTAGGTAAATACTTAACACCACAACTAATGCATACTCCTGATTAATTTTATGCTTAACTCCATCGAGCAGTTTTTGCTGTATTTAAATAACAATTAGCACTATTATAAGATAAAAAAGTGGATGCAACTTACTCACAAACACTTGTCTTAATATTCCATTTGCATCCAATAGGAGTAAATGAATTAAGGGATAGATAATAATATTTGCATTATTCTGGAGTTTTAAAAGTACTGCATGTAGATTAATTACATTAGTCATTAGACCAATTACATACATATTCATAGATGCCACAATTGGCCTCCCTTAATATTTAATCACATTTTATTAAAATTTAACAAGAATTAGATGTGGTATTCCATATACAAAGACCATCACTTCCTAATTGATTTGTGCAGGTAGCAACTGTGTTATAATTTTGACATGGAGAATAAAAGTATTTATTTTAACATTTAACTCCATCAGAATAAGGACAGTTGATAGATTAAGCGATACAATCTTTAGGAGTGGCTCCTGCTAATCCAAGACAAGTTTAAAAGTCAGAACAACCATATTCTGTCCATTAACAGAGATTATTTTAAATGCATAAATCTTAAGTAGTTATTGCTAAGCAACTTAATAACTGACAGGCTTAGCCATACCAATAACAAATAGGATTAGCTAAACAATCTTATTGTAAATATAACTATGTGCAAGAACATTACTGAGGCAATATAAGAGTTGTTTATAAGCATTTAACACATTTTGTACCTGTATACATATAAGTAAATTGAGAATTTAACATACAATCAGTTTCATTTAGAGTTAGAATATTTTTAGCATTTAAACATTTATTATTTATCCATTAACAAATTTAAACATCTGACTCATTCAACTCTTTATAAACATAAGTACAATCTTTTTATGTCTAAATATTTGAACAAGTTTATTGTAAACATTTTTTTTAAGTTGTTGACCAAAAACAAAACTTTTTAATTTAATTACATATATTTTCATCAATTATATAAAGACAAGATTGTAGATTTTAGCAAACCTAATTTAATTCATTAAAATAACATATTCCATCACCTGTTACATATCCATCACAAGAATATTAATTTAGCTAGTTACAATAAACTTAGGATGCTTAACAATTTTAATAGCTTTCATTTGGACAATTTATTGATTAAGCCATACAAGCTAAAGTATTCAAGCCTTGTAATTGTTAACAACTGGAAAAGAATAAGCAATTTTATAGTGATAAATTCCAATAACAGTTTTTATTTGTACTACATTATAGTTAATTAGTAATTTTATCGCATGAAATATCTTAACATGAATTTTAAGTCCAATCACAATATTCAGTTAAGATACATTCTGCTTCATACATGAATTGTTCACAACTACATCTATTGGCAGGTTAAATTAATTATTAAGAACAACTCACACAAATTCCTTATTTGTCATTTCCTATCCATCTATAATTTAATAATGTATTTGTTTAACATTAATCTTATGTTTAGAATAATTAGGATGTAGCTAATTAACAATTATTATACAAATAAAAACAAGGATAAACTTGATTGGGATCCAAAGAAGCAACAATAAATTTACAATTTTATTATTAAAATTGATTGCATGTAGCTTAATTACAACCACCATTTACATCATCCCAAACACAAGCATTTTGTATATATTTATTACAAACCTATTAATCTAAAAGTTAGTTACAGTTAGTGGCAACAACACATTATTATTCTTAATCATTCCAAGTGCATAAACCATCAGATCCTAAATAACCACCCTATTAACCACAAGTTCCTATCTAATATGTGAAACAACCTGGTAATGATGCTATACTCTAGCATTAGTTAGTATTAAATCCATAACATGAAATATTTTATTCTGGACAGATTAACCCTATTTAAGAAGTCAAGTTAGCACATAAAGTAAAAGGACTACAGATTTGACCATTCCAATAACAATGTTTTTTCGATATTAAACATTCATTTTATGTTTTTATATTTCCACACTAAGCTTATTGACAAACATTGTTTTTATTATTCCAATAACATTATCCAAGTGTATTATTATTGCATCCTTTTTCATTCAAAAATTATTTGCATTTACATGCTGTAGATGGAGACACCACAATATACTGACTAAAGACTATTGGCAATACAATTAATATTGCCCACAAAATTTTCATCAAATTATTATATTTATCTTCTAGTTTTTTATAAGACTCCCTTATAAATCACTTAATCTAATTGTAATTTTAAAAGGTTATTAAAGATATGGAATTATGTAGAAAATATATTTCTTGCCTTTTTTTTACTTAATATTAACTTCTATTGAAACTATTATATAAAAACCCTAGGCTTTAAACTAAAAGTTAAAGAGAAACTTATTTACTATAAGTCTGAGATCAATATGGGAGTGAATGATTGTTAAAATTGGAACTATATAATAATATGGAATTATTGATTCATAAAACAGAAATTGTGTATTTTATTAAATATAAAAAGGTCAGATGTTTAATACGGAGTGAATCTAATTTCTAATATTAATAATAACTATAATAATGAAAATGGAAGTGATTTGGTTGTTGATTCTAATTTCGTTGGTAAAATCATAAGTAGTTTTATCATTCCAAAATTCTTGTTTGTGCACTTAGATTGCATTAGATAAAGAATGCAGTTAGCTTTACCCTTATTGCAATTGGTAAGTGAACTATGATGGTAATGAGTCATGTGAGATTACAAATTGTGCTTATTTAAATTCTTCAGCTGATTGTGTTCTAATGAGAGAATGTATTTGGAATGGAAATTTTTGTGTGACTTCAAATGGAATTGTGGATTGTAATTAGTTAGAGGGACAACCAAATTTAACCTGTTAATAATAGAATATATCTTGTTATGGATTGAGTGGAAATTGTGTTTCATAAAAGGATTTACCTGGTTGTTAGATGTACTCAACATAATAAGAATGTGCTACAGGATAAGAAGGAAAATGTTCATGGTAGACATAAACAAATTAATGTGTTTATTATGTGAATTGTTAATAAATTCCATTGAATATTTGCAATAATTATAGACCCTATGAGACTGATCATTCATAAGGATAATATTGTCATATTAATGCTAATGGGATATGTGTTTAAATGACTTGTGAAGATATTACTGCTCGAATAAATTGCACTTTTGTTTAGACAGTATTCAATCAGGATTAATTTTATTTATGTATTTGGAATGATTAATCAAAAACTTGTTAAACAGCTAAAGGAACATCAGATTTGAATGAATAAAACTGTTTTGTAAATACATTAGGCACATATCATTGGATAGCAGATAATAAATATTCAGTACAAGGAATATGTTTACCATGCACTCTAAGAATAACAAAATAATCAGATATATGTGCTTGTGAATAATTGGTGGCTTAGATGGATTGCATTTCTGCTAAAATATGTACATGGCAATAAAATAAATGTATAACTAGTTAATGTCAATTATTTAATGAATAATAATCATTATGCGCTTAATCTCCTGCATGTATGTATATTTTTGGAAAAGGATGCATACCTTTTACAAAATGTTCTGAAATCAGAGGTAGTAATTAATTTTAATGTATTGCATAATCAATTTAATGTCCAAGTAGTAATGGATAATTCTGTACTTCAATTCCTTTAGATAATTCATTCTGTTAATAATAAGATACTTCTTATAATTGTGGTAATTCAATTCTTAGTAAAGGATTATGTTATTGGAATTATTAAAAAAATCAATGTCAATTTTCACCCTCATGTTTTAATTTAGATTATCAAGTTTGTAAAAAACTAAAACATGCATGTTATGTTTAAGGTTATTAATGTTATCCAGTCTAATGTTATATTTTTACTTAGATTTCTGATTGTTCCTTTTACTTTGACTATTATAGCGGATCTTATCAATATTGTTATTGGAATTATGAATTAGGATATTGTGATGATTAGAAAACATATAATTTAAGTTTTTAATCTTGTTATATCAGTACTTAAGGGACATATAGATGGAGTAGTTTAGATTCAAAAGTTGGTGTATGTACTTAATGTGCAGCAGCACTTATTCCTAATAAAAAAAGATGGTGTTAGTGTGATTAATTAATATATTAAGGCGATTGTGCAACTGCAAGTGATAGTTGTTTATGGAACTCAGAAAAATCTTAATGTGTAGTAATATCATGTTCGATGTTAAAAACAAGAGATCTTTGTATATAAAATTATAATTGCCATTGGATTTAATATCAAGATGCAATGTAATGTTTACCATTTACTTCTTGTGATAAATTACCAGGATCTAATTCTTATATGTGCATGCTCTATTCATAAAGATGTACATAAACTGATGGTTAATTTTGTAAGGAACTCTCATATGCAGATTCAAAAAACAAATGCTCATCAATTGCTGATTATACTAATTGTTATCTTACTGTAGCTTCTGATGGAGTTTGTAGATGGAATACTAAAACTTAAACTTGTTATACATTATCAGAATGTAATCAAATTACTGAAATGTCTCTATGTGGTATTAATAATTATGCTTGTTATTGGAATTTCTAAACAAATACTTGCAATTCTATTACTTGTTCTATGGTCACTAATCCTTCAGATTGCACTTACTTTGATTCATATATTAATTTCAGTTTCTAAATCTAAATGTGTATCTGGAATACAACTTGTTAAAATGCCACAAACTTAAATTTAACCTCCAACAATTGTTATACCAATACTGCTAGAACATATAGATGGTCAAAAAATAATGATACTGATGGTTCATGTGAATCATGTTTATAATCAACCATTCTTAACCTTGCATTAATCCTCCTTATTATCAGCATTTGAGTATTTAAATTTTATATCCATATCAATCAAAATTCATATCAAAAATTATATATCTAAAAACACTTCTATTCTTTCTTCACTTGTTATTTCCTTTTTTATATTAAAATTCTATCCAATTATAATCTTCATTTATTATTATTTAAGTTATTCATCTATTAATCTGAATATTACATCCAAACTTTTTATTTTGAAGAATTACTTTTAATATTTTAATCAAAAATATTATTACTCAAACTTTTATTCTCAATTTAATTATAATTTATCAGTTATCCCCTATAATTAATCTTTTGCACTATATGGATTAAATTAATATTTTAAAAACAATATGATTAAGTACAATCTCTTTATTATTTCATTAATATTATCATAGATTCATTCATATACATCAGAAATTATTTTTATTATTTTTGATATTTCCCATCATTAAAAAATTATTTAAAATAATAATAAGACATTATGTTATCATCTTTATATGATGTGATAGTAGTAAAAAAATATTTTATTTATTCTATGCATCCATGATTGATTATAAAAGCATTTGTTAAATGTATAAACTAATGTCTAGAGTTAGATTTTTTATGACCTTTCCAACTATGATGAAAAAGTTAAATGGCAGCTTAACTTTTATGATATCACTTTTTAGATAACATGGTGTAGCATTTAATAATTTATATAAAATGTTAAGAGGAGGTGGGGCTTGTGCTTCTTAAAGTAAATAACAATCCCTCTCTATTAACTCATTATAAATTTCTAATCAATTTGAGAATGTTCTCTCTAGTAATGTCCTTTTGTTATCAAAAAAAGCTGAGGATTTTAACAATAATTATTCAGAGATTTACAATAGTCTTTAAATACTATTATCGCTGGATTAAGAACTAAATAATCTCACCAAATCAAGGAATCAACTCAATAAATAAGTTGAAAATTTAGAGAAATGGCTTACAGACATTCTTGAATCATGTTGGAAATTAAAAAATCCATTACTACGATATTTATCCATAAAATTTGCTCATAAACTCTCAAGAAATATATTTTGGCATTATTGTTAAGCAAAGTCAATTAAGGATAGAATGCAGTAATAATATATTTCAACTTTAAATAAAATTGAGACTCAAAATAATTCTTTAGACAGTTTTTATAAATATATGATTGACTATGAAATTATGGTTTGTAAAATGATTTTTGTTATCATGCCTAATGATTCATAAGAAGGTTTGGAAATAATGGCCTTATTTACAAGTTATAATCAGATTCTTATGAATACTCTTCCAAAACCAACTCAAGATACTATTAAAAGTGGTGTTATCTAATCAATTCGAGATGCTACCAAAGTATAATATAGAAAAATTTATAAATAAATCTTTAATATTGATACAATCAAATGGTGGACCATTTAAGAACTACGATAAAATAATTAATCAGCAAAAAAAATAATTGTAGAATTACATAATTTTCACAAAGATCTATCCAAATCTGATTATTATGTACACTAAGCCTGGATTCAAGCTATTAGTGATATTGTATCTTATTCACCAATTATTTCAGATGATTAAATTCAAGTTAATACAGATCTTTAAGATTTAATTGATATGGGGTGCTTATAAAAAATTAAGAATGAGTATCGCATTACACTTAATTACCTTAAAATAAAAAATTAATATTGCCAATAAATTTATGAAAGGATAACTTCTTTCACTATGCTTAAGTAAATTTAATCTTAAATTATTTCCTAAGATAAGTTTTTCAATTCACTTTATTAGAAAAAAGAAGAGTAAAAGGAATCATTTTAATAGGAATAAGAAACAAAAAATGTTTTTCAGTATCTTTCTTAATTATTTGTTGAGATAGATATAGAAACTAATATTGATCTCATTAAAAAAGTTAATCAAAGCTATACTGAACTTAATGAAAATTTATCTTTAATTAAATAATTAAGTTTAAATAAATGGATTAGAATGTTAGAAAATAAATCATATGATGATCCTGTTGTATTTGGAGAGCTTGAAGAAAAATAAAAGTAAATCAAGCATTTGATAAACTAAGTAAAAGGAATCTAAAAATTCTTAATTCGTTTTGATTTTATTCTTTTACAATGGAATAATATGGAGTAGATAACTAATTAAGAAGGAAAGGCTTCATAATTAAAAACAATCTTTTAAGAAAATTAATAAAATTACCTCGATTGTCATCTTATAAGTAAAGCCAATTTAGATAATTTAAAGGATGTATAATTATTAAGTATTAATTTTGATGTTTATTTCTCCATTATTTCTGAATATATTGAGAGACAATATCAAACAGTATTTAAGGTTGTACAAACTATAAGCTCAAGTGATCCGATAATTTAATTATATAAATAAAATAAGGAAATCAGTGAAATTATCTCAAGCAGCTTAAGAAAAGTTAATGATAAAATAATTTAATTTAAAAATGCTTTTATGCGCTTTTCTTTTAAATTAAAATAGGTAGACTATAATTGTATTTAATAATTTTATCATGTATCTCTAAGATTATAGTATTTAGAATTTCCGAATGAATAATTTGAATTTAGAAACCAAGATCATTAAACTCTTTTTTATATATAAGGATACGAAAAACAAATAGTTAAAAGTTAATTAATGGAATTACACAAAGAGTTTCGGGATTTATTTACAAGTAGCTAGTTTCAAGACTATGAATAAGCAAAAGTTTATATAAGATCAATTTAATTTATATGCAAAACCCTGGACAATATGCTTTATCAAAACAAGAAGATTATCTAACATATAAATAATTATAAATTATCTATATAAATAAATTATGAATTTGATCATTATAACGATTTAATCAATTAATGGAATTTAATGTTTGAATAGATAGAAGAATTAGATTATTAAAAATATGATCAATCTTTTATATAGATTAAATATGATTAATTAAATAAGACTTATGATTTAATTTGTTAAATAAACACATCTATAAGATGGCCTCTTAACCCTTAATTAGGATCATATTTTAAGATGTAAAATCAGTTAGAAGCATTAAATCAAGAATTAAAAGTATACCAAAGTTACAATCTTAATTAAGATTTAAGCTCTTAAAATAGATATTAAAGTATAATGACTAATTTAAAATAAATATGCTTAAGTTAAGTACAAAAAATAAAATCGATTCTTGAGTAGTATACTTAAGGAGTTGATTAATTATCAAATCGTTTAGAAAATTAAACTAATTTTAACATAGAAGAACTTCAAAATCTATTAATAAGTGTTTAAGAAGGATTAGGTGATACTCTTAATTTAGTTTAATCTAGAATATAATTATAAAATCAAAATTCAACCAGTGGTTCCTTAAACATTTTATAAAATAATAAAAAATAAGATTTCGAAACATTCTATAATTATAAATTTAATACAGATATTATTCTTGTTATGTAATTTATTAAATTTAACTTCAATTTTATTGACTAAAATGCAATTTTAGAAATACTAAAGTCAGATGAAAAGGATAAAGAAAATTTACATATTGTTTAATCAGCTATGGAATCATTTATGATAAGATCAATTATGATCGTAAATTTGATTAATGTATGGAATTGTTGTTTAGTTGAAGAAGATTTTTACACTATTAGTAAATTAATTTTGCAAATTCGACTAAATGAAACAAATACATTAATCAAAAGAGAAATCAAATCAACTTTCAAAAAAGAACTTAGTTAAATTATTTAGCATTAACTCTAAAGTGAATTATCATATTTTGAAAATGATTTAAAATAAATGATTTAAGAGCGAAAACAATTGTATTTTTAAATTAAATATGAACCTACATTTGAGCTTACTTAAAAATTAGATGAAAAAATCAAAAAATTAACTAACCTTATATAAACAATGATTATAAACTTTAAGGAAATAGAATCAGAATATGATATAGAGATACCATTTTGCAATTAATTGTTGACAGAATTTGAAAAAGGTGATCAAAATTCATAATCATTAGAAATTCATGAAATTAGCTTCTATTAAGGCAAATCAATAACAGAATTGTTTTTACTGAGAATGGAAAATATTTCTAGGAAAATAAAAATTAATTAAGTTAAAAATACTTACATTGAGTTTGAATGTTAGAATAAAAATTAAATGAGGACATTATTTTCTTAAAAAGATAAAAAAAATGGTACTATAGATAGATTTTTAGATGATTAATAGCAGGATTAATTATTATTATTATAAGGAGATTCAGGATCTGGGAAAAGTGTAGCAATTAAAAAAATTGAAGAATATGTTTGGAAAAGAAATGACCCAATAAAAATTATTCCTATTATTGTAAAATTGTCAGAATTAAAAGATCCAATCAATAATGCAATAATTGAAACTTTAAGATCCTTGAATTATAAATTAAATGCTTAATAAATTGAATAACTTTAAACTCATATAAGATCTAACAAAATGCAAATGTTATTTATTTTTTAAGGCTATGATAAATTAAGTTAAAATTTAAAAACTACAAATTTTCTTAAATCAAACAATTTAATTTAATGGAATACACCCTGTTTACAGAATACTCCTAAATATATTATTGTAACAAGAAGTGAATAATTTAAAAATCATAATCATTTACGTTGGATTGATTAAAATCAAACAAATTATATGATTAAGAATTATTGGAATTTGAAAATTCTTCCTTTTGATTCTGATTAAATCAATCAATTTTTGATTCAGTTTTAAGAAATGAGTATTAGAAATGTAGTTATGGATTTTTATTAACTTATGTGTGAATTTCCTCATCAAGATTTGCTAATTTAAAATTTTATATCATTTTGGAAAAAAATTAATTTTAATTTTAACGAACAGAGTTTAGGAAATATATTACTATCATAACCAATTATCAATAAATTAATAATTACATTATAACAGGACCAAAATATTAAAAATTATAAAGGTACAATTACTCAATAATTGTCTCATCAATTAGAATAATTAAAATCAAGCTATTATTATAATCGTATGTTAGAAAGTCTAAAATATGAACAACCTATAGATAATCCATAAATTTTAAAGGTTTTTATCTATGCATTACCAAAATTAATTTTGAAATTGACTGATAACCAAAAAATAAAAAATTAATTTTTCAATAATTTTTTATGTCAAAACTATTAAATTAATTGTGAAGTCACTGAGCAAATTGCCCAATTAGAAAAATATTGGAATTAATTAATTAATAGTTAATTTTTTAAATTATATAACTTAGAGTTTTCAGTTACAAAAGCAAAAATAATCATAAATTAGTAATTTTAAAAGGATCCATTTTTGATTAATAAAATTACTTCAGCATTTGAAAAAATTTAAATAACTCACTATGATTTATATGAAGAATATATAAATTATTGTTTTGATAATTCGGTTATTAATTCTGAATAAACAGAAAAAGAGATTGCTATCACAGAATTTAGAGAAGAATAATGGAACTTTTGTTTAAATTTAGCTTAATTATTATCATTTAATGAACTATTTTCAATAAAAGTGAGTAATTCAGGAAGTTCTGTTAGTGATTTGTTAATAATTCTGAATGATGACAGTTATTCAATAAAAGAAACACTTATATCAAAAAAATATTTAAGATACTCAATTCCATTAATTGAATAATTCTCAGTTTACTCTTTTGAAAGTAAAGTAATTTAAGAATTCTTAGTTGCTAAAGCTATAATAAAATTAATTGAATTATTTGATAATGTTCCAAATAATGAGTTATTTGATAATAGTATTCTTAAAATGAAAAACTTATCTAATTCATTTTATTATGGAACAATAAATTTTATTGTATAAAAATTAAAATCAAATTTCTTTTTGAAGTAAAATTTAATAAAGATTATTTAATTGTCATCCAATCATAGAGATTATTGTTAATTGTCATCTAATGCCTTTTTTTTATTACTTTAATTGGATGGATTTATTAAAGGGGCAAATTTTTCTAACATTAAACTTAAAGATATTTAAATTGAGGATTGTTATTTATAAGATTGTAATTTATCTGGATCAGAATGGAATAATATAAGTATAAAAAATCTTGGACTTTTAAAAAATAACATGAAGAATATGGTTTGTTCTAATCTAAGTTTAACTTCATATATCTTGAAAAATGATTTAAAATCTCCTCTTTTTGTTCGTTATTTTAAATCAGGCAAAACTTTTATTATTTACAAAATTTCAATAAAAGATTTAGAGGGTAATTTATTAATTAATGGCAATTTTGAAAAATGTTAAATTTTTTAAATATTAGATGATTTTTATATAATAACATAAGATAAATTTTATCTTTTAAGAGAATACAATTATGAGATTCAACCAAATTAATTTTAGATTGAACATATCATATCAGTTACATAATTCGATTAATATATTATGCTTTTATAATTAATTACACCAACTGAGGCTAAAATATTGTAATTTGACTCCGAAAAGAAGGAAATCTAATTTTAAATTTAAATATCAAACTAAGATATTATGAAATACAATATAAAATAGTTTTATCAAATGTAGGGTAATCTTATAGTATTTTTAACACAAACAGAAATAGTTTCTAGTATGCATTATTAAATTGAAGATGGATAATTATCTTTTGATAATTTAAATGTTCATGGCACTCTTAATAATAAAGATTCTATAATTTCAATGAAATATTACGCAGACTTAGATATCACTGTTGTAACAAAGTAAACAACTGATTCAAATTTAGAGTATGATATAATTTATGGTACTTTTAACTAATTGATAGGAAAATTTATTATAATTGAGAATCAAAAAAATTAGTTCTTATATTTAAATAATTCAAATTTATAATTGATAAGTTAGGAAACATTTAAGATTATAAGTGAATGTGACTTAAACGAAAATGCTCAAAACTTAAAATAAAATTAATGTTATTTAATTTAAAATGATACAATGTTGCTAACTTTTACATATTCTTTTATTCTTCTGGGTCTGCAACCTTTTGAAGTTATTAAATAAATTAGGATTAAAACTACAGATCTCATAATAAATTATAAATTAAATAATTTATTAATGTTAACTGAATAAGAACTCTTTTGTATTGATCTATCTTATTTAAAGGATAGATAAGATAAAATAATTAACTAAGTATTTTAATTTGATATGATTTATTTTATACAAAATTCTTTTAATTTCTTAGGAAAACTAGCCAATTCTTAAGATATTTATATGGGAGTGTATAATAAAAACATTTTTGATTTTAAAATTATAGATTAGTCTAATAATTCTAAATTTTATTTAAGTGATGATTAAAATTTTGCAATAATTAACAAAAATTATGAAACTATTTGTCATGATCTTAAAACAAATATAAAAATGAGTTATGTTGCTTTATTATATGATAGAATATTATGGATTAAAGACAACCTAAATTTCTTTTATTTATAACATGATTTTATAGAAGAGTTTAGGAATTCTGTGATAACAGTAAAAAACAAGATTATAAATAAATAGTCTTACAGATCAATTAAATAAGTTAAGAGTACAGAAAATAGATTATTTATAACTACAACAACAAATGAAACTATCGTGCTTAATTAATAATTCTAATAGGAATATGTTACAAATAAATAAATGATAAAAAAATATAGAGAATTTTATATTACTTTGCATGATCTAAGATATGAAAGTAATAAAAGGAATACAATAACAATTCTTTATAATTCAAAAAATTAACTTAAAGATTTTTGGATTTTTTCAGATACCATAGTAATTAAGGAATAGGAAGAAGGCAATGAAATGACTACTTTAGTATTATTGAAAAAATAAGATAATTCTGTAATAGGTTAATTTTTAATTCAAATAGATCATATTGAATTTACTGAGGATGTTATTTAGATTATAAGCAATAAAGTTTTATGGTTAACTTATTCAGCAAAAAACTTTCATTAACTTTAATCTAATATTTTGCAGATTAATCCAATTTTAATATCATCAAATAATTTAGATTAAATTGCAATTGTCTCTACTTTATAAGAAATTAATATTTGGAATACATTAACTTATTAAATTCTATTGTAATTAAAAAATATAGAAATAATTCAGTATTTCAAAATGATATCCAACAGAGATTGTTAATTTTATGTTGCTGATAAAGATGTTTTAAAATTTTATAATCATCATTAGGTTCAATTTACAATTTAACTTATAAAGAAAAGAATCTCTATTGTAACTAATACATGGGAAGCCATTCATCATATATATCAAATAGAAGATGATAAAATCACATTAAATAGTATGAATGCAGACTGCAAAATATTAAATTGGAAAAAAGTAATTTTTGAATTAGATTCAATTAGAGAGTAAATAAATTGTATTGATAATAAATAACTGAGACTTATATACTTTAGTGGATAAAAGTTATAACAAAGTAATTTAGATTCTTTTGATACAATTAAGAGTCTATCATTTACAGAATCTTTTAAAGCTATTTAAGTAAAATATAATTTTGATTGTTCTTTAATAATTTTATCATCAAATGAAAAGATTATTATAGTAGAAGCTTCTGGTTTAACAATTGTGAATTAAATTACTTTAAATGAAGTTTTTGAAGCATCTTTTGATTATAAATCATAAATTGAAATTTTAGTACAAGGAAAGAATAATGTAATTATAAAATAAAAAAAAGAAATGCAAAATTTAATTTACAATTATTCTTTGTGTTCTAAAAAGTTAGATTTAATTACTGAAAGCAAATATAATTTGTTTATTGGATCAAATTCTTAGGGTCTGATTATGATAAATGAAAAAACTGGATCAATAGAATTATACAATCCAATTATGATAGAAAGTAAAAATAATATTATTTCTTACACAAAAACTGAAGAACATAATATTACCTTGTTGGCAAAATGTTAAGTTTTCGGTAATTAATTAGAAGCCTGTAATATAATTCTGAATAATCAACTAAATATTAGTGATATTTGGAGAAACATAATTTGAGATAATTTATTTATTTATTTTTTCATATAAGAACTTAAATAATAAATAAGATTAATTAAATTTAATTAATTTTCTGAAAATATATTAAAATGTTTTAGTTTTAACAAAATACAAAAATAAATAAAGTTCATGAAAGTACTAAAATTGAATTATTTTGAATAAGATTTTTAATTTTGTATATAGCACACAATCCAAGTATTCCAAAAATCTGTAATACAATCAGAGATATAAATGTGTTGTTATCAAAATTACATGAAATAAAAACTAAAGCCAAGATAGCAAATGAAACAGAATAAATTAAATACATTAAATCAACTAAATATATGAGCTATTTTAAATAATAAATTACTTTAGGAAATCTTAAAGTTAAAACAGATATCACTGTTGAAGTCATAGCTGAATCACAAAATCCTGTTGAGCATGAGAATACCAAAACAAAAATTTCATATTAAAAGAAGTATGACATCCAAGCTATTAAGCAACCAAATTAGAAAACATAAAGAATATATATAACAGCACTTTTAGTTTATATACAATATTTACTTTATTTTATCTTTTGAATCTCCAAGCCAACCAATACCAAATGAACCAAATAATTCACCTATTCCTACATATAAATATCCTTATAAAACTAATACTGCTTGTTATGATAAGTTCTTATAATCAGGATAAGCAAAAAAAGGAAAAAAATATATATACAAAAATGCCTAAATACTGCCAATAAAACATAACAAAAAAAATACCCATAGAAATCCTTCATTTTTTAGTTTTTCTAAAGTTATGAATATATTTTAAAAGTAATTGCGGTTTTAATATTTTTCAATAGATATGGAATTCGATATATTTTAATTTGAATTAGCTGAGTCTAAAAGTTCAACTAAGCTTTACTCTTCTATAGAAAAACATTATAATGTCATAATAGATTTGGTATTAGAATTTTAAAACATTTATGATTTAAATAAATGTAAATCTATTTGTGATCTTGATTCAGATCTTGAACTATGTTCTTCATTTTTGAATGTATCACTTTCATTATCATTATCAGTATTAATTTAAGATGATTTTAAAAGTAATTCTCTAATTCCTCCAGTTTATTCTAATTATGATTGCTTTTAAGCTTTAGAATTGGAATAATATTCAAATATTGTTCTGAAAAATTTATAATATCGACCATTAGATTTTTCCGGAATAGATAAATAAAGTAGACTTACGAGAAATTATAATAAAATAAGTAATCCAAAAACTTTTGATATTGAGTTTTGAGAATTCATATTATCATAAGTAATGAAAATTTCACCAATCAAACTTCCAAGCAACCATTGCAATTAATGACTATTATAAAAAAGGTATTATGTTACATGAAAAAAAACAAACCATAATAAATCACTTTTTCTTAGCTTCTAGAGAGATTGGATAAATAAAATAACATAGTAAATAGTAATATGGATTGCATTAAACCAGCAATTATAGATACGAAAAAGGCACATACATATATTATGGTTTTATTACAACCAGGTGATATAGAACCTTTACATAAACAAGCATAAGGTGCTGGAGTCAGGAATATTATAGGACCAATAGATGCTGTTAATAATATGAATCTGAATTTCATTTTGCCAATAATATTAGGTAAAAATGGAAGGCTTAAAGGTCCTACCAATTAAAAGAGAAACCATCTAACAATAATTCTACATATTAAATTACTAAAAATTTGCTAAGTTTAATGATGTGTAATCTAAATTAGAAATGCTATCTGAAAATGAATAGATGTAAGCACATGTCAAAAAAATTTTACCACAAATATTAAACGATCCAAATAGGAGGAAGATAAAGCAAATATAAATAACTAACCATAAGGTTTTTTAAGAGCTTTTTTCTCTATCCTTCAGATTTTTTTTGTAAATTTTAAATTCTGATTCATTCATATTATTAAAATTATATAAAATTGCATAATCAACATTACTGTTTGTCAATAGTTTACTTTTGTTTTCAACTATTATATCAAATTTTCCATACAATTTATCTCTGTTAGTTCATCAATCTATTCTTTGGATCTCACGTATTCATTCCATAAATTCTTATTCTACAAAACTTCATGATTCTTTAAACCCTCTGTAATGAACTTCATAATTACCAAATAAAGAAAATTTTATGTATTCCTATATCTCATTATTTTCTTGATCTTGAACACTCAACATTTTGTAAATATTCTTTGAAAACTTAAGCAAATTTATCACTATTTATGCATTCGTATTCTATGCATTACAATAATCTAATAAAATTTCAGATAATTTCAAGCATGTTTAATATCCTAAAGGAGTAAAAGAATAATCATTTTTTTAATTTGGTTGACCTGTTATTTTTTAAATTGTAGAAATAAATGCATCAAAATATTATTAAGCTTTGGTTTTCTAAATTAAATTTATTAACTATTTAATAATCTCATCATTAATCTCTGAAAATTTTAATGCTTATTCAAACATCTTGTTATATCTTAAATAATCTGATGAATTAGCTTAAATAAAATCAACCTTTTTTTAATCAGATCCATTTTGAGCATCTGCAATCATCTTTTTTTTTCGTTAATTTTCATCTAAATTATATTATTATTTTAATGAAAGAATATAATTTTCAACATTTAATTTAGAAAGAAGGGGTCTATCACTTGTTTAAATTATTAGTAGTTCACTTTATTTATTATTACTTTTATATTATTCAATTTTTTATGTAATTCCACTAATATCATATTATAAATTTCTTATTAATGATACTTCATACATAAAAAGTTTCATGCCAGCATCCTAAATTAATTTTCTTCTGTCTATTTCTATATTTAGAAATATATCTTAAATATAAGCAATATCTTAAAAATACGTGTCTAAATATTAGTTATAATAGAGAATAAATTATTTTAAATTTGTTTCACTTTTTTCATAATTCCGTTTCTTAGAAGTAATCTTTCCTTCTAAATAAATTTTTTCTTCATATAATGCTTAATTATAATCATCTTATAAGGCATGTAATTCTTCAATATTTCTTCTAACTTCTTTTGAATGCTTATTTTGTATTTTATTAACCTCATTAGCCCATCCTTAATCAATGTTAATAGTATTCAGCAATTCTTAGACAACATTATTTTTTAATTATTAATACAACTCTTTACTCTATTCACTTGAAATTAGGAGATAATTTCTAACATACTACATAATATCTGTAAAGCTATCTTACTATGTATTCTCAACCAAGTTACTTAATTCATTACCTATTGTTTATTTATAAATTTACCTATTCTTTCAAGACTTTTAGAATAGACTTCTTCTATTTCAGCTCTCTATTATAAGATATTTAGAAACTCTTAAATAGATTTCTTTTTATCATTAAGACGTTTGCTTAATTGCTCTGTGATTTAGATGATGTCTGGTTCAAATTAATTATTAATCATAATATATAAAATATATATTTATGTAATATTTTTTTGTATTTAAATTATTAAGATATATCTTAAATAATAATAATCTAAATCAATTACACATTGATTTCACTCCGTATATTATTTTCTTTGCTTAATAATCAGATATTTAATGATTCTTTCTATAGACATCTTTCCAATCAGAAAACCCAATTTTTGGAACATTTATGCAAACTCTGCAGCATTTTGGACCTATGCACTATTTAACCCAATCAGTTGTAATGTACTGAACAGCTGCATAAGTGTCAAGAGTTAATGCATCAATTTGGTGATATAAAGATATTTGGTATTCATTATAAAAGACTGTTTTATCCTAATAATCCTTTAAAAGTATAGCTTGCCCCATAGCATTTCCTTTATAAACAAATCCTTAAAGTCCTGCTCTAATTTTAATTATAGCTAGATTAATTTATTAATAAGCCTAAATACTCAACGAAGCTTAAATTTATTCAAAAATGGCTATAAAAGAATCCTCATTCATAATAGATTCATTTTATTCCCATTAATAAATAACATCTGTGCCAATATTTAATGGATATCCAAGTATTTTGATATCGCTATTAAAAAATCTAGTAGTCTAACCTCCTTTTTGAGTTGTTGGTTTAAGTTTATCTGAAAATTTGAAATCTTTTTTGGGTAAATCAATTCTACAAATACCATTATGCTAAACACAAGCTTTCATAGTTCCAGAAATATTTCCTTCTTTTAACTCTCCTGAAAATTCTAATTAAAATCCAACTTTATTTTTATAAACAGTTACTTCTTTTATTATACTTTTTTTATTGAAAGTTGTAGATTTACATGGTCCTTTAATAATTTCATTATCTGATAAAGTACCAATACCTACATCTCCATTTTCATTTTATAATAATCTATTATTTTCTTATTAATTTTCAATTACATTTTAAGTTTAATCTTCTTAAGTTGTTATCTTATTTTACAATTCTTAAAATGTATAGTATTGAATTGTTTATAAACTTTATATATCAGAAAGAATGGTTGTTAAATCTTCATCTGATTTTGTCTCTACAGTCACCAAATTTGACTCACTTGAGATTTCTGTTTCTGATTTATCTGCTAAATCATCTGTTTTAATATCATTTGATTTAATAGAATTATCTAATTTGGAATTTGTAGTTATATGTGAAGAAACTAAATAATTTTTATCATCTAAATTAGTTTCTTAAGATTATTCGAATTTATCAAACAAATTTATACCTTAAGAGAGACCTTCAACCAAATCTGATTAAGATATTGTTTTTTTAACTACAGTTCTACCTAACCATGATTTCCCTTTACTTACTTTAGGAACGAATGCTTAATTACCAATATAATATAAATTTGAATGATGTTCATTTAGTAATCTTGTTCCATCACTTATAGTAGTATTAGCTGATTCTGCAAGATTAGGAGCTATATGTATTATATTTGAAATTAAAGGTTAAATTAATAGATCAGAAACTTTAGAGGGTATACCTATTTATTACACTTCCCCAGTTAATTAGTCTGTGATTACTGTTAATAATGGTACTTCATTTACATCAGCACATTCATCTTAAGGGATTCCATCACACATATAGTCACTTTCTTTTGATTAGGTCTATTGTAATATTCTTAATTATTTTTTAATTTATTATTCTATTTCATTATTCTAATTAACCAATTCATTATATTCTCTTGTTCCATCATTATTTTATTAGAAAGTTCTGATTCTCAATTTTGATAATATCAATAAACTAGTTGCATTTTGCTCATTTTCATCTTCCACTACTCTTATTGTATTCATTTCTATTTGAGTACAATTTTGAAATTTATCAGATGTATATTACATACATATTTCATCCACTTATTAAAATTCATCTCTTTAGAACTTTTTAAGTGTTGGGGCAGAATTTGTACTTTAAGTTAAGTATACCCCCAAAAATATTCCAATACCTGCTAAAACTAAAAAAGTGACAGAGAAAGAAATCCATTTACATTATGAAGTGAAATATTACTTTTTTAAGCTTTTTGATTCATCTTATTAAGGTTATTAATTCTAATTACTCTCTTTGTTCATCTCTGACTTTTCTTCTAAGTTATCTTACTATGACATTTATTAAATTATTCTAAATTATCTCGAAATTCAAGAACTTAAATAGCAAAAAAAAAGAACTAAATAGAATAAAATAAGCAGTATTTAATTGATTAATTATATCATCAATTATATAAATAAATTATATTTTATTCAATCTATTGTTTATCATGCTTTTTTTCTTTAATTTAAAGCTTTCTTGCTCAAAATTCTTTATCATCTTCATTTTCCAATTCAATTAGACTTTCTTCTTCTAAATAATTGAATTATTCTATTGTATTTTAAATTTTAATTTTCTAGGTAGCCTTTAGAATTAAAACTGCATTGTTAGAACTGCATTATTTTATAAACCTCCTTTTTATCAATCCCATAAATGTGAAATTAGGATTTGAATGGGTAAAAATCTATGTTGATTAATCGAAGAAAATAGTCCAATCACCTTAAAAAACCATTGAGAAAAAATAAACAATTTTAAGTCTTATAAATAATCTCTTCATAAAAGAACCTATAGAGCAAGAGATTAACTCAATAGAATAAAAATTTTATTTAATTTATTTAATTATATTCTTAAATCAATTATTATTAAATAAATTATATTTTATTCAATCTATTGTTTATCATGCTTTTTTATTTAATTTAAAGCTTTCTTGCTCTAAAATCTTTATCATTTTCATTTTCTAATTCAATTAGACTTTCTTCTTAACTTAAATTAGATAATTCTATTACAAAGAGATTTATAAAATAATATATATATAAATAATAATATTAATAAAAATTATTATATTTAAAAAATTTATTGAATTATTCTCTTGTATAATTATATTATTTTTATCCAAAGCCTTCAAAATTAGAACTGCATCACTGTTCAAATCTCCTTTTGGGTAATCCCATAATTATGATATATTACTTATGAAAAAGGATTGTTTTAAGATATTCCAATAAGATTAGCATTAAAAGAAATCTATCTGAACAAACAAGAATAGTTTCTTGTTACTAGGAAAAATGAAAAATTTAGCATTCACAAAAAAAAACAATTAAAAGCCTTCTGTAAACAAAGAGTATAGAATTAATCTTAATAGTAATTAAATCTATCTTTAAATGGAATTATATTCAAAAATTAAAATAAATATATAATTCAATATTTAAAGCTGTTTATTTGAAATAGCGAAATGATTATAACAAAATAAACTCTTCTAACGAAACAAGTTCTTGCTCTTTTTTAGATGTAAAATATGAATGTAATTGAAGAATAGAATTTTTTATTATTTAAATATATGTATATTCTCTTTACAATAACAATTTTATTCACATCTAAATAAAAATCAAAGATCTCATCGCATAATTGATTATGAATGTATAACGTATTAGACAAATATTTATAGTAATAATTTAAGATTTTAGTCTAAGATTTCCATGGTAAATATTTTAAATCAAAAATAAATAATTTTTATATAAAATTATTATAACCTATAGAAGGGTCATAAAAATGATACAATTTAGAATAGAAGTAACATATACTTTTGAAAACAGGTATGTTTTTGTTATAATTTCATTTATTAATGTTAACCAATTATTGTCCTTTAAGTTCATTGTTTTCTTAAACTTTATGAGGTTTGTTAGATCCAATTTAACCTAGATGAAGAAGATTTCCGCCTGCATTAACTAAACTATAACCATCATATACCATATCCAACAAAATTAACTATTCCTGTTACTACATTTTTAGTTCTAGTAGCTATTGTACTTAAAAACCTAATTTTTTTATTAGACTTGAAGAGTTAGGATTTGGATCTTCTTCGAAGTTATTCATATTTTGTAAGTTTTTTATTAATAAATTAAATTAATTAAAATTATTATATCAAGAACTGATTATTTCTTCTAGTTGATGCTATATTTAATTGATTTAATACATTAATTTTATTCAGGAATTATCTATCTTGTGAACTAGTTGAATCTATAAGTAATTAAATTTCTGAGAATGGATGATCTATATTACTTAATATTAAACAGTATTTAACTAATTAATCAATTAAACCAGAGTTTACAGCTATTTAATAATAATATAATATAGTAAACCCTTAAGTATTGCATTCATTAATTATAAGCATCTCAACTTTTCTCTTGGATAACTCATATATTCAATTTTATCTAATTCATTTAAAGCTTCATTAACTCTTATCATTTGTTAAGGATTGAATTCTCGAATTTCTAGATTTTTGTGTAATTCACTTATTAATTAAAAATTATTTCTATCAATTTTTTTTGATCTGAATTACTCATTTTATTATTTAAACATGTTTTAATATTAAGGCAAAATGTAATGAGAAAGCTTTAAATAAAAATATTTTTCAATTGATATTTTGCAATAAGGCATTATTTAAGTTGTTTCTTATTTACCAAAATTAAAGGACTAAAATAATGTTTCAACAATTTGATTAATGAATGAATTTAATTGTTAAACATTTTATTTTATGTTTGTTTAATCACTAGAAAGATTATTTTATAATTTTTGTATATATTCTGCTACTTTCTTTCCTAAACCATAATTTGAAGCACATAATAATTTATGAAACATATAATATGCACTTGTTTCTAAATAATATGGATTTTGATTTGCTGGATTTTCCATCTCCTCTGAAACATTAACAATTCCAACAAATTCAGATGCTTCATTCATTACATTTTAATCTTAAGTTTTCCTATTACGTAATTTATCAATTTTAGATAAGAAATAGGTAATCAATTCTAAATTTTCATCATAATTCCCAGTAATTCCTCTTATTGATACTACTCTCACACATTTGACTTAATTTGTATCGATTTAGATTTTTACTAAACATATTTACTCAAAAGTATTTTCTTAAATGCAAACCAACCTTTTTAAAGTATTCTTTACAACTGCTACATTTTCCTTTATAGATATAATTTAATTTGAATCTTTCTCCAATATTTAATATTATCTATTTTGATAATTTAAAAAATATACTTCTTTTTTGTGCAACTTATAAATAAGTCAAGAATATGACTTGTAGAAACTTAAAATGGTAATTCAATAATTGAATTTGGTTGATTAATCATTGGTAATTTAATTTTAATATATATTAATCTGAATTAGTAAGTTTTATAAAATATTAAAAGTTAAATTCAAAGTTTGAAATAAATAATATTAAGTTATTTAAAGTATATGCTTAAAAATATAAATAAATTTATGGAGAAAGAGTTTGAATTACTTTTATCAGTAAATATTTATTTAGTGAGAATAAAATGAATGAAAAAAAAAGTAATTATAGATTAAAAATAATGTAAAGGTTATAACTTTAGTATTTATAAAATATATCAATAGGAACAAAATAATTTAAGAAATAAAATAAATGTAATAATGTTTAAGAATTTGATTAAGTAATGAAAAAATAATACTTTTTATTAATAAATTTTTGTCAGTTAAAATGTCTAGCACTAAATTAAGAAGATTAAGTTAATTAGAGGGGGAAGGATCAAAATTAAAAAGATTTAATGTGCTCTATCCAAAAACAATAATTTAATAGCATGTTTTAGATATTAAAAGAGAAAAGGAACTTAAAAAATAAAAGAGATTAGAATTGCAAGAATAATAGTAAATATTTTTGGGTTTAGTAGAAAGAATACCATTTTGTCTACATGTAAAAAGAGTGTAGGTTCAACCAATAAATCAAAATAGAGTTAAAGAAGATTAATTAGTTCAATGAATAATAATTTACTAACCTTTAAGACTCCTACATCAAGGCTATAAGATTATAACACCCGTATGTCATCAAGATTATCATCAAATTCTCATTATGAAGGAGTGAAGCAAATATTCTTAAAAACAAATTTCAAACGACCTAAATATCAGGAATAATAATTAATAATTGTAGATCCTTATATAGAAAATAAAGAAAATTTTTAAAATGTTTACAATCTGAGACCAAATCGAACTATTGATAAATTAGTTACAAACAGAAAAAAGAGTTATAGTACTAATAAGAATTTTCTACTAAAGTCTCCAAAATCACATACAACTTTACTTAGTGTAAGATCATTAAATTTTTTATGAAGTGCTAGTTCTATATTTGCAAATTATATGTATAATAATTCTTTAATAAATATATTTTTTTATATTTTTGATAATAAATATGTAGAAATAATTTGACTTATAATTATTTAGTGGTGCCATAATATAATTGAGACATTTTAGAACGAATGAATACCTCTTTTCAAACCAAATTAAATTAGTAAGTGGGTAAGAGGAATTATTAAATATAAATTAGATCTAAAGAAACAATGTTGGGATGCACAAAAAACTCATATTAAGAAGGGACAAAATTTGAAATCCATTTAGCATATACAGATTTTGGTAATATGCTATATCAACCCATACGATATGGAGACCTTGTTTATTTAAAATAATTGGATAAAATTATAACAATGTAAGAAGTTTAATAATTGTAGAAATATAAATAACAAGTCCTAAACTACGAATTAAAAGGAAGCAATTTTATTAGATAAAAAATATGAAATTATGGGTAATCAGATTTTTGTAATAACTCCATCTGAAATTTGGGAAGGTTCTATATTAAAAATAAGAGAATAAACAATAGAGTAGGCTTCTATAATAAGATTGATTAATGTCTCTTCTAATTTTTCATTACATTCACATACAAATTATTATAAATAAAAAGATTTGTTGGATTGTAGAGAAGTTACTGGATATTAAGAAAGAGATTAAAATGATGATTGGTTTGTAAACATACATGAAATTAATTTAATAAATGGAATGATTCATATATTACCTAGATTTGCCAAACCTATATTTCATGGAAGTTTAGTAATAATTCGGAATGCATTTTTGGGAACAGCTTTAAATTCTCATTCTATTTTGTTAAAATCAAAAAAATAAGAAGTTACGACAAATTCTGTTATACCTAGAGTATGTAAGAATATTTTTAAATATTCAAGCTAATGAGCTATGGGAAGTTGTTCTTATGAAAAATGAAGGATAAAGAAAATGTTCTATTGAAGTTTAATTATTTTATGGATAAAAGTTTTCTCTTTTACATTCAAACACAAATTAATTTCTAAAATATAATTAAGGATAAACTAATAATGATAAAACATTTTAAATTTGTTGTTCAGATGAAGATTTATTTTTAGAAGAATGGTCAATTATACCATTATCTTAATAACAAAGTGGTGCAGTTTTTTGTAATGACCTTTTTTTAATTTAAAATAACTTTTGTCAATAGTATTTAACTTCAATTGCTGAATCATCTTACATTACTAAATAATAATATAAAACATTTTTAACTTAGTAACCAAAAAATGCCTCTGTATGGACAATAGAAGCTATTTTGAATAATAAACAAAATTATTCATGATAACAATTAAATCTCTATGTTTATTAAATTTTTATTTATTAATGTTATTTAAAATTGATTGCATAAATATAAAACAAAGTAAAAAGCTAACTTTGACAAACGAAGCACAATATCCTATTTTGATTAGAATTATAGAAAATAATTCTTACAATGCTATTCCTTCGTTTTCATTATTGAAATCAAAAGAGAAAAAGAATTTTTAGATACTGCATAAATTGAATTCTAAACCTGAAAGCCTTATGATAATTGAAGCCATAGAATTTGATGAAACCAAACTTGATACTTTCGTAATTTGATTATATTCTAATTGTAAGTCTGTTCCACCGTTCTGGAACGAAAGAATTAAAGGTTCCTTAGAGACATAATCTCAAACTCTGGAATTCCATCCAAATACCTCCGAGTCTAATTCTTTAGTTTCCTATGGCAGGTCTCCAACTATGAATCAAATCTTTTAAGATTAAAATCAGGTCTAAAATAATACAAATGAAAACTCAATTAAAATTAATACCCAGTAGCTTTAATAAAATAGCATTAATTAAGATAATTAAAGTGTTAAATTCAATTCTAATTAAAGAATCAATTCTTAACAATCTATATAAGTTATAGGTTCTACCAAAATTGCAGATGAAAACAAATTTCAGTAATCCTATTAATAAGATAGAAAACAATCTATTACTAGTTTTGAATCTTATGGATATATTTCTACCAATCAAACATAATAATAAACTCTTAAAATGCCAAAAGATATGAATAATTTCTTAGATTAAATTGATTCTTAAAATAGTCCATTTTAACTTCAAACTCCCTCTTAATTATAGTCATAAACTCATTCACAAAATAACATTCCTGATAATGCTCAATAAGACTTAAGCATCAGTGAAACTACTTCTATTTAAAGACTTGATAATAGAAAATTATCTTTCCTACAATAGAGCAGATAATAATTTAATGAAAAACCTAAGTTAAGAGTTTCATAAACTTTTATCAATTATCCAAAATCTTCTATTCAATTTCAATCAAATTTAAGTAAAAATAAAGAACTTGAGGTTTAGTTATTAAAATAAATTGTAAATATCTTATTATTATTTAGTCTGAATTAGAACAAAATAAAGAAGCATTGTAATAAGAACTGAAAAAATTAGAGTTTAAATTTATGTTTAATTCTAAACAAACAAATTCTTTTAACCAAAAACACTTCTTTATATGGCATATACTTTTAATAAGTGTTTTATGTCTTATAATAGGAAGTTTTATGAAAAAAATTATCCCATAATTTTGACTTATCTATTATTTGAAAAACATATTCTTGTATATTATAAATAACAATTATGGTTGTTCATTCCTTCTATCTTTTATATTATTCCTATATGTTTCTTAATTTATTTTAATTAAATAGAAATTCTAGAATAATTAAAAAATAATATAATTTTAGTTTTAGATTTAAAATATTATTTCAGATCAAGTCTTTTTTACTTTTCTAAATTTCAATCTAATTTTGAGCCATAATTATCTAATATAATAAAACAAAATCCAAAAAAATTTTTCTGCAAAAAAAATATCCTAATAAAAATATTTAAAAAATTATAAGTAAAAAAACCTTAAAGGAAAACATCTAGACCATTCATTAATAATAATGAATATAGTTTTCAATAATCTAAATGATTATCAAATAATTTGTTCAAATGCAATTTTTTTTAATATTAAATTTTTAGTTCAATCCATATAGTTTCAAATTAGAATTCGATTATTTACATAGTCACTGTTTTTATAGAAATCCGAGAAATAAGTCATATGATAATCAGAATATAATAATATTTTAAAAAATATTATTAAAATATTGGATAAAAATAAAGAAAAATAATTATAACACTATGACTAAATTATATTTATTTTTAAGAAATAATTGATATATCATTTTTTATGGTTTTTAACTTTAATTTCTTCTCTTAATTATTCTATGAGTTTTTCTTCTTCCAATTCATCTTCTTCATCTTCCTTAATTGGTAATTCATCAAACATATCTTCGTCATCTTTAATAGAAGATTAATCCATTGAATGATTAGTATGAGATTATGTGAGTTATTTTTTTGGTTTAACTCTTACATTTCTTTTTAGAAATTCTTAATCATTAATATCAGATACTGCATTAACAATTGATTTATTCAATAATTCTTATTATTGCTAAAAATAAATAGAGGATAAATACTGTAACAGATAAATTAAGCAGTTTTTCTTTAATAACATCTATAATGGCTTGAAATCCTTAATTTTTTTATAATCCTAACTTTTTCAATCCTCTAGACATCCAATTTCTAAGTTTATTTTCTAATAATCCAGCTATAGTAGCTTTTTCTTCAACTTCTTAAACTAATTTATCCTATTCAAATTAATCTTCCTTTTATCTATATGTTTCAACTTAAAATTCTTTATCCATATCAGTATATTATTATTTTAAATTAGAAAATTATGTTTAGAGTTCTTAATTTTCATTTTTCAATGCATTAATTTTTTTTTCATAATCTGATATTGAAATTAAAAGATGTGCATATGTTTATTCTCTTCCTAAAAACTTTTAAACAATATCATTTGCATCAGTAATTCCTGTTGATGCTTTAATTTTTTAAAATGTCATTTCTAAATCTTAATATTAAGCTATTCCTCTTTACATTTTATTTTTTAGAAATGAATTGAGAAATTTATGTACTAAAAGCAATTTCCTCCATTTTTTCAATGCACTGTCTTTTATATCTTTTGCAGCTACTTCAGCTATTTCTTGTTATCTCTTTATTCTATCGTCTCTCTTCTATTCTATATCTTATCTTTATTTTAAATCATCTTTAAATCTTTATAAATTCTTTTCTCTATTCTTATTTTATTATTAAATCCCTTCAGTAACTTCTTTTAATGCCATCAACGTTTTACTATATACTTCCTAAATTTATTATGTTCTATGTATTTAATTAACTAGTTTACTTGTATGTACTACTATGATATTATTGAAGCGATAATTGAAGATGTCTTTCATATTAATTTGCTCTAAGTTAATAAACTAATTAATCTTTTTTCATTCTATTTAACATATGTTCAAAAATTTTCTTATCATATTAACTTTCACTTAATAATTTATGTTAGTCTTCTAATTTTGATTGTAATTCTTTTTCCTTTCCTTACAAATTGTTTTAAGTTTAATTATATTAATCTACTTAGATTGTCATTTAATCAATTTCCTTTCTCATATTTTCTATATCTTTTTCCTTCTTTACTCCATTTATCTTCATTGAATCACAGCTTTTTTTCAATTCTGTCAAATTGACATGAACTTCATGTGCTTCATTTACTTTCTACCATAACTAAGCATAAAACCTTCTAATCTTCTATTTATTTTGGATAATAATCATCATCAAAACCTAAAACTGATTAAAGATCATTTTTTTTTATTAGTTTGTCAACAGACTTAATCACTGCTAATTTCCGATATTTTTCATAATCATTCTTTTTACTTTGTCTTGTAGTTGATTTATTTGAATATAATCGTATCTATTTGCCAATATGCTAATATTTACATCTGGAAGTTCCACTGTAGACATTCTAATATATCAAATTTCTATAAATATTATTTATTCTTATTAAAAATAAATCATATATATTTTCATCATATCTTTCAATTTAGTATTTTCATAATTGAAAAATATTTCTTATTTCCAAATAAATTCAATCTCCCAAAGAATATTATATTTTATTATATTTTTACAGTTTATTAATCTAAATTAGGATAAATTATATTATTGATGATCTGATATACTACCTAACCCAAACAATACTATTATCATTATTATATTTTAAATTATCTATGGACTTAATTTTAAGCATTTCGATAAATTAAGTTATAGATAAACAAAATCATGAATTGCTTAAAATAGAGACCATGATAATATATTATTAAAATCAGAAAATTATGAGAATAATCAATTTTGAATTTTGATATGATCTAATGGAAAAAAAATAAAAGTTCAATATGGATATGTAATTTTAAAATAATTTTGATTCTCATAATATTTTATGTTCAAAGTGGATTAATTATAAGAGTTTGAATATAACTCATAAAAAGAAGAAACAGAAAAATACTATAAAAAATCAATTAGAGGAAGAAAAACGAAAACTTTATATTGATTTAAAGAATTTTTATGAACTCAAAAAGCCAAAGATAATAAATTTGAAATATAATCAAAAGTTAAAATAGATCTAAGAAAAAATAATATTATTAAAAGTTTAAAGAATTGATAGATAGATAAAAGAAATTAAAGGAGTAATAAAAAAAAGAAAAATTATTACAAGAGAGAATGTATAAGAAGTGATAAAAATTGAATGATATAGAAAGGAAGTTTTGAAATGATAAAACAAAAGAGAAATAAAAAATATTTAAATAAAGAATAAATAAAATAAAGAGCAATTTGTTTGAATATTTTGGAAATCAAAGTAAAAGAGAATTAAATTTAATGAAAAAATGAAATTTTAACTTATTTATTAGCTGTTTAAAGCCAAACATATAAAAAATTCCATAAGTTTTAAAGTGTTTTATAATTATTTTCTTAAATATTGATTTATAAATAATATAGCATTTTTTTTATAAATTTTTAACACTAAATAAATTAAATAAAATGTAGGAGCGATTTAAAGAAGAACTTCTCTCGCCTTAATTTAAAGATTTAGAACAAGAGCCTTCAACATAAGAATGCCGAAAATTTTCAAGTATATCTGCTGTTGAATTCAACACTCCTGAAACAAAATATAGATCAACAATAGGACCTAATAAAATGGACATGTCTAAAGATGCAACTTAAGTGCATTTTAGAAATAGAACAGCTAAATTTGAAGATGAATAAAATCAACTATATTTAGATATTAAAAATTTGTATGAAAAGAGATAATTTGATGTCCCAACTCTTATGGAACCAAAAATCTTATTTAAGACATAAACTGTTCCAACTAAATTTATGTATATTTTAATTATCATAGAAATTTATTTATAGCATCAAGAGAAGATAAAATGAAGTTCAATAGTAATCACAATTTAATGATTAAGTTTTGATAGACAAAATGCATTTAGCAAATTAATAAAGTCTAAAGAATTTATTTTCTTATCAATTTTGATATTAATTTAGATATATAATATAAACTTTATTGATCATAATAGAAATAATAATTTTCTATATTATTCTTTTACAATGGGTATTATAATATTAAATCTAAAATATTTATATGTTATATTTTTCCATTTAGAGAGAAGAAGATTGTGCAACTAAAATTTTGAGTTTAAATATATTAAAAGGATTTCTGGAGGGGAAAGATGTAAACTTTCAATTAAGAGGAATATTATTATTATTTTTGAAAATAGCATCAGTCATTTTCGAATACATTCCTCCATTTATAATAATATAGTATGAAGAATCAATAGAAAAATATTTATTAGTAATATTGGCATTATATATTGATTGTAAGATATGTTAATAATAGTTTTCACATTTAAATATTATGGAGTATATTTATCAGAATTTTAGTATTTGGTAAATGCACATTTATCAGAGAGGCTGTTTTCTTAATGTTTGAAAGTTCATAATTAAACAACATTTTAAGGAATGCTAAAGGAATTGAGATAAGTAGAAAGAGCAATTAGATCATTTTATGATTTAGTAGCAATAGCATTTGAATTACCTTTTGTTTATCATTTATTAAAGAATGAAAATTTATTTGATTCAATTAAATATGGGATAATTTTAAGTTTATTTGCTTTATTAGCAGCATCTGTAGCATAAATTTATGCATGGAGAATTTAATTTTTTGCAGATAAAAGATTAAGACTCACTTAAGATATGTTATGTGGTATAAAGAGTATTAAATATTTATAATGGGAAAATGTTATGCTGAAATTAATAAATAAAGTTAGAGAATAAGAGTTTTTATGTAATAAAGGAATTTAATATGTTGATACTTTTGTTAATTTTTTTAGAAGAATGACTTAGATTGTATTGTTATTTGTTGCCTTTTATAAAATTTAAGAATTAGAAAAAGAACAATTTTATACAATCTTAATATTTTTTGATAAATTAGTTACTCCAATTAATTCATTTCCATGGTGTTTTGGAGAATTTTTAGGAAGCTTTTTTTCAGTAATAAAAATAAATGATTATTTTAATACAAATGAAATTGAAGCTAAATTAATCAATTAAAATACTGTTGAAGTTATTTCAATAAAAAAATTTAGAATTTTTGATAGAGTTATAAATTTTATTAAAGGAGATACAATTCATTAAGCTACTTAAACAAAATTTTAGATTTAACTAAAATTTAATTAGATAGAAAAAAACAAATTAACTTGTATAATAGGATAAATTGGATCAGGAAAAAGTGTATTACTTGAATATTTTTGTGATGGATCTTATGTAAGTTAAAATGCATGGTTATTTAGTGGAACTGTTAAATAAAATATTTTATTTGGATAAAATTATGATGAAGAAAGATATAAATTATGTCTTAAATTAGCTGCAATAGATTTTGATGATAATAAATAAGTTGGTTTAAATGGAACTAACTTAAGTGGTGGTTAAAAATCAAGAGTAACATTTTGTAGAGCTTTATATTATGATGCTTAATCATATTATTTTGATGATATTTTTTCAGCTGTTGATGAAAATGTTGCAGATCATATGTTTAAATCTATAACTACTTTTTTAAAAGGAAAAACTGTTGTTTTAGTTTTAAATTAATTATAATATTTATAATATGTAGATTTTGTTATCAAAATTGAAAAAAATATTGCAATTTTAGAAGAAAAATAAAATTTTTAAGTTGGAAGTGTTTCCTTTTAACCAAAAAATATTGTTGATGCAATTGAACCTCCTTAACCTGAAAAGGAGATAGATTAAGAAACTGAGTAAAATTTAAAGGAAAATTATCAATTTTATATAAAAGCATTAGGTTTAAAAACTCTATTATTCTTTATTGTATGTTCATTACTTCATTAATTTATGAAAGGAGGTTTTGAATTATGGATTCATAATAATATTTCTAATTTAAAAAATTTTGATAAATCAGAATTTTTAAATGTATTTTTGATTTTATCTGCATTAACACTTCTAAGAGGATTCAGCTATTCTTATTCAACAATAATATCAGCAAAAAATATATTTGATTTATTGATGAAAAAATTTATTCATCTTCCAACAAAATTTTATGATATATTTTCTAGTTCATTTTACATAAGAAGATTATTTGATGATATGAATGAAATTGATGATCTTCCACTTAATTATTTTTTTACTGTAACTTTAGAATTTTTAGGTTTGTTTATTTTAATTAGTTCAATGCAATTTGAAATAATTCCTTATGTAATTATAAGTGGTTATTTATTAATCAAAAATCAATTATTGCATAGAAAATTTAAAGTCTCAAGATAATAAGAAATCAATAGATATTTTGAAACTTAAGATTTTGATTCATTTATTATTGAGACTGAGAAAGGTCATAAATTTATTAAATATTTTAAATAAGAAAAAAAGATTTAATCTCAATTTTAAAAGATTTTACTTTATAAATATGCTAATGCACTTTCATAAAGTTAATTAGAATATACTCTTTAATTACGTAATTTTATTGTAGAATCCACTGTATTAGTTTTATTAATTATAACTGGAAATAAATTAACTTATACTTATGCTTATTTATTATTTGGTAATTAATTTTTATCAAAATCTGTATAAAGTTGGAGAAGAATTACTATAGTTAGTTAATCATTATAAAGAATTAAATAGATTGTTAATTTCCCTTAAGAATAAGATGCACCAACATAACAATATAGAGATGATTTAATAGTTTATGATAATGTTTGGCTTAGTTATGGAATAGCAAAAGGTTTGGCAACTGCAGATTATGCTTTGAAAGGAGTTTCATTTCAAATTAAAAAGGGATAAAAAATAGCCTTTTGTGGAAGAACAGGATCTGGGAAATCAAGTCTTTTTAATTTGCTTGTATCTTTGTATGAATTTTAAAAAGGATAAATATATTTTTTTGGAAATCTTCTATAACATTATGGAACAAAATAATTAAGATCAGCTATGAGCATAATTCCTCAATAAGGAGTTATATTACCTGGAACAATTAGAGAAAACATTGATCCAAATTAATAATTTAGTAATTAGGAGATTGAAAATGTATTTAAAGAATTAGATTTTATAATTGATTTAAATAAAAGTACTTAAAATTTATCAAATGGAGAAAAATAAATTGTTAATTTTGTTTAATCTATATTATTAAATAAAGATATTATTTTAATGGATGAAGCAACTTCCAATATGGATATTGAAACAAGTAATAAAATTTTGTTTTATTTTAGATAATAAAATAATGAAAAAATTATTTGATTTTGTATAAAATAAAACATTACTCCTAATATCTCATAGATTAGAAAATCTTTAATAGTTTGATAAGGTATTTGTAATGGGCGATGGATAAATATAAGCATGTGGTACATACGAAGAATTATTAAAAAATGATAAATTTTTAGAACTTAAGAGTATTTTATGATATAAAATTTTAAATTATTTATTATTTAAAAAAAAAATCTTTTTGGTATTCCATTTTTGGGTTATATCTTATCTCCTGAAATAAAAATGAAAATTATTTTACTAATTTAGATAGATAGTTTAAGGTTTGATAACTTTGATTACAATTTTGAATATTTTATATCAATAAACAAAATTATGTTTTAATAAAATTAAATTGAGAATAGATATATGCATAAAAGTATTAATAAGAATGAAATTTTAAATAAAGGAAAAGAGGTTTAAAGTAGGAAAATTAAAATAGGTTGGTTAATTTATAAAAAATTAATATAAAAAAATGTAGCATTTTTTCAGAGTTTGGAAATTCTAAAAGATATTTAAAAAAAAAAAATTTATATGTTTATATAAATATATTTGATGTTTATTCATATACCAGGAAAAGACTTGTTTGTCAGCGAACCTGATCCAAGATATTTTGGTAATCCAAAAAATGATGACCCAAAAGTTAATTGGTTAAAGAGTAGATTTCACTTTAGTTTTGCAGGTATTAATTGTAAAAATAAAAAAGAATACAATGATCCTTAAAATTAATAATTTGGAGTATTGAGAGTAATGAATGATGATTTAGTATAACCAAATAGAGGATTTGGAGAACATCCACATTAAAATATGGAGATTGTTAGCTACATTGTATAAGGAGAATTAACTCATGGAGATTCAAAAGGAAATAAAGAATCACTTGGAAGAGGATCAGCATAATATATGAGTGCAGGATCAGGAGTTTATCATTCTGAATTTAATTTATCAAAGAAAGAAGTATGTCGATTTATTTAAATTTGGATAAAACCAAGACAAATTAATACAAAAGTTTAATATAAGAGTTATCGTGGCTAAAATGGTTAAGCAGATAATAAATGGTTCCATATGGTTGGAGATATGTAAGAAAATTCATAAGCACCAGCTAAAATAAACTAAGATGCTAATATTTGGGTTAATGAATTTACTACAGAATAAAGATTTGAAGTATAATCTATATTATATATTATAATAGATAAAAGAAGGTAGATAAGCTTATCTTTTATGCGTTGAAGGATCTTTTGAATTGAACATTGATTCATGTTTACCTTTATAAGATGTCAAAAGTTAGTTAATCAATTAACATGATGGAGTAAAGATATTCAAAAGTATCATTCTCAAACCAAAAGGCAAAGCTCATGTCTTATTGATTGAGATGAAAAAGTGATTAATCATCACTTAAATGATATATAATATAAGTATCAAATTATAAAAATATTTAATTTTATATCATTTCATTTTTCTTCTTCTATAAAATAAAACATATGCTGCATCAGTGACTGGATTAGATTTTAATTCTTTGACTTATGAATCATTAAAATCAAACCAAGTATTATACATAGGATTCTTTGCATAGGCTGTATAATGTCCTCCACCCATCCCTCCATAATGATTTGAAACTGCAAATAAATCATATATATAAGATTATGATTCCTTTATTTTTATTATATTAAAATACTTTTTCTAAAATGAATTGTTCTATATTCAAATTTTCAACAGGAAAATCTACATATTGAACAATTTTTGAGATTCCTCCTACTTAATATGTTCCATAAAATTAAGTTACTCTTGTTTATCTAAATCTTTTTAGATGCAATATCATAATTTAAGGTGCCTGTTTTAGCTTCTATAATATACCTTATATATTTGCATTTATTTCTTTGCCTTTTAATGTTTCTTACATTTAGAACAATACCATTCATTCCCTGCTCCTAAAACCTCTTCTTAACAAAATTAAATTAAACAATCTTTTAATGTAATTGTCTATTGTAAACTCTAATTAGGAACTTAAAGTATAAATTCTGCATCTACACATTTATTTAATTTCAGAAGTTCAGCTCGCAATTTAAATTAAACATTCAAAATTATAGATTTTCCACTTATCTCTATCTATTTATCTGAAAAAGGTAAAGGTTTATTACTTTCATCTTATAATTAATATATATTTTCTTTCAATTTTAATAGTTCTTAATATTCTTCAAATTAATCTTTATATATGAATTTTTTTATATTCTTTACGAATTATTCAAATTCTTTATCTAAATTAATATTGTAAGATACATCATTCACTTATAATATATGAGTTCTAAAGATCTAATATATTATTAGATGAAGTTCTTAATAAGTTGTTTCACTATCAATATAACAAATTCTTGTAAACGATATTCTGTAATTTTATTGATTTAGGCTGTTCTCTTCTAATTTTCTTACATTGCATAACACTTAATAGTAAGAGGTTTTTATTCTAGGATCATATTTAGAAACTGGTTTATCTATTTTTTCATCAAATTCTTAATACAAAAATATTGAAGTTTAAGACTCTTTTATTTATTTTATGGTTTGTTCTGATGATATTCCATTATCAATTATGGCTGAATCTTATAAAGAATAGAATTTTAGATACTCAGCCTTTATATTTTTTATCTTAGAAACTATTTCTATGATTTCTCCTGCTGTCTAGGTTGATTGTAAAGTTTATTGAATTTTCAAAGGTGTCTAATTAGAATCTCTGAAAATAAAATAAAATTAAAATTAAATATATTCTTTACAAGGAATAGGTAATGAAATTGTAACAAAAGGATCAAATGTTATAGATACATAGTTACATTCAGGACATTCTACTCTTGATTTAAATTATCCAGTAAATAGATCTATAATTTTAGAATCATTTCTTTTTTTATGATTTTACCAATAAATATCAGCAAATTCTTAATCACTTTAACCTTTGTATTCTATATCTGGAATATAAGGTTTTTTTTTAATTCGGTTCAAATCTTCATGCAGGCCGTCTAATAAATATGAGAGTAATTCTTAAGAGTCTTACTAACTATATCCATTAAACTATGGTGCTTATTATCCAATTATTTTTTTAACATTCCATGGTGCCACACTAGTTGATGTAGATTCATATAACTCTTTTAATAATTCAGCATAATTGCAAGCTAATCTACCTCCTGTTCCTAATGGATTTTTTTCATTTAAATCTTAAAGATAAGTATTATAGATCATATATTCAGTTAATTCAGTAACATTACTTAAACATTACAAACTTGAATTCATAAAACAAGTATTTCCTAAATTATTTAATCCACATATTCCTTTAGCAGAATTTTTTATTATTTTAGCTGGAGGTTTCACTTTATATTTTTTAGCTAATTAATTAATTTAAGAATCTTTTTCCAAAATTTCTAATATAAAGAATTTAGGTATTACTTTTACAATCTTCTTAGTGATTCTTCAAATCATTAATTTAACAAGTTTCATTACAATATTTAACACTTCTACATTCACATAAATAAAGTTAAGATTCTTAACTACCACAACTCATACATTTATTTGGAATTAATATTGTCTATAAATTTTCTTTTTTTTCTAATCTACATTAATCTTATTCAAATTCTATCAATAAAACTTCCTCAAGTCCAATTTCAGATTACTTTTATAATAATTAAAAATACTTCTAAAACATTATCTTTACTTAGTTTTGTACCAACTATTAATTAATTTTAAATCAATTCTTCCTAATTTATTTCTTTTGATATCTTCCAAACATTTCTTATTTTTTAATTAAATATCCTATATACTTTATTTATTAGATCTTCTATTCTTTCATTGCCATTAAATTATAAATTTATTAACTTTTATTATGGTTAAGGAAATAATTAACATCTAATTTAAGACAAATGTGTTTCAACTGCCTGTTTACTTCTACATAAAATAATTCTTTTTATTTCAACTCCACCAAATAAACCATATAAGAGTCTCCAAATTTAACTACTTACAAATATAAAATTTTAGTTTTCTCTAATAGATTTATTTAATGCATAATTTGAATAATTTTTTGCTTTCAATGGATCTTTCTCAAATTCAGTATATAAATCCATTAAATCATCATTGTAAATTGGACATATTTATATCTCACCAGAACTTTAGGTTTAATTTGATATTCTTTCCAATTCTTGATATGTTTAATGATTGCAAAATTATTTAAAAATTTCTACGAAAGTTTCATCTTCCATTGAGTTCTTTTTATAATATTATTACATTATACATTCTTTTTAGCAATGAAAGATTTTAATAAATCTGGATTTTCTCTTGTTAATTCATAATATTTAGTAAATAAACTAAACCGAGCAATCCATTAAGAACTTACTAAATAAGCAGGATAACCTTCTTATTCAAAATATCTATCCTTTTCTTATTTTATTAATAATAATTATAATTTTTTAGCTAAAGCTGCTTTCTCTTCATCATTATACTTTTAAAATATTCTCTATTTGTTATCAACATAATCTTGCAAATAAGTTTTTTTCTATTCTAATATAATTTCTAATTGTGCCCAAGTTTTTCTATTTTTACTCTTTTATATTTATTTTTAAACAGTTTCTATTTTAAGTATGCATTGTTATAAATGATTCAATTTTTATAAGGATTGTATTTATATCCATTCTAATTCTAATTTTCGCCATTCTATTTGATTAAATTCTTAATCATTTGAAAATGGAATCTCTTGAGAACATCCAAAGTAGGAAATCAAATAACTTAAATTAAAATCATTTAATTTATAGCTACAAAGAGCTAACAATAATAATGCTAATAAACTGATATCTAATAAAAATATAAACAAAATATTTACTGTCTATTATTTTTTCTTAAACATTTTGTAAACCTAATTGTGTTCTTAGTGATTATTTTAATTATTAACAGACCTCTACTAGATTCTTAATTTAATTTAGTTTGTACTTGTTTACCCTCCAATCTTTCATATGCTCTCTTTATTACTCTTTCATTACAATTATTGATGGAATCTAATAAGTATTAAGGACATATCATTCTAATTAAAATTAAAGAATATATATATAAATATATATTTATCATGTAAAATATTTTAATCTCTCTTTCTCTTCTTCACTAATTTCAGTTACTATTTATTCTTCTTTTTCTTCTTTTGGTGGCCATGATCTTATCATAATTGGTCTTCCATATCTTTTTTAAATAATAATCTCTCTTTATTATTCTTATTATTTTTTCTACATCTCAATTATATCTTATTCTTATTTTTCTTATTTCATTTTTTCCTTCTTAATTCTTATACATCCTTTTTCTTTATCTAATACTAAATCTGGTGCTATTTATCTATATCTTTTTATTTCTAAAATATATTATTCTAATTTTCTTTCTGTTTCTCTTAACATTTCTAATCCTGACATATCCTTTCTTGGTTCTGGATTTAAATCTGTTTTATACATTCTAGAAATCATCTATTCTAAATTACGAAGAGATTCAAATCCCTCATTATCACTTTTTATACTTTTTAAAGTCTTAATTTAATCATTTATTGTAATTATTTATTTTTCTAAATCTATTCTATTTTAAATTGCATTTTATTTCTTATCCTCTAATTACTTCTTTTTTTAATCTACTTTAGATCTCAATTCTTCAACCATTTATTCTCTTTCTTTTGTATTGGCTATTAAAAAAAGATTTCTTTCTTCCAATTATTAAAAAATATCAAATAATTAATTTGGATCTTTAAAATATGAATCAAATTCATCATCAGAATCATCTAATATTTTTTATAAATCAGAACTTATTTAATTTTCTTAAAGATTATTTTTATTTTTGATTTTGTTTTATAATTTTCTACTTTTTTTTTTAAATTCTTTTGGAGTTATTCTGTCTAAAAAATTTTTGTATTTTATGAGATCTTCTAAATTATCTACTTTTTATTAATTTTTAGTCATTAATTCAGTTCTATGTTCTTATAACACTTTAATTTCATTAGTTTTTTCTTATTTCAATCTAGTTTCATTTTCTGCTTCTTTAATTGCATCTCTAGAACTATTATTATTAGCTTCTAAAAATTTATTGAACATTTCAATATCCTCATCAATTAATTATTCACTTTATTCTAAACCTTTTCTATGAAATCTAGCTTACTTCTCATAAACATCAATCATTTCTCTTTTTTAATCAATTAGCATTTAAAATAATAACATTTCTCTTTTCTTTTCTAAAAATTAATGCATAGGTTCTCTAAATTTAACTCTATTTTTTAATGCATTATTAGCAGCTTCAACAATATTACTTTAATTATATTTAATTCATACATCTTATCTTATTCTTCTCTATCAAATGATGTTTCTTCACTTCCCAAACGATCTATTGTTCTAACAGTGAAAAATCCTTTTTATTTTTTACTCTTATCTTCAATCTTCAATTTTGAAAATTTAACTCTTTCTTCAGATCTAGCTAATTTTGATTTTTCTTTCAATTTGAATATCTCATATTCATCTGGAACATAGAATGGATTATCACCATATTATAATGATCTATCATGAATTTTTGGTAATTGAGGCTACATAATAATTAATTTTGTTATTTCATTTTTAGAAAACAAATCAATAATAGTTCTTTAGGCAAATAATACTCTCAATATTTTTATAAGTTATATTTGCAGAGTTTAATTTCTTAGTAAATTAAAAGCTATAAACTTTCTGTTTTAGTGAATTTATTAATCATTAATACTTACAGAAAAAATATAATAATGAACTTATATATATTCACATTTTCATTTTAATTTATTCATCTGAATGATAAATTCTTCTATGAGTTTTAATACTTCTAACTTTTTCAATACAACAATCTTCAGGCACTGCTAAATAATCAGGATCTGCAGCTGATAATAAATTCTTTCTTGTTTATTAGAGTAATTATTAGGAAGATTTTGATNTCTAATATTTTTTATAAATCAGAACTTATTTAATTTTCTTAAAGATTATTTTTATTTTTGATTTTGTTTTATAATTTTCTACTTTTTTTTTTAAATTCTTTTGGAGTTATTCTGTCTAAAAAATTTTTGTATTTTATGAGATCTTCTAAATTATCTACTTTTTATTAATTTTTAGTCATTAATTCAGTTCTATGTTCTTATAACACTTTAATTTCATTAGTTTTTTCTTATTTCAATCTAGTTTCATTTTCTGCTTCTTTAATTGCATCTCTAGAACTATTATTATTAGCTTCTAAAAATTTATTGAACATTTCAATATCCTCATCAATTAATTATTCACTTTATTCTAAACCTTTTCTATGAAATCTAGCTTACTTCTCATAAACATCAATCATTTCTCTTTTTTAATCAATTAGCATTTAAAATAATAACATTTCTCTTTTCTTTTCTAAAAATTAATGCATAGGTTCTCTAAATTTAACTCTATTTTTTAATGCATTATTAGCAGCTTCAACAATATTACTTTAATTATATTTAATTCATACATCTTATCTTATTCTTCTCTATCAAATGATGTTTCTTCACTTCCCAAACGATCTATTGTTCTAACAGTGAAAAATCCTTTTTATTTTTTACTCTTATCTTCAATCTTCAATTTTGAAAATTTAACTCTTTCTTCAGATCTAGCTAATTTTGATTTTTCTTTCAATTTGAATATCTCATATTCATCTGGAACATAGAATGGATTATCACCATATTATAATGATCTATCATGAATTTTTGGTAATTGAGGCTACATAATAATTAATTTTGTTATTTCATTTTTAGAAAACAAATCAATAATAGTTCTTTAGGCAAATAATACTCTCAATATTTTTATAAGTTATATTTGCAGAGTTTAATTTCTTAGTAAATTAAAAGCTATAAACTTTCTGTTTTAGTGAATTTATTAATCATTAATACTTACAGAAAAAATATAATAATGAACTTATATATATTCACATTTTCATTTTAATTTATTCATCTGAATGATAAATTCTTCTATGAGTTTTAATACTTCTAACTTTTTCAATACAACAATCTTCAGGCACTGCTAAATAATCAGGATCTGCAGCTGATAATAAATTCTTTCTTGTTTATTAGAGTAATTATTAGGAAGATTTTGATTTCAGTAGAGTTTTTTATTTTTACTCTTAAATATATCCGAAAGTAAATTTAGAAATTTTAAAGAGCATCATAGGTGAGTGCTTATGAATTTTAGGATTGAAAATTATTTTAGAAATGTCTGTATTCACGTATTTACAAATTTCTTCTTATCCTCCAGGATGAATATAAGCAAATTCTGAGAGATCATAAACAGTATTTTTAAAAACATACAGTAACAAGTGATTTTATCTAGCATAAGTTTGGACAGATGAAATATTATCAAAATAGATTGGTGTTTTTATTGGATTAAATTACATAATTAAATATATGCAACAAATCAAAAAAATTGATTTAGTTAGAACTTCAAGCAAAAACAAAAGTTTTTAAGAAATTTATGATTTTAACAAAAGTGATGTAAGATCCAAAGTTTATGTAGAAATTGGGATAAGGTTCATATGGAATGGTGTATAAGGCAGTACATAGAGAAACTGGTTTAAGCAGAGCAGTAAAGATGATTCACAAGGCAAGTGTAAATTAGTAAGAAAGATTGAATAATGAACTTAGAACTGTAGAATTATTGGTAATTCTGGAAACTTAGTTTATTTAAGGATCATCCACATATTATTAGGGTGTTTGAGACTTATGAAGATAATGATTATATCTATGTGGTAATGGAGTAAGCAATCAATTATAAATTAGAATATGTAAGGGAGGTGATATCTTTGATAAAGTATTAGAATATGGTAATTTTGATGAAGAAGGAGCTTTAACTATATTCATATAAATTATTAGATCAGTTGTTTATTACTAATCTTTGAATATAGTTCATAGAGATTTGAAACCTGAGAATTTTTTATTTTAGAAAAACAATGATTTAGATTCTCTATATATTATCGATTTTGGATTAGCAAGACTATTCTAACCTGGTATATAACATTAATGGACAAAAGCAGGAACAGTAAATAATAATTTATTTATTATTTAAGGCTTATTATGTAGCACCTGAAGTATTACAGGGTATTTATGATAACAGATGTGATATATGGTCAATTGGTGTCATTCTATATGTATTATTATGTGGATATCCACCTTTTTATGGTGAAAATGAATATGAAATTTTATAATCTATATAGAAAGGTAAGTTTGATTTTGATGGGCCAGAGTGGAAGAATGTATCAAAAATGGTTAAACAATTGATTTGTCATATTTTGTAGCCAAAATTATAAAGGAAAGATTTAAAAACTATATTAATACATCCTTGGGTATAAAAATATGTTTAGAAAGGAGAAATCTTACTTACTAAAAATCATGTGAATAGATGGAAGCAATATCATTTAATAAAATAAATAGGATTATTATACTTAGCAACTCAACTAGATTAAAGTGAAATATTGCAAATTAAGAATGGGTTTCTCTATATGAATAAAAATTAATCTGGTATTTTAAGCAAAGAAGAGATAAATTTTTTAGATGATGAATTCCAATCCTTGGAATATTATTGTAATAATAAGAGTTTAATCTAGAATACATTTCACTTTGTTTGGAACCAGCCATATATAAGTGTGAAAAGTACTAAAAATTGATGTTTTTGTATTTGTCAATAGATGGCAGAATAACAACAATGAGTTTAAGGAGTATTCAAATATATTTTGAATGTGATTTGGATTATTAACAATTTGTAAGCTTGTTTTGATTATGATAAATGAGGTTTAATTTTGTTAAAATAATTTATATACATATAGAGAATTGATAAAATGTAGAGAACATAATCAAATGTTTCAATTTTAAATGCTTGGTTTAATTTAGAGAAGGCATTGATAGATGCTTAAGTAGCTGAGAATGAGCAGGTTACAATAATTTCAAGGCCTCCAACATCAAAGATGATGAGAGATTATTCAAATTATCACTCAGTATGAGAATGGTTTGAACTTTAGCATCAAAGAGCTTAATCTTTAAGACCTTTAACAGGTTTGACTAGGCCTTCAACAGCAATAACTATGAAAAAACCATTTGAATATTAAGAGAAAACTGCAACAATTTAATAATCTTAAAGAAAGATTTTTAGAAAAAAAGTGAATTAAAGACCTTATAAAAAGTATGGTTTTGATAATATTCATATTTAAAAGTAATACTGATACATATTATAGGGAAGAAATAGAAAATGATATATCAGAAGAGGAATTGAATTAGTCAACAGTAATACATACTTTAGAAGTTGATTAAATTATAGATTTATATCATTGCAAATGCAAAGATAGAGAACTTGAATATTAACCAGAGCATGCAGTTCTTTTTATACAAAAGTTTCAGAAATTATGTATAGAAGAACAATTCATTTGTGAAGATAATTAATTAGGATTAGAGAGTGCTAAAAAAATTAGAGATATGTTATTATATAATAATAATTTTTCTAATTTAAGATTAGCAAGAAATACAATAGGAAATGAAGGTTTAATGGAATTGATAGAGTTATTAAAAGTGAATAGAAATATAGTTCATTTAGATTTATCAAGTAATAATATTACAGCAGATGGGGCATTTTATTTATTTAATGAGATAGTACCATTACATTCAGTGATATCTATAGAATTATCAAGTAAAGATGGTTTGAATAGAAATAAAGTGTCTGTAAAAGGATGTGAACCTATAGAAACTATACTAAAATATAATCATCCATTATAATTTCTAGGTTTAAGAGGTACATCAATATAGAATGCTGGTTTTGAATGTATTTTATCAGGACTTTAAACTAATAATACATTAGCATATTTGAATGTTCCAAATAATGATTTAAATGAAGAATCTTGCAATTATATGGTTTAATATCTAACAGTATGTAATCTAGTTGAATTAGATCTAAGTTATAATCCATTGGGTAATAATGGAATGGATTATTTATCAAGAATTATTGACAAAGGAACTTTCATGTTAAAAAAGTTAAATTTAGCAGGATGTGAAATCAAATCATTAGGCATATTAAAATTGTTTTAAAGTTTAATTGTAAATAGATTTTTGGAAAAATTGATTTTAGATGAAAATTATTTTTCTGGAAATGGATTCAATCAAATTGAAAATGTATTAACTTCCAAAATACCATTAAGTTATTTATCAATGGCTAAATGTTGCATAAATGCTAAAGGAGCTGATTACATTGGTAATGGTGTTGAAAGAAATAAAACACTTAGAACACTTATTTTAAGAGATAATAGAATAACAGATTTAGGTGCTGAATCTATATTTAAAGGACTCTTTTTTGAAAAGTTAGATTTAAAAAGATGTAATATTACAGATAAATGTGTACTTGCATTGTCAAATATGATTAAATAAAGTACCTAATTAACAACACTGATATTACCAGATAATGGTTTTCATGATTCTTCAGGAATTATTATTTGTGAAGCTATTAGAGTTAATTCTACAATGTAATTAATATTGAATATTTAGATTAAATTTAGATATATGCGAAAATCCATTGAGTTATAAATACATAGATTAAATAAATAAAGTTATTGAAACAAATAGATTGAAATATGAGCTTGATAGAGTACCTATGTATAAAAGAGAAATTATTAAACTTAATCATCTCATCTAATTAAAACCTCATTTAGAAAAAGATTAAAAAGAGAATCAACAAAAAAAGGCAAAATCCCTTTAAATATTAGAAAAGACTATTGAAGAAAAAAATAAAGTTAAAATAGAATAAATATAACAAACAACAGATATGGATGCTAGATTATAATAAATACAATAATAATCAAGATAAATGGATGTTGATAAAATTAAATTTGATAATGAATCAAATATGTTATTAATTAAAATGGATGATGAAATAAATGATTATTAAAAGAAAATGTCTGAATGTCATTAAATAATTACTCGTTTAGAGAAGGAAATAAGAGGATTAAAAGATTAAAGACATGTTCGAAAGGGTTAAAGTGATTCTAGATTGGAAATGCTTAGATAATTAAATAGAGCAGAAGAAAGAGCACTTTAAAGAGCAGAAATGGAAAAGAAACAATTAGAAGAAAGGATAAAAGCCATGTAAGGAAAAGATTCTCTTACTAGTAGAAGGAAAACTAAGTAATAGTCATAAATTATTTAATAAAAATAATGAATAAAAAATATACATCTTCCAACTTAAATCCTAAAGTCCTAGATGATAAAGACGAGATAAATTTTGGAACTTCCTTTATAGATACAATCTAGGATTTAAGACTTTTTGAATAATTAACTTCTTTTCTTGATACTTCAAGTCTAATAAATTTTTAGCTTTCTTCCAAAATATTCAAAATTAGACATTGGAAGATTTATTTTAAGAAAGTTATATTCGCAAGATTATACAAACCTTTAGACCATAAATTAATCTCTTAATTTATTATTGATCAAAGATGTGTATAATTTATTTTTTGGGATTCGGTAATCGATTTTAAAAGATTAAACTTATAATACTCTCACCATTATAAATATTATTCTTGTTAACAGTCTATTGAAGCTTCTAATATTCAAAAAGATATTGATCGCACATTTTCATAACATTAATACTTTAAATAGATTCATAATCGATAAAGATTATAAAGAATACTTATAGCTTTATCTAAAATTTAAGAATAAATTGGTTATATATAAGGATTTAACTAAATAGCTGGTTGCTTTTTAATCAATGGTCTTAATGAATAATAGACATTTTGGATTATGTATTATATTCTAAAAAAAATGAAATACTCAAATATATTCTAAGATTAATTTAATGAGCTTAAATTCTTAAATTTTACTGTAGCTGTATTTCTAAGGAATTACGTCCCCTTTTTATCTAATGAATTTGTAAATCTCTATAATATTTATAGTTATAAAATAAAATAGATATTGGAATTATAACAACTAGATGGTTCTTAGTGATTTTTGGTTATGACTTGCCTCAATAATTAGTAAGAATAATAATATTCTTAGTTGATTTAAGTTTGGAATATGTTTTTATTAAAAGGCATTAAAATATTAATTAGAATTGCAATTGCAATTTTTAGATTAATTTCTGATTTTGATGGGATCAATGATTTATATGAATTACTTAAAGAAAATCTATTTGATCTTTTAGAATCAAATAATTAATTATAGTAAAAATTAATTGAATATTTCTAAACTATTAAAATTACCAATCGCTTAATTTAGGAATTAAGAGATAAATTTGAAACTGGGGATGAATCTCTAAGTCTTTCATTTGATTATGTTTAAAAAAAGCATTATTGGAGAAAAGGTGGTGATAGTGCAAGAAGTTTAATTAGTTCTTTTAATGAAATTATTAGTGAAATTTAAGAAGAAAAAGATGTATGCTTTTAGAGATCATAATTATTTATGAATGCTTTTTTTCCAAAATTAATAAATAAAAACTATTTAGTAGCTTCAGAAGGTAAAAAGAATTTAGCTATTAAAATTGAAAAAAGGCCTTAATTGATAAAACGTTAGATTATTTCTCAATAATTTAAAATGTCTATTCCATAATCTGCTAATGGAGATTAAGTATCAACTAAAATTATTAGGAATCTAACATTTATGCTGATGAACTCTAAAGTAGAATGAGTCCTAAAGAAGACGAATCAATTGAACTTGAATGCACTCCTGAAAAAATCTTTAAGTTTTCAAATAAAAAAAGATGAATTATTATAATATATTTTATTAATATACTTTTAGCTCATAAAAATCAAAAACCATAGCAAACAGAAAATCAAATTAACTTCTAAAAATTGAAAGTAGAATTAATACTAATGGATTTTCTTATAATTATATACTTCTTATAAAAGAATTAAGAATATCTTTTTTATTAATTTTATTATGATGCATAAGTATACCGTAATAAAAGAAATAAAACATAAAAAAATCTTCTTAGTAAAGAATGAACAAGGAAGTAAGTTCTATTAGAAGAAATATCCATGTTATCAACCAAACTCAGATAATTTATGGGATGTATGAATAAAAATAATTTAGGTCTTGAAAAAATTGTAAAGTTAGAAATATTCTAACATTGTGAAAATTTATGAAGTTTTTAAAGATCATTCGTAAATTAATGTGATAGAAGAAGCTTGCTAAGATTAGAATCTGAGAGAATATGCACCAAAAAATATAAAAAGTGAGAATCAAATTTTAAAATGCTTGTTGGATATTATAGAGGGATTGATGGAATTGAAAAATTTGAAAATTATACATAGAGATATTAAACCAGACAACATAGTTTATGATGGCAGTAATTTTAAAATTATTGACTTTGAAACAGCTAAAATAAATTAAGATGATCGTCTAAAAAAATAATCTTTAGAGATTGGGTTTATAAATATTTTAATCATAGAACTTTCGGCTATCGTGCTCCATAAATTATTTTTGAACATGACTATTCATCTAAATGTGATATTTGGAGTCTAGGGTGTGTGTTGTATTTTCTCTTATTTAAATAAGATATTTATAGTGTATAAAATATATAAAATGAATCAAATTTTTAGGATATAATACAACATATACTTTAAATTTAATTAGATGATTAAAATTTCAAAGATTTACTTTCCTAAATGTTATAAATTGATGAAACAAAAAGGATAGATTTAATAGATCTTAGAAAGAAAGTTTAAAAACTCTATAACAAATATAATCCTTCAATTATTTCAACTTATATAGGAAATAATACTACAAGTGATATTAGTTAGAGATAAATAGAAATTTAATAAAATCCTAATCCTAACAATTTAGTAAATTTTGTAAAAACAATGACTTCTTTAATTTTTAAAGAAGGGAATGCTTAAAATGAAATAAATTTATATAAATTTTGGCTTAGACAATTAGAATTAAAATTTTCAGATAACGATTTGAGAGATTAGATTAATAATTTATTACTCTATAAAATAGACGATTTAAAAAAAAAAAAGATCAAAATTGATCTATTTATTTCTATGGATGAAATTATAGAATCATTGAAAAATATTTAAGAATTATAATAATATATAGATTCTTGAAAAGATTTATACAAGTCGTATGAAATATTATCTTCAGTAATAATAATATAGTTTTAAAGATTTTAAATAAATCCAAATATTTTAATAATAAATATATGTCTAAGCTGGTTATATTAATTGTAAAAATATATACTTGTTAGCCTCTCATTATTATTAAAATTATTGTTAAAAGGATTATTATTATTATGACAATGGAATTTTGTATTGACAATCTTACTTTTTACCCTATTCAAAGATGGTGTGTTCAGTTTCACAAATACCACATAGTATTTTTCTGGTAGGACTTAATCTTAAATTTTTCTTACAGACATTTGATTTATGTCCAACTTCCTAACAAGATTTGCATATAACTGGTTTAACATTTATTTCACTTTATTTGAAAGTAGCTTATTCTTATTTTAATTTTGAATAAAATTTTTCTGTAAATTTGAGTTCTTAAGTTCTATCATTCAAATCGAATAATTTCACGTGTTACATTTTACATTCGGGTCCATCTTTACAAAATCCATATACATAATCCATGCATAATTTTCTTACAATATGTTTTCTAAAAGTTTTGATACAATTTTAACTTATCACATGAAGAACCCAAAAAACAAAATCCTTTGTCATAATCAGGACATGGCCAATATTTATGTTCTAATGGACATTACGGTTTAAGACAAAGATCTTTCTAAAAATCCATGCATATAGGCTTGACTTAAGAAATTGTAGGATTGAACATATTTAAATGAAATCTAAGATAATTTAAATAGTATAATTAATCATTTTTTTTTTTTAATTTTTTTATCATTTAAAGAGCCTAATAACATCCACATATTTTCATCATTAGGATAACCAACAACTGGATAATCAGATTGTGATTCTTCCTTTATTTAAGGAAGTTAATCTTTAATTAGAACTTATAATTACAAATTTATGGTAAAGATTATTTATAAGGCTACTAAGGAGGAAATAAAATATCAATAGTTAATTTAAATGCATCATCTAACATTCTTGGAATATACATTTTTAATAATGGACTTGATTCTTCTATACAAGGATTTGTATTAACTTCAATTAACCAGACTTCTTGATCTGAATCCAAAATAAAATCAAATCCAAAAATTTCAAAGCAATACTTTCTATCTTCGAAATTAATTTTACTGCGGACTGAATTAAAAACCATCCATATTCTTTCTTTCATTTTATTTATTATCTAAAATATTGAATTATATTACATCTCCAACATTACATATAATATTTTATTATTTTAAATACTCTTAATAGTTTTTGAATGATAATTAATTACCATCTTCAAATTCCCCATAATTTTTTGAGTATTTTTAGATTGCATTATTTGTTAAATGTACAAAAGTGTTCTCTATATTATATGTGAAATCTTCTGAAGATGTTCTAATATATCCTTCTTAAAAGAAATAAGCATCTAATTCTTGAGTTACTAATCCCCAAACTCTAATATCAAATTTTCTTTTATTTATCAAAGCTGGTTTTTCTATATATTTTTAAATAACAAATGACTATGATTTTATAATACAAGGTCCTGTTGGTTATTATCTAATATATTAATTTGGATCTTTTTTTGTTCCTTAAGCACTTTAAACTTATTTAGGTGGTTCTTCTTCTCCAGAAGATTCATCTTTTTGATTTAGAGTCTTTTCTTTTAACCCTTCTTAAAAATCGGATACTAACTTTACTAATGTATCTAAATTATCAAATATTTGAATTCCTCTTCCTCTATTCAAAAATGTTGGTTTTAATAACCACATATAAGTAGAATCTTCTGATAAAAATGTATTATTCATTTGAATTTTTTAAAATTATGAACTTTAATCTCTTTAATAAGCATTACTAAAATTTCCTCTTAATTTTCTTTTAACATCGAGCATTAATTTTGCTGATGGTTTTTTAGGAGCAAATTATTCATAAGTTTTAAGGAATTATGTAATATTGTAATCACAATTTTCATCACTAAAATCAATCACAAATGTTAATGGAGTATAATCAAATACATTTAATTTATGTTTCTAAAAATAAACATATTTTTACTTCGCAATATTAAGATAGATTTTTTATTAGATAAGATTTATTTGATATTTCTTTATGATGTTCGAAATGATTAACAATTTATTTGTAGTTTTAACTAACTATCAATCTTTCATATCTATAACCTCTTTCACTTTATTGCCACTTAAAATTAACAAACATAGAACTAGAATCAGTAGTTTCTTTCCATTATATTCTTTTCTACATTACTCTTTTTACTAAACCCTCATTATTTCCCCATCCAATAAAATACTATTTGAATTCAACTTATGTATTTACCTTTAAACAAAATTCTTAAGGAGAAGGTATGAATTGATTTCTTTTTTTAGAAAAGCTTGTTGATTTAGGATTCAATTTTCTAGTTACATTTGGCAATAAATCTTGCTTTTATTATATTTTTTCCTTGCTTTTGCTCTTTTTATGTTTAAGTAATTATTATGTAAATTATGGTTTTATTTATGGACTTTAAGACTTATATTTTGTTTCTGTTTTATTTCTCGGTCTTCTACTATCTACCTTCATAGGTGATTCTTCAGACTAATTCATTAATATAAATTCTTGAGAACTATAATTTTATATTATTGTTAAAATAATTTCAAAATTATAGCAATATTTTACAAGTTGCAAACTTATCTTTCATTTTGATAAAGTAATTATAAAACATAAGATTCATTCAATAATTAAACAATTTGTTATTAAAGTAAGTTTGCAAAATTTAATAATAAAAAATGTTTTCAATTTATTCAAGATACGATTTCCCTATAAATTATTATATTAATATACCTTTTTAGGGTTTCTTTCCTCTAAATCAATCTTATAGTCTTACTAAATCCTTTAGGTTATTTTTCTAATAGTTTGTTTAGTAATTTTAAGCTTTAATTATATAATTAACATTAAATTCTTATATGGAATTCAAAGAATCGTCAATTGATCTTGAAGATTTTTGTGATATTCCATCTTAAAGGTTAACATATGATTGCTTTTAAATTATCTAATGATATTTTGAAATTTAATTGCGATGTACTATCCCTATAAAAACGATTTTCTCACCTTAAATTAAATCTCTTTATCATTAAAGAGGTCTTAAATTTAAAAATCGATTATATATTTAATTAATTCTAAGTCATTATGTATGTATTAGTTTTTGAAGTAATTTTATTTAATAAATGGTAATATTTATTTAAAATTTCTCAGACTGTGCAAAGATTAAGATTATTAATGAAATAAATTTTTATATCAAGAATTTAGAAATATATTTTTGCTTTTTCATTTTGAGTGAAATCTCGTGATTGTAATTCATCTACATATTCTTTCAATTTTAATTAATTTAAAGCTTAATGGATGATATTTAAATTGGAGGATCATATTTATTTTTTGTCTCACTTTCATAAGTAGCTGTTTTGAATTTTAATATGGATTTAAATGTTAGATTAATTTAACTTAGTGTCCATTGACAATGTTTTTTTAAATTATTGGAGTTGACTTTTTTTTCCATATATCTTTTAGATATATTCATCACTGATATTATACATTTACTTGACAGCACCAAAATTTTCAATTCTCGATTTCCTTTAATTATAGCTTCTTCTTTTAATTTGATTTTATATTCAATTAAATTTTAAAAAATTGCAAATCTAGATTCAATTCTTGATTTTTTAGAGATTTTATCCGATTTTTCTTTCAATAATTTTAGGAATCCTGTTTATTTTTGATGCTCTCATGTATTATTTTAACTTATTCTACTCTAAAAAGTTTAAACCTTTTTGATCTGCTTAATTTTTACATTTTAAAATTTCACAAGGTGATGTTTCTCCTTTTATAAATTTTTCATGTCCTGAAGGACTACTGTAAACTTTATTACCACAAAACATAGAAGTTTCTCCTAAAAAAAGCAGGATCAATGTTTTGATATCTTTATCTAGCAAGACTTTCACTTAAAAAATTGCTAAAAATACACTAGAATTTGTTTAATTTGGTTCTCTTCTTATATGTAATCTTTTCATTAATTTATTTATGATTTTTAATAGAAGAATCTAGAAAGTTGTATTTCATCCAACCCCCCGCTATTTTTTCTTTTAACCTCCATAGTTTGATGTTAATAAAGATTACTACAAAATTCTTAATTGCTCTCCTACAGATCCTGAACAAAAAATAAAATAAGAATATTATAAATTAGCAAAATAATATCATCCTGACATCAATAAAGGAAATGAAGAGAAATTTAAATAAATAAATGAAGCTTGGGATGTATTCATATCATTTTATTATAGGTTTTGTCTGATAAACATAAAAAATAAAAATATGATTCAGCAAGATCTTTTAGCAATAACATTAATGAAACAAATTTTAGAGATAATTAACAATATGGACATGAAGAATTTTTCAGAAAACAAGGTCCAAATGGATTTTATTAGCAATATACTTATAGAAGTAATTACTTTAAATTTATATTAAGGTAGTAGCAATTATTAACAATTTTCAAAATAATAAATGGATGAAATGCAAAGATAGGCTCAAGAATTCATGAATATGTTTTAAAATGGTCAATTTAATTAGTTCTCTTCAGCGTTTCGATAAGCTACTTAAGGTGATCCTAAATTTCATAGAGTTCATACATTCATGAATTTAGCTGAAATGGCAGAAAAATTCTATCAAGAGAGATAAAGAGCACAAATGCAAAATGAAATAAAAAGATAATAAAATGTATAATCTTTCGAAAATAAAGAAGAGAAACTCAAAGAATCCTTAAACAATATAAAAAGTGGAATTAAAGGTTTATGGGATTAATTTACTCAAAAATGAATTTATATATCCATGTTATTTTGAAAAATTCTTTTTTGTTATTAAATGAATGTTGTTTCGTTCAAATACTCTAAAATAATTTTGTATTTAAACTTTTTTAGATAGCAATGAAATATTTCATTGTATTTATATATTCTTATACTATAATATTATTTTTTAATTATATAAAAGAGATTATATGAAATGATTTCCTAATAAATTTAAAATAAGGATATCTAAATAATAACAAAAAGGGATTTCTAAATAAGATCATTAATTATAAAAGTAATAAAAATATTAATTATTTGATTTTGTAATATAAGTATAAAAATAGATTTCCATAAATAAAATTAATAATAAAAATAAATGATAAAATAAAATCATTAATTACTTCTATTTGTATCCATTTTAGAACTAAATGAGATTGACAAACTTTCTGAATTTCTTTAATTTCTTTAATTTTTTTTTTGACTATAACCTCTTTTAAATTGAGTATTTTCTATATTAATTAAACTTAAAATAGTATTGATTCCTTAAGAAGTTTTTTCACCAATTGAAAAAAAGTTTGATTTAGTGATTGAATTAGTTTCTCTCTATCTCCAACTTAAATTGCTTCCATATATATGTTCTTTCAAAACTCTGGAAGATTTCAATCTACTTGCACTACCTTGACTCTATTAACATATTAAATATAAATTACATTGCTTAAGTCTGTAAACTAATTTACTTCCTTAAATTTACAAAAATTTGGAGAAATCATATCATTTTTTTTACACCTTAAACAAATCCTATGATCAAAAGGTGGAAAGATGTCTTCATTTTATTAATCAGTCTGAACAGCATGATCATTTATTTAGACTCTACCAGAACTACTATAATTTTAAACAGATGAAGTTTATTCTTAACTAGTATTATTATTATCATCTTCTATAAAAATATGTTTATTTTTCTTAATTATTCCTATTGGCCTTTTTTATGTATTTGACTCTTAAGAATCATCCAAATCTTTTGAAAATTTAGCTACTTCTCTATAAAAACTTTATTAAATTGAAGAAGCTGGAGAGTTTGTATAACAATTAGGACTCTTATGCTAAGCTCTTGGAGGCTTTTAACTATTTCGATTTTATTAAAAATCTAATCTATTTTATAATTGCAATTAATCTTGCAAATAATTTACTTGTTTATCATATTATTAAACTAAATCTTAAATAATTTATTCATATTTTTATGATGTTTAAGCTATGGATTTACTTGATGATTCTTAAACCTATTACATCTTTTTTTAAAAGGATTTTTCATTTTCTTTTATTTATTAGAAACTTACAGAAGTATTTAAAACATCTTTAACCTATTCTAATTCTTTTGCAAATTAAAGAGATTTTTTATCATTCTCAATCTTATATTATAATAGATCTTATTATTTCTAGAATTCTAATTAATCAATTTGTCTTTATTAAAGCATTATCTCATGTTTTTAACTTGAGATGGTTTATTAAAGTTATTAAATTTGAGATTATTTTTCCTAAATTTATTTTTAAATATACATCTATTATAGAATTGTATTCTTATTAAATTTCATTAACTTATTATTCATATTAAGCTGAATTACTATCCATTTCTTATTAAAGTTCCTATATCAATGTTTCTTTTTCCAAGATAACCTATAATAAAATTATTTGATTACCTAATCTAATTATGAGTTCTAAAGTTTTAATTTATCAAACAATTATGATTATTATTGATATTATATTTATGTTTAATCTAATGCTAATTTATTAATTTTTATTTCATTCAAATAATTTATTTCTTATTATTTCAATTATTCTTATAATAAATTAATTTTTTGATTCAATATTTAATTCTCACTTTTAAGAGTTGTTTCTTTTTCAATCATTTTGTGACTCTCCAATAATTTCTCTTAATCTTACATTTAAAGTTTTTATTAAAATTCTTAAGACTATGATAATGCCTTTTTTAATCTACTTTCTGTTTATATTTTATACTCTTTAAATTCTTTTTATATGTCATTGAATTTAATTTAATATTTCATTTCTTCATCTAATTCTTTTTGATCAGAATTTTATGTATTATTGAATTCATAACTTTCTTTTAATTATTTTTGTAATGCATCATTTAGCTTTAATTATTTCTTAATTTCAGTTTCCTAATTAAAAATTTACTTTTCAAAATCTTAAACTTAATTTTTCAACTATCTTAGTTATTCATCATATTCTTTTTATTTTTCTGATAATTTAGTATTTGTTAATTAAGTATTGTTTAATTCAGATTCCAATTATTAGATCCTAATTGATTGAGATTTGGATAATTGTTTATATTATTAAATTTCATCATTTTCATCATTTTTAGACTAATATAGGATAGACTCTAATTCATTATTTTATTTATTAAGTCTTTCAATAATGGATAAATGTTTTTCACATTCATCTTCTAACTTAATTCTAATATCATTCAATTCATTAACATCATTTTTATATTTTTATAATTCTTTATATAAATTTGTGTTGCTTTTTTAAAGTTATTTGATTTAATGAGTATACATTTATAATTGATTATTATAGACTTAATTTTCTTTTTCCACCTCAATACTATTATTAAGAATGTTTTTCATTTCATCTTAAAGTTGAAGTTTTTCTTGATGTTTCTCATCAATTCTTAATTTGATTTAGTTTTAGATTTGTTTATTTTCTTTGATGATAATTTCATTTTGTTATTTAACTTCATCAATTTCTTTTTAATATTTAAAGATTTAATTTGATAAATCTTTAATTTCACATTCTTAATTATCAATAATTTAATCTAAGGAATCAAAAATATAATTAAATAGATTGGTATTAGATTTTGGTTGAGGAATTCTAAATCTATCTAATTAATTTGAAATCAATTATTCTAACTCTCTCCATTATTCCCATGATGAATTGTTTTATAATTATTAAATAATTTGATTTTTTTCTTCTAACTGTTAACTCAACATTATATTAATTTTTTATTCATTTTTGAATAGATTATTAGATTATTCTTATGAATTAAGTTTTTATTCTTGCAACTATAAAGTAATTCGATTGTACTCATTCATAGATAATAATTTGAAATCTATAGATGCAAGATCTAATTTCTTTTGTTTCATAGCTAACACTTGTTACTCTACTTCTTGGAACACCTAAGCAGCAGCCTCTACTTCTTAAGATGACACTGTTTATTAACTATTTTGATATATGGCACTTATCAATACTTTTCATATACGTTTTCTATTTCCAAAGTTATCTTCTGATTAAATTCTATTAATTTTTTTACGAAAGTCAACATGTCTTTGATTTGATCTTCATCCTACTTTTATAATTTATTAATCTCCCTTGTTATTATTGTAGCCATTGATATTTTCGACTCTTTAAATCGTGTATATTCCAAATCAATCTAATTTTATACATTCACCATTTCTTATTTATAATGTGATAACTTTTTGCTGTATTCTTTTAACTTCAATCTATTTTTATTATTAGTTAGTATAATTTAAGGTCCTGTACTTTCTTCTTTCAAAAAAGATTCATTAACAGACGACTTATTATGAACTCCGCTAACTGCACTAACTTCTTTAAAATCTTTCAACAATTGATCCATGAATTGTACCTTGCTCATTTTGAATTTGTATAAATATTAATTTGTTCGTTAATATATATGTAATTTGTGAATTTAACACCATCTCCTAAGAGATCACTTAATACAATTTAAGGATAATAAGGAAAAGCGTAAAAGAAATTAAAATCTGTCAAAACGACTTCAAAATAATTACAGATTCCTCTCATTTCTACTTAACGAACTCTAAAGACTACAGACTAAATTTTATCTTAAAGAAGTCCCATTACTGGTACTACAAAAACTACTAAGCATTCAATTGAAACAAAACGGAGCATGTCTCCTGAAGAATTAAAAACTTTCAGAAAAAGTAATAAGACATAAAAAAATTAGAAAGACACCAATAATCCAAAACAAAAATCTTTTTTATCCACTGAAAAATAATATCCTATCAAGAAATTGTTTATACATTAATATATGAAGGAGAAAAAAAAATCAAATCAGTTAAAAGATTAACTTATGTTATAGAAAGTTTAAAATGATAAATAAAAAAAGTATTTTTCAGAAATTTATATTTATTAGATTATTCAATCTATAAAAATTATAATTAGAAACTAAAAAGATATTTCAAAATGTGAAAAAAACAAAACAAAGAACTTCTAAGAAAACTAAGTTGAAAAATTAAAAAGTTAATGAGATCATTAAAAGATTTGAAGAATTATCTAAAAGGTATGAAAAAATGCAACTTGATTAGATAATCAAATTCTAATAAGAAGTAGCTAAACATTAATAATCATATTAAACATAAATTGATAATAAATCCTAAATTAATATTAATTAAGAAGAATAATAAGAAGTTTTTAATTAGGATTATTTTAATCAAGCAGCATTATTAATTTAAATTCATTGGAGAGAATATAAAAAGCACAAGGAAAATAAGAAATAGAAGAATTAAAAAACATCATTATCTAGACTCTAATAAATAAGTATGGATTTGGAATAATAATAATTGGTCTCCTAATAAACATCTCCTAGTAATTTTGAGGATGGTTTTTTATTTTGTTAAGGAGGAGAAAAATAAGTTCATATTTCAAATATTAAAAGTTCAATTATATCTGAAGAATCCTCCCATATTGTTAATCAATTAAATTAAGAATTTGAAAATTGGAATCTATTTACTTAAAGAATAGTTAAGGATAAAGATATTACAAACATAAACAAATAAATGTAATAGTAAATTATAACTATTGTTTAAACTCATTTAAAATAGTCTGAAAATATTTCGGAAAGAAGAAGTGAAAATGAAATACTATAGGAAAAAAGCATAAATAAACATCAAAAACAATTAAGTGAAGATTTCTCTAAAAATAATGTGCTTATGTTATAAAGGAAATCTTAATTGGAAGAAAATTTGGTCTTGAATTATAGAGAAGAAGCTTTATATCTAAGATATGATATGGAATAAAAAAATGCTTCAGAAAGAGATCATCAATTACTTGAAGATTGGTTGAATAAGGAATTAGAAGATTTATAAAACACTAGAAAAGCTTTTGAGATAGGCCACAAGAGAGAAATATCAACTTTAAAAAAAATTTAAAGAGATATACTGATTGCATCTGCAGAACTATAATGTGATCCATAAGATACTTTTTAAATTTAATAAATATAATAATAAATAGATGAATAATTTAATGGTTTAAAAGTTACTAAACATAATGAGAAATCCTAATAGGAAATATAAGAGACAATAGATTTAGTAACTACTGAAATTTTAAATGAAATGATGATGGAACTCACTGATGAAGTGTTAAGTAAAAGGGATGATCTTTATTTAATAATTTCAAATTTGATAATAAATTAGGATGAATCACCTTGTGTTCCTACTTCTATGGTTTATATTGAATAATATATAGACAACTTATTTTAATATATATTAGAAACTCATAAATAATCACTAATATAAAATTTGAATGCTCCATTTGGATTTACTCCTAAGTAAAGGTTGAGATTGATTCATGGAAATGAAGATGATGATATTGATAATAATAAAGAATTCTAAGAGTAAATTGCTTTTCCAATAGATGAGACTATTTTTATTGAATATGAAAATTAGAGAATGCCAGCAGATGAAAATGATGATGATATTGGTTGTGCTATTTTAGAGTTGCAACATATTCATAATAAAGCAATATTTGATGCATGTAATGAAGTTTTGAATCGTTTTAGACCTTATTATTATAGTAAATATTTAAATTTATATTAAGATTCTGGTATAAAATATCCATGGGAATAAAAAAGAATTATTTTATAATCAATTTCAAATGAAAAATTAGCTTTAATATTGGAAGAAGTCAAATAAATAGTATCAAAATAAAGTAAGGTTTTGTGTGGATTTTTTCCAGCTGAAGATTATGAAATAGTTAAATAAGAGAAATAAGAAATAATTGAAGAGAAAAACATATTAATGCTAATGTAACAATTAAATTTAGTTGAAAACCCTTTATTAGTGGATACAAATATTTAATTTGATAATTTAGCATTAATAAGAGATGAATAATTATATAAATTACTTGTTGAGGATGTAAATAAATTAGAATATGTAATAGATTAAAGAATAGGAACATAAATGGGTTTTGATTGAAGATGATAAAGCTGAATACTTAATGGAATTGAGCGATCAAATTTTAGAGACTCTTATAGAAGAATTCTCAAGAGAAATATGATTATGCTTTATATTTGATATTTAATGTATAATCAGGGATTATTGAATAGTTAGATATATTATTGTAAATTTACTTAAATCTATTATAAGATTTGGTTTAATTAAATTAGATAAATAAGGGTATTTTAATAAAAAAGTATTGGATTATCAATTAAAGAATATTCTAAAAATGTGTTTTTTTAATCAGCTTAATAATTTTGAGAATTAAAAGTAATATGAAATAGATGAGTATAAACAATATGAGAATTAATATGTTTAATATTTGATAATAAAAAATAAAAATAATTAGAATTTGTATGATGTTGACAGAAAGCATGTAAATAAATTCTGGACATTAAAGTATGATCCATGATATAAAATATGATTATTATGGTGATAAATTAGCAAGTTGTGGAAGTGATGGATATATAAATGTGTATGACGTGTCAAAAAAATAATAAGTTGGTTAAATAAAGATGTAAGAAATGAATACAATATAATAGACGAGATTCACCATTGTTTTCATTATGTTGGTCACATCCTAGATTTGGAAATGTATTAGCAACATCATCATATGATGGAGAGATATCAATATATAAAGAATAAAAGGAATGGATAAAAGTAGCTAGTTTTTAGAATGAAGTGAGTGTTAATTGTGTTTAATTTATGCCAAGAGAATTATTATTAGCATGTGGTACATCAGATGGATTTGTAATTTTATTGGATAATAATAAAAATTGGGATGTTGATCATAAATGGTAAGCACATGAATCAACAATACATGGATTATGTTGGAATTAAGATGGTTCATTATTAGCTACTTGTAGTGCTGATAAATTAATAAAGGTTTGGGAATTCACAAATAATAATAAACCTTAATTGAAATATACAATTCAATCACATCTCGATGTAGTAAAAGATGTTTAATTCCATCCTTTAGAAAATAATATTCTTGTATCAGGAGGAGATGTAAAAATATATATTGATTATTTAATATAGGATGGAAGACTTAGAACACATAGAATTGATGATGATAATATAGTAGAAATCCAAGTAATTGATTTTCATATCAGTATTTGGAGAATAGCATTTAATATGTTAGGAAATTTATTAACTATAAATGGAGAAAATAATGGTTAAAGTTAAATATAAACATTAAAATAAGAAAATAATTTTTAATATAGCAAAATTGATTGCGATTGAATAATGTATAGATGAAAATGAAATTATATCAACTTGTTAAATTTACATTTATATTTGCTTCTTTAGCTAATCTTAATATTGCTGCCATTCTAACAGCTTTCTTTGCTGCTTCATCTAAATCTTCAGTAAACATCATATTGAATCCTGATTCATCAATCAATTTCTTAGCTTCTTCAACTTTTGTTCCTTTCATTCTTAACACCATTGGTTTCTTCATTCCCAATACTGCTAATCCTTTTAATAGACCCAATACTATTTAATCACATCTTTTTAATAATTATAATAAATATACCTTGCAATACCAGCAAAAATATTAACAAGAATAGCTTCTACATTTGGATCTTTATCCATAATTTTAAGTGCTGATACAATTTCTTAATCTGTAGCTTTACCACCAACATCTAAGAAATTAGCAGGAGATCCATCATATTATTTAATTAAATCCATTGTAGCCATAGCTAATCCTGCTCCATTAACCATACAACCAATATTCCCATCCAATGCTATATAATTTAATCCATGTTTTTATGCTTCTACTTCCTTCCAATCTTTTTATCTTACATCCTCCATATGAAATATAGCATGTTATCTAAATTAAGAGTTATCATCAACATTAAGTTTTTGATCACAAATAATCAAATTTCCTTATAAATCAATTCCTAATGGATTTATTTCTAACAAAGTTGCATCAGTTTATAAAAAGATATCAAACATTTTTTTTAATATCTATTATCATTAAATATATAATTACATCTGTCATCTAAATTTATTGGATTGGATTCAATTTATATACTTTTGAAACCTTTTCATAAATGGTGAAATCAATGTCTTCCACATTATTTGGCATTTCAATAGAGAATTTCTTAATATAATTAGGATCACTTTCTTCAATATGTATACCTCCCTTTTCAGATGCTACAATCCCTAATCCACCTGTATTTCTATCCAAAAGGATTGACAAATACAATTCTTTTCTTAAGAAATTTCTTTCTACCACATAAACCATTTCACACTTCTTACCCAAACTTCCAGTTTGTTTTGTAATAAGTGTATTACCCAACATTTTACTAGCATATTCTTTTACGTCTTCTGGTGTTGACGCTATGTGTATTCCCTATATAAATTATTCACTGATACACTATTAAATCCATTTTCCTTAAAATATCCTTTTCCTCTCCCACCAGTATGACATTAAGCTTTAACAACCACATCTGTAAATGAATTTCTATCTGATCCTTCTTAAATAATCTTCATAGCTGACTTGTATGCCTCATCTGGAGTCTTACAAATTCTTCCTGGAGGAATAGGAAGTTAAAAAGACTTAAAAAATTCAGCTGTTTGATACTCATGTAGAGATAAGAAATATTTAGGTATACGATGAAATCTAAACATTTAAGATATTGATTTATATTATATAATTTCATTACCATAATCTGTTTCTCATATTTTCCAATTATTCTATATCTTTATTATTATTATCTAATTTTTACAAAATGTTATCAAATTAAGAAAGAGATCCTCCTCCAAATCCTGAATCATTTACACTATTCTCAAAATTTCTGACCTCTAAAAATTATCTCACATGAGCATTTTCACCTATAGTAGGCACTTTTATTAAATCCAGTAAATATTATTAAAGATTTACACATCTGACATTTGGATTTATTTACTATAATGCTGCTGTAGTCTTATAAGGTAATTAAGGTAATAAAGGATATCTATGATTTTATATTCATATACCTTTATTTTAATATACTATGTAATTCATCAAATTAACTAAATCTTTTCCAAATTGTGTGTTTTAAATCTCCAGTTCCTATAACAAAAGAATATCTTATAAATTTATCACCATCTTTTCCTACTGCTTCTTCAAATCCAGTATTTTTTATCTATAATTTTCTTATCAATTCACTTTCCTTAATTACTTTTGTTTATAGATTTTTAACTTGTTCTTCTAAAAATTGAGACATTCCTATAAATTTGAATAGAGTTGAAACATGATAACATCGATCATTCAATAGTACTCTCATGAAAATCTCTAAATCTTATTTTCTCTCCTCTATTTCTTCATTAGACATTTTAATTAATGATTTTTGAGGAAAAGGAGGGAAGCTTTTGATTTCTGTAATATTTTTCATTACTTCACTAAATTCATAGAATTCCTTAAATCTTCTTTATACCATAAGAGTTTCATCTTCAAATTATGTTATCATTGTATATTGTACATAAGTTTCAGTAAGATTTTTTATGGTTTAATATTCTGTGATTCTAGCATCCAAATAAGGTAGATATTATGATTAGATATCCCATTTACATTTCTTATTTATTTAATTCTTCCTAACTATCATTGATGATTTATGTAGATTTTAAGTATGATTAGCTATTTTCATTTCTTCAATCAATAATTTCTCTTAATTTTGTAATTAAATGAATTCAACAAAAGACAACGTAATCAATTCAAGCTTACTTATAATAAAATTAAAGTATCTCTAAATAGAACTAATTAAAGCTAAATCTTGACTCTCTTACATCTATTTTATTAAGAAATTAATTTGTAGTAAATCATTTTAATGTTATTCAAAATAATCATTATTCTCGAATACGTATTAGGAATGATATTCAAAGATTTGAGAAATCTTTTTTTTTATTTTGAATTGCTTGTCTGTTCCTACAATAATACTTGGAAATAATAAGATTAGAAATATACATATCTAATTTGACTTCAATATCGTCATCAACAATATTCCATTATTTCTTCACATCTATTTTTAAGAAAGTGGAATTTGATGAATCTAATGAGTATTTAATAAATACTATTAACAGTAGATACTCTTGGTCTTTGAGATTCTGATAAATCAATCATTGGTAATTCACTTTTCCAAAAGCCCAAGTTCTCGAATTCTGGAAGATCCTATCTTCTTATACAGATTGTAAAGATAAGAAGAACGATGTAATCACAAATTCGAAATAAAAGTAATACATATTCATATAGATTCCCATTCTAAAATACGGAATGAAAATGTACATAAAATGCAAGTAATCCAAGAGTGATACTTAAAAATAACCAATTTAAGAACCAATAGATTTTATGAGCAAAGAACATGGGTACTTATTTCTTATATTCATAAGTCTAAATCTGTATAGAATCTTACCATTAAAATGATTTGCATGATAATTGCTGAAATGTTAACAAAGAGTACGCCAGAAAAGTAATAATATTAATGGTCATGTAAAGTTAACATTAGAATAAATTCAATAAATTCAGCAGCTCTGAGTAGATAATAAATTTACTAATATCTAGAGTTAACAATGTAATCCGCAAAATGATTGAATAATTAAAGGGAAGGGGTTCAGTTTAGAAATTGGAGCGTAAATCATAGAATCGTACTGCCATTCCTATAATATATAGAACACTTATTGTAGCAGGAAGCAAATATGTAAATACAATTAAAGCATCCTAAATTGGCATTTAATATTAAATATTTCTTTTGCAATTATTTAAAAATTAAATTATCTAATTTATGTTATCCACAGCTGCAGGTTTCCAATCTATGCTTAAAGAAGTATAATAAATAGTATTAAAATATCAGGGTGCTCGTCATTATCAAGGATTAGAAGAAGCAATTCTTAAGAATATATAAGCATGCAAAGAGATCTCTAATATGACTAAGACTTCATTAGGTCCAAATGGAATGAAAAAAATGGTTGTTAATCATATTGATAAAATATTTGTAACAAGTGATGCAGCAACAATTCTTAAAGAAATGGAAATCTAACATCCTGCCGCCAAGATGATTCTTATGGCTGCCAAAATGTAAGAAACTGAATAAGGAGATGCTACAAATTTTGTAATTACTTTAGCTGGAGAACTATTGTAATAGGCTGAAAGCTTAATTAAACTAGGATTACATCCAAGGTATTTATTCATTATCATTCATATAGCTAAATTGTAGTTGGTTATGAAACAGCTTTGAAAAAAGCATTAGATTTATTAGATGAATAAAAAGTATGGGAAATTAATGATGTTGCTGATGAATAATAAGTCTATTAAGCTATAAGAACTTCTTTAAGTAGTAAATTATCAGAGTAAATAATTATAAAAATTATTTAGTTATTCGAATTTAATAGCAGGACTTGTAGCTAAAGCATGTATAAGATGTTTACCAAGAGAAAAATCAAATTTTGATTCTGAATATGTCAGAGTTACAAAAATTTTGGGTGGATCTGTTTTAGACAGTCATGTTTTATCTGGATTGATTGTGACTAGAAATGTAGAAGGATAAATTAATAGATTGGAAAATCCTAAGATTTGTGTATTTAATGCACCATTAGATCCATAATCATAAGAAACTAAAGGAACTGTTTTAATTAAAAATGCTTCAGAGTTAATGAATTATACAAAGAGTGAAGAAGAATTAGCTGAAAAAATAGTAAAAAGTATTGCAGATGCAGGTGTTAATCTTATTGTTGCCGGTGGAAGCATTTCAGAATTAGTATTACACTTCGTAGAAAAATATAAAATGATGATTGTTAAAGTTTAATCAAAATTTGAATTAAAAAGAATATGTAAAGCAATAGGAGCTAGTGCCTTATCAAGATTATCTGCTCCTATGCCAGATGAATTAGGAACATGTGATCGAGTTCATGTATAAGAAATTGGTAGTCAAAAAGTTACTATTTTTGAAAAGTAAAGTGATACTTGTAAATTGGCTACTATTGTTTTAAGAGGAGCTACTTAAAATTTATTAGATGATATTGAAAGAGCTATTGATGATGGAGTTAGTTGTTATCGATCATTGCTTAAAGATTCTAGATTTGTATATGGTGGAGGAGCAACAGAAATTGTAATATTCTTCTCTCTATCTTTTTTATTAGAAATTAGCTTAATAATTAGAATAAGAAGCAAATAAAATTAAATCTATTGATTAATATGCTTACCGACAATACGCCTAGGCTTTTGAAATTATTCCAAGAATTTTAATTGATAATGCTGGCCTTGCATAAAATGAAATGATGGCTCAATTACACAAATTAAATTCTGAAAAACCACATTCTTTAAATATTTCTGTATTTATTTTATATAATTTAGAATGGAACATTAACTCCATCAAATGAAATGAAGGTTTTTGATCATCTTAAAACTAAATGGTGGGCTGTTAAATTAGCTACAGATGCTGCAGTCACAATCTTAAGAGTTGATTAAGTAATATTTTTATTTATACTTTAGATTATTATTGCTAAACCAGCTGGAGGACCTAAAATGCCAGATAGAGGACATTGGGATGATTAAGATTGAGTCTGATCTAAATATTATTCACAGAATATATATTGTTAATCGTTTCCTTATTATTTGCTTAATCTTTATTAATTTATAAAGATTTATCTGTTCTCCTTGTACTAACAAATAATCATTAATTATTCATATTTTAATTAGATATATCATAAAAATTTTTTAATTCATCCATAGGTATTTAATATATTATAAAATCATTCATTAATTAAATTGATTTCCTCAACTAATATTGCAAAATCTTGTTAATTTTGTTGAACACTTTAATTTATGTATTTAATTTATTGATTTAACGAATTAATTTCTGTAAGTATTGTGTCATCTTTTTTTAATTCTTTTATTTTAAGATTCAATTCAACAATTTTATTTAAGTCTTCTTTCAATGTCATTTTTAATTGAACATTCTCTTCAAACAAAGTCTTATAATTTTTTAATTTCTATTTTATTTACATTTTGAAATCTTCTTAATTTGTTTCTATCTGATTTTTTAAATGATGTAATGTTTAGTACTCAGTTTTTAATATTTAATGATCGCATTGAATTTTAATTAATTGCTCACTTTATTATCTAAAATTCTACAATACTTTTTGAACAGCATAAACAATAGAATCACAATCTTATGGAACATTTAATAATAATGAAAGTTCTTTAATCATTTATTTAAATTTAATAGTGCTATCTAAATTTTCAGTTTATTGATATTATGAACATTTATTTGTTATTGAATAACCTGCATAAGTGAAATTACTATTATAACTTTCTCTTCCTCTTTATAAACTTATTCTACTATCTGATAAATTAGGCATACTTTAAGTTGGCAATTAAATATTTTTAACTTATTGTAAATCCTATAAATTAACCTTTTTAACTTCTTATCTAACTTTTGTTTGACAAGGTTAAGGGCTTCCCTATCTTTTTTATACAATAGGCTCAGTTCTTAAAGATTTTGTCCAAGAAATTTATGACTGCATTTAAACTGAATTTCTACTTGATTCAATTAAGTTTTGGCATTTCAAAAATATACTTACTTAATTACCTTATTCCAAATCAATTTTATAAATGCCTTCTTTTCCCATAATATCATTTAATTCTATTTTTGCTAATCCAATAACTTTAATGAATCCAGTTTCTTCATCTTGTATCTCTATAAATATTTAAAGCTAAGGATCGATTAATTTATTACAAATCTTCCTATATCAAATTAAGAAGTCCAAGATGGAGAATATTTAATAATTTTTTAAGTGGTTACTATTCTTAAAGGCTCTCTTTTATCAGCTATAATATTTTGAATCATATACCACATTAAAATGAGATTTACATTAGTTATGTCTGTACAAGAGATTTGAAATGAATTTAAGAAATGCTTAATTAATACATTTTAATAAAATATAATAATTAAAGGACTGCAAATTATTGAATACATCATAGTTCTTTTTAACACTCATTTTAGAGATTTTTATCTTTAAGAATTCAATTTCTAAATGTTTTGATTCTAATTAAAGTGTAAAATCAGTTTAATAAAGATGATTCAATAAACCAATTATAAATCATTACTTTCTATTTAAAAAGTAACTAAAAAGTAGTTAGAGCACTTCAATGTAAAATAGATTAATTTTACAAAATAAAAGAAAAAAAATGAATTTTAAAGTATTTCTCTATTTGATATATTAATGTGTGATTGATTAATTTGATTAATAAATATCTCTTTTTATAAATTTTCTAATGAGCACAAAAACCCATTAAAGAATTCTCACATTCATAAAAAAATATAAAGATGAGTAATTGCTTTATATTTATTATTAGATTGAGCTCTTCTACTGGAATTGATGAATTTGCAGATTTATTGAATGAATTCTTTGATTTATTCAATCAAGATTAATCAAGAAGAGAGAAAGTTAAATTAATGCTTGAAAATCTTGTTTTAGATGATGATAGCAAACTTGTAGAAGGAGGTATAAAAAATCAATTAAAAAAAAGATTTACAAAAATATGTGGAGAGATTAATTGATTTCGTTGAAGGACCAAGTGATGATCCATTAGAAAAAAACAATCTTAAACAACGTAGTTCATCTGGTAGTTCAGATGAGGAAGATAATAGAGGTCATAATAAATAATAAAATAAACATAAAAGAGATAGAAGCAGAGATAGAGAAAAAAATAAAAAATCAAAAAAAAATTAAAAAAATACAAACCTTATTTAAGAATTATAAAAAGCATTTGGAAAGGAAATAAATTTTAAGGAGTTACTTTCTTAAATTACAAATAATAATAATAGAAAATAATAGCATAATAATAATAATAAAAATATTGTATTCTTATAAAATGTCCCAAGAGAAATGAGATCTTATTCAGAAATAGAATCCTTACTTTCAGGAAGAGGAGAATTAACAAAAATTCAATTATTAGGAAGGTACTTTATATATTTAGTTTAGAGTACCTTCAGTTCAATTTAAAAATCCTAGTGATGCCTAAGCTTTAATTGATAAATTTATTGTTCATAAAGGAGTTAAAATAGAATTTACATAAAGTTTAAATAAAGTATATTTTTATATTATAAAGAAGCAATAAAATTAAGATGATCAAAAAAATAATAAGATTATTATATTAGACAAAGAAGGAAAAAAGGTATCTAATCAAACTAGTTAACCAGCAGCCCCTCTATAATAACCTTAATAATAACAATAATAACAATAAGTAACATAAAAATAAGATTCAAAAATGGAAGAGGAAACAGAATAAAAAAAAAGCAAAGAAGAATAAGAATTAAATACTCAAATTGAATAAATTAAAGGACAAGCAAAAACCTTAATTGTTGATAAATTAAGATTAGCCTTTTTATTAATTAAAAGAAAAGATAATTATCCTCCATAATTAAGTGTTGAAATAGATGAATTAAAAAAGTAAAGAATTTAAACAAATTTTTAGATTATTAACTTAAAAAAAGGATGAAATTTCCAAAATGAATTCTTTGGAATAACTTAAAGCAGAATTATAATGGTTAAACGAGAACTATGATTACACTTTATTAATTACTTAAATCCCAGAATAATTATTTAAGGACAAAACTGTAACAAAAGTGCTCAATGAAGAATTCTAAGTAATTATTCAAATTATTTCTAAGAAATATGGAAAAATTGATAATTTGCAAATCAAAATAAAAGACAAGGCTGCCCATCTTAAATTCTTCAGTTTTGATTCAGCAGAAAAAGTATTTAAAATTTTTTATAAATAGGCCTATTATTAAGCAAATGAAAATTCTAATCTAAAAGTTGAGTTTCTAAATTAAGGTATTAAAAAGGTATTAATTGCCTAAAGCTGAAATATTTTATAAAACATAATATTTAATGTAAATAAATAATTTATAATTAATCTATATACGTCTTCAGAATTGCTAAATATAACGATTAATTTGAAAAAATCATTTGATTATTCTAATTTCAAAAAAATTCAATTATATTGTTTAGAAAAATAAATATGCAACTAATTATAAACACTAGTTGTTAAAATTTTTTTCGTGTTTCAATTAATTGATGGAATATAGAAAGTGTGAACTGCTAAATTTTAATATTATAAATTAATCTATTTATATAAGTTATATTTAATTTAATCATCATTTTATGTTTCAATTTTAAGGTATTTAAGAATTCATCTATTTTTGATAATAACCAAAAAATATTTATTTATAAATAAATAGATATATTAAATTTTTAGTGATAAAATTATTGTAATCCTGTAAATTAAAATTAACTTAATTGTTAGTAAAAACTAGTTTTAAAAAATTAAAAATTATAATTGGATGTCGCTGTCCAAAATAAATATGGATTAATTTTAAAGATACGAATTAAATTTTAGACTGATTTCAAAGAAGGTAAATATAAGATTATGAAATTAAACTATTAAGACTAAAATTTCTTAATCATCAAATTTTTACTTAAAATCATTTTTTAATTCATCATTAAAGGAGGAAAAATTATTAATAGCATTCAATCTATCTATGAAAAGTGTTTGATAATAATTAAAATAAGAATCATATAAGAATTTAAATAAACAAAAATAATCCTCAGCCTAAGGGTCTATTCTTTTGATTAGATAAAAATATTAGTTTTAAATTTATTCGGCAAGACTATGAAAGTTAAGAAAATATTTTAAATAATAGATAAAGTATGGTTTTTCAAAAATTGAATAGAATTTAACATAAGAAAAAAAGATATTTTTATATTTATTTTTAATTTAATAATTAAAATCGATTAAGGTAATAAATGTCATAATATGACTTTCAAATATTTCGTTTTTAAATAAATATGATTATATCCAAAAGATAATCAAATAAGATGAAAAAAATCAGAAAAGACACACAAATTAAAATATGATTTAAATTTAATATTAGAAGTTTACTTTTTTTGTTGTTCTTTTTTTATTAAATTTATTTTTTAGCATTTTATAAATAAAATAACATTTATGATGAATCGATATTCCTTGTATTTTAAAGATATTCATTTAGAAGATTCTTATCAAAAATATTTGTTAGATATTAACAGAAAACCTCTCTTAAAGAGGTTAATAATTTCTACAACTATAGTTTAAATTGCAGATTTCTTATAAATTATTGCCTCATCCTAATATGAAGAACTTACTTGGAATTATGTCTTTGTGCATTATTTATTAGAGTTTATTTTGAATATGTTGCTAATCTTACTCATTATTTATTAACCTAAATATATTGGAAAAGGTTTGTTGCTATATAATCATTTTTTTGCTGCTGCTTTTGTATTCATTGAATATTAAAAAGCTATGTATTCAATAAACTATTCAAAGATAATTTAATTAGGCATTATAGGATCATAATTTATTATAATTTTGTCATCTGACTTTATTGAAGCAGCTTACTAAGCAAGTGTTTTTCCTTTAATATATATTTTTATTTGGTCTTATGGATAAGGCCAAACTTATTATGCTGGAATAGTTGCAGTAATTTTATCTGGACTGGTGTTATTATAAGGTTTGTATGATCATTAAGTTGCCTTTAGATCTTAATTTTAATTGGGTTTTATTGATAATTAATGGGAAAACATATTTACATAATTAATTAGCGAATAATATTTAATATTTTATTTTGATAATGCAACATTTAGTTTTTAATTATCTAAATCGAAAAATTATGTTTACAAAATTGATACAACAAAATAGCTTCAATCATATTTAAGAAAAATAAAAATAAATAAAAAGCAAAATTTTGAGTAATTTTGTTATGAATAGATGAGAAATCATACAAACTTTTATAAGGATGATCTAAAATAGAATTTAGCAATTTAATTTTAGGGTAAATCTTAAATCATTTAGTATTCAATATTTTATAGTGTTCGCCCAATTGTACTTTTATAAATCATCTCTAAAGACACACATTAGAATGAGAGTGAAATTGAAATAGATAGAAAAATAAATCTAGAATCAAAATATTAATTTAAATATAAAAAGTTCATTTATTTGTTATATCAACCTTTAAAAAAGAAGTGTAAGGATATATCTATTTCACTTAAACTTGTATCAAAAATTAGAAAAATATGTCTATATGCTAATTTATAAGAATACATCACACCTCATAGCATTTTATCAGTACATATATTTTAGCTAGAATATTTATTTTAAAAAATAAGATTTATTTATGAAGACTATGATATATAAATTGATAATAAAATCAATTTAATTACAAATAATAAGGAACTTTTATTAATGCTTTTTATTGAAATAATCGAAAAAACGATTTCTAAGCATTTGAAAATAGAAACATCATTCTTCGAAAATAGTTAAATTTTAATCAAGTTTATTTGTTATTATTCCTAAAAAAATCTTGAAGAGTTTTTGCATAAAATAAGCCTTTACTCAAATTTTATAAATAAAATAGAGTTTGAGAATCAATGTATAAAAAAAATTAATTTTAGTTATTGGAATTTATATTCATAATATTTCTTTATAAGTGGGAAATAAACTTTCATTATTAACATCAAATAAAAACGAATTATTTTAAAATCTATTAGATTCAAATCGTTGAAGAATTCTTGCTTTGATTTCATGATTTAATATTTTATCTATAAAAATAATTATATATCTTTACTTTTTATTCAAACTAATATTTTTGAAAATATCAGCGTCAAATTTACCATTTAATAGTAATGAATGTTAAGTTATTTAGATTGATTTCATTAAATACAATCCAAATAATTAAAAAGATTATAAACTTAATCTTTTTTGTTTTAAATAATTTTGATAAATCTAATAGATTTATGAAAATAATATATATAAATAAATATTTTCTAACTTCTCAAGTTGTTGTTCATAAATAATTTACAATTTAGATTATAAAATCAATAATAAATAAAATGAATGAAACATATCAAAATGTGGTTTCTTAATATTTTGAAAAATTGAAAAAAGTGCTTCCTTAAAAGCTCAATTATTTTAAAGAGACATTATCTAAATTCTAAGGATAAGATAAATCCTATTTTGGAGATCATATAATTGCTTTTAAATAAGGAATGCAGATCAAATAAAGTAAAATAAAGGAATTGACGTTAAATACTCTAATTGTAAATTATTATAACATTATAGAACTTAGTATCAAAAGGCTATATTGATGGCTGCTTATTAGACAATACAAATAACTTTTAATAATCAGAAACAATGGAAATAACAGACAGTAAAGGTAAAAAAAAAGAATAATCAATGAATGTGATTGAATCATTAATACATTTAGTACAATAATGCTTGGTGGAAAAGGATGAAATAATTTCATTAGCATTAAAATTGTTGATATCACTTGTAATGAATCCATTTTGTAATATGTAATAACATGAGCTAACAAAAATAATAAAAACTGTTGTGTATGTGTATGCACAATCAAAATCATAAAATATTGATAGATTATGCAAAAGCATTTTCTTATAAATTATTTTAATAACATTTTAAGGAAGCAATTGTGAAAGCATTGTTAAAATGACATTAGATAATATTATTAATAAAGTTTCTGATATAAAATATTGCTAATAATGTGGGAAATAAGGGAACTTTGAATGTAGATAAAATAAAGTAACAGTATGTTCTTATAGATGCAAAAAGTATATCTAAGAAACAATAGAATTATAATAAAAGAATTATGAAAATGTTTAGAGTGTATTAGATTTGTTAATTAGACTTTTATCACCAAAGCAATAATTTCAATAATTAAGAAATTAAATAATTTTACTAGAGGGAATATATTTCATATGTGATAATTACGATTATTGTGTTGAACCTTAGAGTATATATAATTTAAGTTCATATTTGTTGAAATTCTGTTTGGAGAATGAATATTAATTATACTCATTGAGTTTTAAAATATTTTAAAGATTAGCATTCAGTAAACATAAAGAAATGATTAACTAAATAAACATCTTTATAAACTAAATCTATATAAGTATTCTATAAAACAAAAATACATAAGACTAACATAAATAAACAACTTTAGAATCTTTGTGGAATATATTCTAAAGAAAGCATGCATCACTTGAGTTTTATTTAAATTATGATTGTAGTATAAAACATGAGTTTTTAATGGAAAATATCATAAATACTTTATACAGTATATTTTAATAAAATGAATAATTCAGACCTGTGATTACTTAAATATATCAATCGATTATTATAGGAATAGAGTAAACTTTTAATGAAAAAGCTATAAATAATTCTTAATAAGAGTAATAATAACAACCTGATATTGATGAAACTATTTTTATAAATCAATTAGAAATGTAAAGATAATAGAAATAAGAATTATAAAAAGGTGTTGAGTTATTTAAAAAGAATCCTGAGAAGGGAGTATCATTTTTAATTAAAGCTAATATTTTATAAGAAGATCCAGTTTAGATTGCTAAATTTTTATTAGAAAATAAAAGTTTACCTAAAGAATGTGTTGGACAATATTTAGGAGGTCATCATCCAATTAATATACAAGTTTTAAGTGAATACACAAATTTTATAACATTTCATAATTTGTCAGTTGAATAAGCTTTAAGATAATATTTAGATTTATTTACTTTACCACCTGAATCTTAATAGATTGATAGAGTTGTATAGAAATTTGCAGATAAATTTTATGAAGATAATTAAAATAATTAGAATTTTCACTTTAAATCTAGTAGTAGCATTTATACTTTTACTTATCTCTTAGTTATGTTATAAACGGATTTACATAATCCAAAAGTTGTTGAAAAAATGAAATTAACAGATTTTATTAAATTAGCTAGATAAATAAATGATGGTGAAGATTTACCATAAGAATATCTTACAGTTACTTATCATTCAATTTAAAAAAATCCACTTGCAGTTAGAGAATCTAGTACACCTATGAATTAATTAACACCAAACTTATATTAAAAGTAAATGGAAGAACTTTTAAAAAAAATAAAAGAATTAATAAAAAGATAATCTGATTCTAATTACATTCAAATTGATTCAGAAACGATTTTGTTATCAAAAGGTCTTATTGAATCATTTTCAGGTAAATTTTTAGAAATTCTTTTAACTACTTTTGAATCCTCTCTTAATGGAGATAGTTTAATAAAAAGTATTCTTTAATTAATTAAGTTATCTTCAAAATTATCTATGAAAATAGAAAACTTAGTTTAAGATGTCTTAAAAGTTGGTTTAAATAGTTTAAAAAAAGGAAATAGTATGTTAATGATTGGTTTATTATCTATAATTCCAAATATTGGTAATTCCTTACATGAATAAGGATGGAAATCAGTTTTAGAAGCTATTAGTTTAATGGATGAATTAAGATTATTAGATTAAGATCACACAGAAAAAGTTTTTATGTGTTCAAAAGATTTAGATAATTAATCAATTGAAGAATTTATAATTTAACTTTGTTAATTATCTAAATCAGAAATTTATTAAAAACATCGTTTATATTCTTTATAAAAACTTGTTGAAGTTAGTGATTATAATATGGAGAGAGTAAAAGTTATATGGAATAGATTATGGTCTATTGTAAGTAATCATATATAAGAAGCAGTCTCATTTAGAGTTAAAAAAATTACTATTTTTGCTGTTGATTCATTAAAATAATTAAATATTAAATTTTTATAAAAAGAAGAATTGTATAATATACAATTTTAAAGAGAAGTTTTAAAACCATTTGAATTGATTTTTGTTAATAGTGATGTTGATGAAAAAGAATTTGTATTGTTATGTGTAAAATAAATACTTTAAAATAGTAAAAAACACATTAAAAGTGGTTATAAGGTAATATTTAATTTAATTAATGTTGGATTAAAAGAAGAAAATGATAAAATATCAAAATTAGCTTTTGATCTATTGAAATTTATTGAAATTTAAGAATTGATATTAATAGACTTAATTTAAACTTATTAAATTTTAGGTAAAAAAGATAATGAAAATATGGCAATAAATTCAATAGATTTTGTTAAACAATGTTAACGATTTATGATAACTTAAGAGTAATAAACATTGCAAGTACCATTATTAGGAATTTTATCAAATTTAGCTGGAGATAAAAGAATTTAAATATAAACTTAAGCTGTTGAAACATTATTTTATATTTTAGAAGAGAAAGGAAGTTTATTTAATGAGGAATATTGGATAATGATATTCTCTTCTGTATTAAGACCAATATTTGATGAAATATAATTTACTTTAAGTACAAATCCAGAACTCAACTAATACTGGTTTAAAGATAGTTGTTAAAAGGTGTTTTAAAATATATCAAGTTTAATTAAAAAACATTATCATAAATTAAAAGGATAATTACCAGATTTCTTAAAACTATTTTAGAATTGTATTTAAAATTAGAATGAAAAATTAGCATAATTAAGTATATAAGCATTTAAAACAATGATAATGGATAAAGGATTATAATTTGAATAAAAAGATTGGGAATAAATATTATTATTTATCTAATAGATGCTAAAATCAACAATACCCACTAAATTAAAAGATATTGATTAATCTGGAGTTAGATAAGAACAATAGTATACTGGTAAATTATAACGATAAAAATCGATATCGAGCATCACTAACAATATTATAAATGAATGTTATAGTCAGTGTGCATCTTAATTATTACTAATTTAAATTAGTAAAGATATATGTGAACTTTATCATTAGAATTGGAGTCTGAATTAATTGAGCAACTTAGAGATAACGTTTTATGAATCTTATTAATTTGCAAAATTGTTTAATTAATAAATAGAACTAAGATATAATATATGGAAGTCTGGATTCATGTAAGATATGAATGTATTACCTGGTTTACTTAGATAAGAAAGAGAAGCATTTTCTTGTATGATAATGATCATATAATTAAAAATGAAGATGTTAAAATAAGAATAATAAAAAGAATAATAATTGAAGGCTTAATATATATAAGAGTAATAATTGAATTAAGAATAATTAAATTAGTAATTAACAAAAGAATAATAACTGAAAGAACAATATGAAATAGTTTTAAATAAATACTTACAAATCTTGTTAGATTCAATTAAATAATTTAACTCAAAACATATCTAATATATTAATGAATAATAAGAAACTGAGGAAGATCCTCTTATTAAGATAAAATAATATGAAACTGAAAGAGATATGTAAAATCTCAGAACTCTTTTAGATGTTTCAATTTTACCAAAGATTTTATTATTAAGTGATGAAGAGGTAGTTTTAATTATTAATTTAGATGAAACTTAAATTAAGTGAATTTTACGAATTATTATTGAATGCATGTAGTTTTGTAAGTGAACACAGTGTATTATAAATGAGTTGTTAAGATTGTAAAAAATGTGTTAGATGTTTGAATTAATAGAAAAATAATTTATTTTTTCAAATTAAGAAATGCTTACTAAAATTGTTTGAGTTAAAATGATTATATATTATTATAAAAATGGAATAAATATTTATTTCTGGTATTGCAGGAGGATCAGCTGGGATTATAACAGATTTTATTTTTTTTCCTATTGAAACAATAAAGACAAGAATCTAAGCATCAAATAATAAAATTGATTATTTCAAAACGGCAGCCAAAGTAAATAAATACAAAGGAGTATAGCCATCTTATGTATTATTTGAAGCTTTTATCCTAAATTGCAGTCTCCTTTCCATCAGCGTTTATATTTTTTTCGACATATGATACATCTAAAAAATATGGTTGTTCACATATGTTAGCAGGTGCATTAGGTGAATTTGTAACAAATATAATCAGAAATCCTTTTGAAGTTGTTAAGAATTAAATGTAAGTAGGATTGGATGGAAATGTTAGAGATACTTTAAGATCAATATATTATGGTTAAGGATTGAGAGGTTTTTATGCAGGTTTTACAACAATAATAATGAGAGAAATACCATTTAGTGCAATTCAATTTCCAATATATGAAAATATGAAATTTCACTTTGGTAATGATGGATTTGTAGATCATGCATTAAATGGTGCTGTAGCTGGAGGAACAGCTGCTTTTTTAACTACACCATGTGATGTTGTTAAATCTAAATTGATGACTCAAAGAAATTAATTTTATGATTCTCTTAGAGGTTGTATTAAGTCTATATATGAGACTGAAGGAATTCTAGGATTCTTTAGAGCTGCACATATACGTACCATGTAAATCTCAGTATCTGGAATTGTATTTTTTAGTGCATATGAAAGATGTAAATTTTATATTTCATCATACAATAATAGATCATGATTATAGCTTTTTATTGAGATATTCTAATAGTGATTAAGAATTTAGGACATTCTCTAATCTATCTATAACAGATATATGTTTCCCATGTAATATTCTATAAGTCTTCGTCTCTTCTAATGTAAGTTTCTCTTTTATTACATAAAATCCACCATTCTATAAAATCTGTGGTAAATAGTATTCACTACTCATCTTGTTCTATAGAGTATATTTTCTAGAATGTTTTCCTTTAACCTAAATTTCTAATTTATCCCATGTTTCTTTTGATATTGATAAAAACATTCCTTGTTCAGTATTTGTATGCACATCATAAATCTATACTCTAATGCCTATAGGTTTATCTTGTATGCCCAAATAAGACATTGTAAATGGTATCTTATACATACTATTTTAATTTGCTAATTTTATTATTTATCTTACTCAAAAACATTCTACTATTGCATTCACATGATAATTCAACTGCTAAAATTGCATTCTCTTTAAATCTTTCTTAATCATCTGATTCTAATTCTTTTGTAAATGTCAATAATGTATAACAATTACATAGTATATTACAAATTAATAGAAAATCTCCTTAATCAAGATTACTAACATTTAATCCTAATTTCTAACATACATTATCATATTGAATTTATGTATGTCCCATTGCTTTGACTTTTGATTATCTTGGACCTAGTTTTAATTCTATTCTTACCATATGTCTCAAATGTATTGCTTAAAAACAATTCAAAACATTGTTCTCTTGAATTATCAGCTATAAATATTATTCTCTAAAATATATTCTTATCCCATATCTTTATTAAACACATCAAAACCTTTGCTTAACTTTTATTAGGCATTGTTATTTGACTACCACTCAATATTTTATTTATTTATTGGAATTTTTATACATTAAATATTCTATACAATAACTCTTCTAAATCCTTTATTAATTTTTATAAGAATTATGTCAATTTTTATTAATTTTTAACAATATAACTTCTAATATTGTAAACCTTATGCTTAGGTTTTACAGTATCATTTGATTTTTCTAAATTATCTTAAATTCTAATCATTTCTTAAACTTCTTCTCTTTCATAATCATCTTAACCATAGATATCAAATAATTAATCTAATGAACTTTAATCAAACTATAAATCCAAAACAATTGTATTTAATATCACTCTAAATATTCCATCCTCCAAGGGATACAATAATGGAATGCAATATTCATCACACAATTAAATCTTTTCACAATCATTTAACAAACTTTATGGCTATGCATAGATCGATATCTTTTATTCACCTTCATCTTCCTTAATTGAAATGAATGGAATTATTAGGTATTAAATAAATTACTTAAAACTTGTAATACATTTCAATTACTAAGTATAAGGCAATACATTTTTATAATCTATGAATTATATTAAGTCTTTTATAATCGACATCTCAACATATTCAATTTTTGCAGTTGAATGCTCTTATTTTGTATTTAATGATATCTTAATTGATAATTCTTTATTCTTCTATACAACTCCACAAGATATCTCATATAATACATTATCAATTAATGCTTTTTTTACTATTGTCTAATCTGTGGTTAAATTTATACTATATTATTTAGATTGATCAATCTCTAAATTTATGTTAAAAAATATTACAATCTAATATTGTTAAATTTAAATCTATCGTAAAATCTGTATCATTTATCATTGATATACTGTTTATTTTTGGTTCATCCGTGTCTACTAATCCATTAATTAAGTTATGGATATCAATAGTACTTTATCTTTCTTACTTTTTAATTTATAAATTCTGAATCTTTTAAGATTGATTTGAAGCAATTCCAAAGCTCATTCTTTCTTACATTATTGCAGGTTAAGAATCAGAACTTTATTACTATTAAGTCGAAATTTAAGAATTTTGTAAATATTAAGATTATTTTTACTATTATTATTATTATTTTTGCTATTATTGCTATTATTATTATTATTATTATTATTATTATTATTATTATTATTATTATTATTATTGTTATTATTATTGTTATTATTATTGTAATTATTATTATTATTATAATTATTATTGTTATTATTATTATTATTATTATTATTATTATTATAATTTCATCTTTTCTTAAGCTGCCTCCTATTCTTATAATCTGAATTTAATTTTTGATGCTTCAGAATTTAACTAATTTATTTTATCTTTTAATTCTTCTATTTCAATTTCTCTTTCTTTTCTTTAATTTTAAACTCTTTTATTTTCTTTTGTTAGTTCATCAATTTTTTTTTCTAATTCAATAATTTTAGGTTCTGGTTTCTTTTAACTTTAAGATTTCATAAATGTATCTATTTTTCTTTATATAATTAATTCAAGATCACTTTAAGGTTACACTTATTGGCTTTAGATCAACTAATAAAATAACTATTAAGATACTTTTGGAGATTGAATTCTAAAACTTCCTTTATTAACATTTGTCTATTAAGTTTTTTGTAACTAATTTTGTTCATGTCTTTATGATTAAGGTTTAACAGAATCAGGTCGTTTAAAAGTCTTAAATCCTTAAGCTTCACTGATTGATCTTTCAATGTGTCTTGCATTTTTTAAAAGTGGTGCTTTACCAATCTTCAGTGTCTTAATTAATTGATGAACTTAAAAACATATTTTTTATTAATTCAATATTTTGCCTAATGGTTTTTTCTAAAATTATCGTTTTTTTTAATAAATACTAGTGGAATATAATTGTTTATGCTTTTTTTCATATTAGATCCTCTTTCACTAAATAAAAATAACTTTGTAATTTGATGTGAAGGCCCCAAATACTTTCGACCAAGTTTGGCTCCATTTATAAAAAATTATTAAAAATCTAAATCTTAACAAAATCCAAGAACCTATAAATTTTGAACACTTTTTGCATAGAAAATATAACCATTAAGAAGAAGAACAATATCTTTAGGTTTACATGAATTTTTTATTTCTTTGAAAATCTGATCTAATTAAATAGTAAAGCCTTACATATGGTTCATAATTAATTAATGCCTTTTCTGTAATAGTAAGACATTTTTTGAAATCTTACAAAAAATAATAAATTCGGGCTAGGTTTAAATGTGAGATAATATGTAGTTATGGGATATCTTATTCAAAGTATTTCAAGTTAAATTTTGCTACTTTTTTAGCCAAGTCTATTAAATGAGCTTAGAAGAGCAACACAGTTAAATTATTTAATGATTGAACTTAGTAAAAAAGAGGAACATCTTAAGATAATGAAATAGTTAAGATAATTAGATCAGGACTTTCTGGATATTCTTCAAACATTTAAGCAAATATTTAGAACAGTTCGTATAAGTTTAAAGGGTCTTTATTCAAATTTTTGATGAAATCAATGGGTATTGTCTTAACTTTAGCGAAATTCTGGAGTATATCAATGTAATTATTATTCATATTAATAAAAATATGTAATATAATCCTTTGTAGTTATTATTGAGCTTATTAGCTGCAAGAGAAGAAGTTATATTTATGATCAGAATAGTAGGTCATTAAATGCATGAAGATTGTAGAAATAAATTAGGAACATTAAGAGAAATATAAGAAGAAATTATTAGAGGAGAATAAAAAAGAGAAAATTTAGAAAATCATTTGTTTTTAGATTTAAGTGAAAGTTATAGAAAGCTTTTTCTTCCTAAAATAATTTAGAAATATATTAAAATAACTTAATTTTATTTAGTTAAGACTCAGGTAAGCTATTTTGAATTAACAAATAGATTTACTTTCCAAATTAAGGATAAGTGGTTTGCTCTGAAGTTATTAATTAACCAAATATAAGAAATTCCATATAACATATTCTACATGAATCTCTTGTAAATATATTGAAATTTATTTGTTCTCTTCAAAAACAAAAATTAAAACAGGAACTTGCATAAATGTTCAATTATGAATAGTATAAACCTATTTAAAATCAAGAGAGGACCGTTGTAATAGAAATGAAAAGTTCTTTTGTGAACCACTTGTCTTGGGAGTAATTGGATTACGTTATTTGAATGAATTACATAAAAAATACTGTTATTCTGTATGCAAACATAGTAATCGAAATGTTTATGAAGTTCTTGCTATAGATGATAATTCTAAACAATTATATCTTTAAGGAGGAGGTTAATATTCTCTATATTAATTAGGATTTTCCAGTTTTATTAGGAGTATTACTAAATTAAAGGATAAATCTGCTGATAACACTTAATCTGTATATATACCAATTGAAAGCACCCTTGAAATAATAACATAAAGATATGAAAAACTACTTAAAGAAATTATGGATTAAAATTTTCATGTTCAAAAATCAGTTAATAGGTATTATGAATAATACAAAAAATTTAAAATGAAGCCTTTATTAATAAAAGGTTATGCTACTCCTATAAAAAATGGTCCAGATTTTAAGTCTTAAAGAATATAAAAGAGATAAATTGAATCTGGTCCTGTCTTAAGTGATATGGGAAGATATTCTGAACCTATAACTAAAAATCCATTAACATCAGATTATCTAAACTCTGTAAGATCTAAATAGGCAAAATGTAGAACATCAAAATAAAGTGATATTATTCTTAGTGGATTCATATCACCAAAATAATAAACCATTGTCAGAAAGAATAGGAGTTTAAAAAATTATGATCCCAATTTATTGAAACCAACAATCTTATAAAATTATTATGATTCTAACTTTAGAATTAATTTTAGCATTAAAAAATAAACATGATTTTAATAATCAAAAATAAATAAAAATATCTCTATATAAATATTGCTTTTTTAATTTCATTATGAATCATTTTTTTAAATTGAATTCAAAAGATAAATAGCCTCATATTTTTTCCTTTCCCTTTATTTATATATAAATATCTTAGATTTCTAATTTAATAATGTCATTATTGTTTTATTGAATCATAAATTATAAAACCAGGACTATATATTTTATAAAATATTTTTAGAACTAATTTTTGAAATAAAACAATAAATTAAATTAAAGATAATATTTTCCATTTAAAATTGTGATTTTTTATTTCAAAATCTTATAAAAAATATTTTAACCTTTATAGTTTAAATCTAAATTTAAGTAGAATTCTTAATTTTTTAAGCAATCTTGAACTTTTTCTTTAATTTTAATTAATGCGTTTTAGAATTTTAAAAGGTACATATTCATTTTAAGAAAGAATAATTTATCTATAATGAATACCTTATTTAACTATTTTTTTTACTTATAATTAAATCTCAATATTTAAATTCATATATATTTTATTTTTAACTATAATTAAAAGAGTAATATTTAAAGCAATTATTATTTTTACAAACCTACAATCAATAAACCTCAAAAATAAAGGTACTTTGGCTATAAAAAAAGATAAGATTTTAATTGAAAGAAATTAGTGTAAGAAATAGATGTATTTACTTTATGATGTTAGATACACATAGCAGATTATCCATCCTTCATTATTAATCAATTTATTTGGTAATTTAGACATTTATCAATAGATTCTTTTACTAAAAATTTTCAAATTAAATATCTATTAAAACAATTATAATATTTCTAAATTTATTAACTTGATATTAAAGATGATTTATATTATTTATATAAATTTATTTTCCATAATTTTATTATTGAAATAACAAATGAAAAATTTTAAGAGACAAGATTCAATGATAATAATTTATAAAAAAAATTATCTTATATTTTTAGATAATGGTATTACAATTAGTTTTTTTTAGCAATAAGAACTTAAATGATTTCAAAATTATGTTTTAATTCATATCGCCATCAATGACAACATCGTTGATGATGAATTATATTAATTAAAAGTATTGATTGATATAAACTTTAATTCTAATTTGAGTATGAATAATATGGTTTTTTAGATATTCAAATGATTTTATACATTTCAAAGCAATCAGATATCATAGTATTAAATCATAAATAATTAATTGTCAAAAAAAAAAGAATGATTCAAACTCGCAAATCGTAAAGTCTCAAAAAATCAAAGACAAAGAATATTTATATGGAAAAGATGCAAATTAACTTCATACATTAAGAGAAGACATACTCTAAAGCGATACATCCTTCAAATTATTAATCTAAGCCTTTTTCTTTAAAAAATTTAGATTTAGCCTTACCTGATAAGTATTCATATAGATAAATTTACATAGGTCAATATCCTAGTCAAATAATTCATTTTAAGATGATAAAAGTTGCTGCTGTTTAGATTGTGGAAAGTTGAGTAAGAAAATTAGAAATTTATCAAAGAAATTCAAGGTGTTCTAGACTAAAATGTCAATTTTAGAAAAGTAAAGAATAATTAAGAGATTTTAAAATGCTGTCCATTGCATCATTTATCTGATATAGAAATGGAAAAAAATAAGATAATAAGAAAGATCTAAAAAACTTTTTAGGTTTAAGACTAAAATTTTTGAAAATTAACCTTTCATTTAATCTTAAACTTCATCAAATAAGGCATAAACCATATTTTTTAATTCTTAACTTCAGAGTGAAGAAAGATAAACAATAACCTCATAATTATAATCGATTTAAGTTAAAATTTTTGATTAAAAAAACAAATAAAGGTAATCAGTAAAGTTATATTTAAAACAAAAATTAAATAATAAAAGTGAGGATTAAGGATTGCTACCTAAAATAGATCATATTAAATAGAGTAATTTAGTTGCTACTTCAATATTAAGACCTTTAAAGATACTTAAGACTCTTGGAGATGAACCAAAATCGATTCAGAAACAATAAAATTTATCAACTTTAAAACCATCTATACCTCAATCTCCTTATCTAAGCCATTCAAATGTAATTAAATAACAAGATTAATAATTCTAAATGGTTAAATCGCCTCGATAATTTATAAAAAGTTTTGCTTCGGAGATAATCTCACCATAAAAAAGTTAGAAAAATGATTATTTTAAAATTAAGAAGAATAGAATGATTATAATTTGATAATAAATAAATAAAAAAAGGTTTTTGTTCTATTTTTTGTTAAATTATATTTTTATTCTTCAATTATTTAATTTGATGAATTTCTGAAGAGTATATAAGAGATATGCTTATAGTTTAAGAAAGTATTTAATTTAATTCTAAAGAGAGTAGTTATTTTTTGAAAAAAAAATTCCAATTAAATAAATATTAGTTAGAAAATTATAATAATTATTTGTTTTATTATTTCTAATTAAATAGACAGAAAATTTAAATAGAGAATTTAAAATTTATATAAGAATATTATTTATGAGGTCAAAATTGATCTAAATTGTGAGGACAAAATAGATGTAATAAAATAGATTAAATTTATATTGAGTATGTAGTATAATTAATACGTTATGATTAAAAAAGTTGAAAGTTTATGTAGAGATAGAAATAAGATTATATTAAATTTAGAGAGATGCTGATTTATATTTTNAGGTTTAAGACTAAAATTTTTGAAAATTAACCTTTCATTTAATCTTAAACTTCATCAAATAAGGCATAAACCATATTTTTTAATTCTTAACTTCAGAGTGAAGAAAGATAAACAATAACCTCATAATTATAATCGATTTAAGTTAAAATTTTTGATTAAAAAAACAAATAAAGGTAATCAGTAAAGTTATATTTAAAACAAAAATTAAATAATAAAAGTGAGGATTAAGGATTGCTACCTAAAATAGATCATATTAAATAGAGTAATTTAGTTGCTACTTCAATATTAAGACCTTTAAAGATACTTAAGACTCTTGGAGATGAACCAAAATCGATTCAGAAACAATAAAATTTATCAACTTTAAAACCATCTATACCTCAATCTCCTTATCTAAGCCATTCAAATGTAATTAAATAACAAGATTAATAATTCTAAATGGTTAAATCGCCTCGATAATTTATAAAAAGTTTTGCTTCGGAGATAATCTCACCATAAAAAAGTTAGAAAAATGATTATTTTAAAATTAAGAAGAATAGAATGATTATAATTTGATAATAAATAAATAAAAAAAGGTTTTTGTTCTATTTTTTGTTAAATTATATTTTTATTCTTCAATTATTTAATTTGATGAATTTCTGAAGAGTATATAAGAGATATGCTTATAGTTTAAGAAAGTATTTAATTTAATTCTAAAGAGAGTAGTTATTTTTTGAAAAAAAAATTCCAATTAAATAAATATTAGTTAGAAAATTATAATAATTATTTGTTTTATTATTTCTAATTAAATAGACAGAAAATTTAAATAGAGAATTTAAAATTTATATAAGAATATTATTTATGAGGTCAAAATTGATCTAAATTGTGAGGACAAAATAGATGTAATAAAATAGATTAAATTTATATTGAGTATGTAGTATAATTAATACGTTATGATTAAAAAAGTTGAAAGTTTATGTAGAGATAGAAATAAGATTATATTAAATTTAGAGAGATGCTGATTTATATTTTATAATTATTGAATGATTAATAAATTAATTAAAAATGCAGAGATCTTATTAAGAACAAGTGAATTAGAAGGATTACTAGCATAAATTATATTTCAAAAATGGTTATCCATAGAACTAATAATTTAAAAGAGATCCGAATTAAATGCTTAGAGGATTAGTACTAAATAAATATTATAATAAGGTTGTAAAAACATGTTTACTTCATGTAATAGATTGGTTGAAATAAGGATTTAATTTGTGGTTATTTGTTGTAATAATACTGTCAGCTAGTTTTAGAGCTGATCAATAGTTGTTTATTTGTATAATATAATTGGCAGGAAATCTATTTATGTCATCTTATAAGCTTTATTAATAGATTTGTAAAGCTTTGAGGCAAGTAAACGAATATTTCAATTAAACTGTATATGTGATAGGATGGGATCCTAAATGTCATATAAGTAAATGTCCAAAAAGAAATGTGACAGTAGGAAATTTAATATTTTTGAAGAGACATTAACCTAGTCCAATGAGCATATTAATTTTGAATTCATAAGAAGAGAAGTTTATGGTTTAGACATCAGAGAAGGAAGGAATGACACATATGACATAAAAATAATCAATAAAATTAACATCTACTTCAGATTAATAAAAAAATCAAACTCTAATTTATTATAAAAGAATAATGACAGGTAAGATAGAATTTGATTAGTTGGATACAAATGATAATTAGTTTAGAGGGTTTATAAAATTATAAAAGGATCCAAAGGGTGAATATTTGGATTATAGAAATATTGTAAATTAAAGTAGTATGATAATAAATACAGATTGGGTAGTGGGTATAGTAATTAGTCATGATGATGAAGATGTAATAAAAATGTGGCATAATTGTTTTAAGAAGTCTACAACTCATTTTGATAGATATTTAATGAAATTTTCTAGAATTTTTAGTCTTTTGTACTTTATTTAATTAGCATTTTGTATAACAATAATAATTAGATTTTAAACAAAGCCTGATAATTTCACTACATATAATATTTTATGTAGAATATTTTAGAGTATAACCTTTGTTCATCCTTGTATAATAACAGGATTATGTGAATTGACATTTTAATTTTTTAATAATATATTTGAGAAGAATAAAAACATAATAATATCTCATTCTTCTGAATTGTTAACATTGACTAAGATAGATCATTGTATTTATGATAAAACAGGAACTTTAACAAATACAAATACAGTATTATGTGGAGTAATTTGTGGTGTGTATTTTTATAACCTTATTAATGAAGAAGGTATAAGAAATTCAACTAAGAAATATAGAAAATTAATGACTACTTAACATTAACATATTAATAATATGTAAGAAATTTAAGAAGAAATAGAAGAAATGGAAGAAGTAGTTTTAGGAATAGGATCTATTTAAAAGAGTGAAAGAATGATATAAAATCCAGGAAGTCATCGTTCAGTTAAATTATAATCATTACATGATGAAAATATTAGTTTTAATGAAAAAGATGCAGTATTTAATGAAGAAGAACCTGAATCAAGAAACATGGTTTTTAATTTTAATCCACATTTTATTAGACAATAAGAATAAATAAGACATTAAAGTATTGATGAAGAAATTTCATCACCAGAGAAACCCATATATGGTAATAGAAATAATAGGAAAATAAATAAAAATTACAATAGTCGAGTAATAAATATCAATAAAAGAGAATCTGGAATTTAAGAAAGAAACTTAGAATAAACATAAGATTAAGGTAATGGATCTTTATTATCTCCATCTCCTGTTACTTCTTAGAAGGATATTAGGAAAGGTGTTAAATTATGTGAATCCTAAATTAATGAAGATGAATAATAACAATTATCTGAAAGTGATAGTGAAGATTAAGATTAAGAAGTAAGAAAAGATTTATTAGAAATCATTAAATTAGGAGTAAAATAAGCAGATAATTTTATGAGATCTTTAATTTTATGTTAAGATGTTAAAACTAAATATTCTAAACCTTAAAATAAACCAAATAGAGATAAAACTGCTTAAATGATGGGAATTTCTGGTCTTATGAATGAACATCCTAGTATGAATCCTCAAAATTTTTTAAATGAAAATACAGAAGAATATTAAGAATCTGTTATCAAATTTGCAAAATAATATTAATTTGAATTTAATTGTGCTGGTCTTTTAAATAAACGAATTTGCTATGAAATTAGTGCCAAAGGTCTTAGTGAAAGATATTTAGTATATAAAAAAGTTAGTGATAATGAAACATTTGCTATTTTTATGAAACCTATTTAATAAAGATCAAGAAATCAAGGTGGATAATATGATAGATAAGGAACTGAAAGAACTTAAAGAGGAGCTTAATTAAAATTATATGTTAAAAGTGAAAATTTAGGACTTTTAGATAAATGTAAATTATCATAAAAAAAAAGAGTTAATTTAGAAAAATAAATTACACATTAAGCTTAATCTGGTTATAGATTTATAGTTTATGCTGGTAAAGATGTTCCTGAAGAAGCTGTTAAAAATAAAAATAAATATTAAGAAGTAAGTTTTGATACAATGGAAATGACTCATCATGATAAAGAATTAATTAAAGATTTAGATTATTATGGATTAATTTGTTTAAAAGAAGATTAAAATCCAGGTGCTTATGCTTAAGTTAAAACTTTTAAAAATCTAGGTATTTCATAATGGATTTTAAGTGGAGATAAGAAAATGTAAACACTTTCAGCTGCTAATCATGTTGGCATTGTTAATAATAATAATACTTTATTAAGAATTGATGAAGAAGATGAAGAAAAGTTAAAATTATAAATTAAATCTCAATTACTATTTATAAGAAAATAATTATTAAAAGAAGATGAAAGTTAATAAAATGAATAAACTAAATCTTTTCTTAGTTAAAAATCATTCTCTGAAATGAAAAGAAGTGGAATTTCCAAAAAAGCTACCTTTGATGAAAATATGATATTGAAATCAAAAAAAGGAGAAGAACCTTTATAAAAAGTATTCTTATTAGTCAATGGCAAATCTATCAAACCAATTTTTAGTGATGATTACACAAAAAGTCATTTCCTTTTTATTGCTTTAATCTTAAAGACTGTAATTGCTTATGATTGTTCACCTGCTGATAAAGAACTAATTACATAAGCAGTAGCTAAAATTATGGAACCTAGTAACACTCTTTTAACTATTTCAGATTCTGTAGATGATTTTAATATGAATTCACATGCTAATGCTACTATTTAATTCTCAAAAGAAAAAAGATCTTTAAAAATAGCTTATCAAAATATTTAAGTTAATGATTTACAACACATTAAATAATTAGTATTATATTTTGCAAAGATCTTACCTATGCATCTTAGCTAATTGACTGTAATGTGTACAAAAATAAGTTTATATTAATTAATCATATTTACTTTATTTGTATGTGTTAGAAGAACACTTTATATTGAGGAACATGTCGTATATCTATTGGCACTTTAAATTCATATTATTATTAATGGTCTTCTACCTTCTTTTGAAGATAGATCAAGTTATGAATAAATTGAATTGATGTTACCTCAATATTAACCTTAGGCTTACAAATGTTTTAAATCTAATTTTAGATGGTTATAAGAATTATTTTATGAAGTTGTTATTTCAGCTGCAATAACTGGATTTATGAATACATATATATTTGCAGAATTTATGATGTTTTTTACATCTGATCCTAATAATTTGGCTCATTTGATGTTTTTATTTCAATTATTTTGTGTCTTTGCTTTTGGAACTTCTTAAATGATTCATTTAAATGTTGCATTTGGTAAAATCATATGGAATTTTATTATCACTCTTGGATTGCTCACAATTTCATTTGCAATTGTTGTTGAAAGTGATTAAAGATTATAAATTATTAGAAATATATTTAAATGGTAATTCATAATTGGTATAATTACTGGAGTAGTTATAATCATCACTATTGATTAAATTATAAAATAAACTAGAGATTTGATGTTTACTCCAAGAATAATAATTAACTTTCTTAAATTTATGGAAAATTCTATGAAGAATTAATCTGGAAAAATAGTTTAAGAATCAGTTAAATAATTTTCAATGTTGAATCACATTAAAATTAATAGATAATTTTTTAGAAAAATAAAAAAAGTATTTGAAAATGTATCTATTGATCCTTTTATCAGATCATTATTTGAAAGTGAGAAGACTTAATCATTTAATGATGAATATTCTAAACTATCTTTGGTTTTTAAAAATAATAATTACGAAAAGTAATTTAGATAATTTAAAGTTTAATATTATTATTAATAAAGAAGAGAAGTTGTTTTAGTATTATTTTTAGTTTTAAGAGTAAGTAATGTAATAGCATGGTCTCCATTTTTGACAGTAGAAGATACAATCCTAAATATTTTATGGGCTATAGTTATGGTGATGTGGATTTTAATTTTATTTGTTACAAAAATAGTTGAAAAGAAATAAGTAGATTTAGCAGCATTTTAAATAAAATGGGGTACAATTGAAGCATACTTCTTTATTCCAGTAGTTATAATTTTGGATCATTTTTTGAGTGTGACACTTCCTGAAGATAAAAGTTAATATTATTTTAGTACATTTGGATAGTTATTATATTAGTAATTTTTGGCATGGGATATCTTTCCTCCTCCTTTATATTACCCAATATTTTTAACTTTAATATTTTTTATAAATTACACAATAAGAGTAACAAACTTTTATAATATACAAGTGAATTCAAATTAGGAGACAGCAACATTTAGAGTTGAGTTTATAACATTATATGTTCTTTTATTCTTTTTGAACTTACTATCAAATTATACTCATTATAATGTAAGAAATGATATAATTTATTTAGTTTTAAAGATTTTAAAGATTAGTGTTTTTATTTGATTAAGCATTATAAACTTAATAGGAATAGACAAATTAGATTTTAAAGTCTCTGTTACCAGCATTTATATATGAAAAGATAGAATAATCAGAAGAGACTGAAATAGAAGAAAATTAAGGATCGGTATCAATAATATTTTTAGAAATATGTGAGTTTGATAAAATCTTATAATCTAAACAAAGATAGGTAGTAACATTTTTGGATGACATATTTAGAGTATTAGATAAGATATGTTTATAATATGGAGTATAGAAGATAGAGACAGTAGGTAAAACTTATATGGCATGTTCAGGATTGAAATCGACAGAAATAGAAAACAATAAGGATGGTTTGAATTAATAGAAAAAGAATGAGACAACTATAGCATTAGAATTGTCACTTGATTTTTTAAAGGCAGTATCTGAATTTAAATATGAATACAGAGATTAAGATGTAGTGAAATTATTTAAATTAAAAATTAAGATTGGAATTCATTATGGATAAGTAATAGCAGGAGTGATAGGATATCATAAACCATAATTTTCATTAATAGGAGATACAGTGAATACTGCATCAAGAATGTGTTCAACTGGAGATGTAGGTAGAATAACAATATCAAATGAAGCTTATGATAGAGTAAAAGATACTGAATTTCTATTTACTACTAGAGAAGTAGAAGCTAAAGGAAAAGGTAAACTTACTGTTCATTAAGTTACTCAAAGGAAATTACAAATAAAAAAACATCAATCTTAAGTTAGATTTTATGAGGGTTAGAAAAATGGAAGATAACTCACTTTTAGAACTCATAAAACAAGTAATCATCTTAGAAATACTTAATTAAAATAAACATACAAAGATATATCTCCTCCATCTTCAGGAAATGATCCTAAAGAATATGGTCGTAGATCTAAACTTGTGAATAATCCTATGCAAGGTTCCCAATTAATTAAACTCGCAAGAAAAAACAAAGGAGAACCAACTAGAGGAATTAAAAAAGGCACTGTTAAAGAAGATTATACTTCAGTAAGTGAAACTGTATGGTAAGGTAGAGCTAAGAGTTAAATAATTCAGAAAACTGATTATAATACAAATGATTGGGAAGAAACAAAAGAAGATGAAATATAAATGAAATAAGTAGAAAAAGATCCTGAAAACAGAATTATTGGAGTATCTGATAATGATATTGATGGATCTGAAATGGATGTTAAAATTGAAAGGGTCAAAAAAGTTAAAGATTTAGAAATACTTAAATATAAAAAATTAACACTTGAATATGAAAAATGCAATGAACGTATTATTGTTATGCAATTTGAATAATATTATTAAGAAGTTAGATCAGCATTAAAAGATATCTTTTATCCTATGACTATTGTCTATACTTTATTTAAAGCTTAAATTTAATTAATAGATTCAGGATAAGATGGATTAACTATTTATATTGTTAGAATGTTTTTAAGTCTATATTTAATAATATTATATTTTATAACAAGTAGATTAAAGAAATATAATATGCATAATCTAGATTTGGCATTAACTGGCCTCTATTATGTAAGTGCCTTTTTAACAATGTTTTTTGTTACATTTAATAATTAATAAAGATTTCTTATTTCTGATAATGCTGAAGCCTATTTCTTTGCATTTTCAGCTGTTAATTAATAATCATTAAAATTCAAGTATATGTTTTTCTATATCCTATTATAATAAGCAGCATGGTTTGTTTAACTACTTCTTCATGAACATAACAATTTATTAGTTTTCATAGTTTTATCCACAATTATCTTAGTTATTGTTTCACATAATAATTTTGAATTGACTATTAAAAACTTTAATAGTGCTGCCAATGAAAATTTGAAAAAAGAATAAAGAGATTCATTACTCACTAATTTATTACCTTCACATATTTTAACAAGGTTCTATTAGAATAGCAAAATCAAATTAGAATTATCAGATGTTTTAATAGATGCTACACTTTTATTTGCTGATATTAGTGGATTTACTGCTTATTCTGCTAAAGTATCAGCAGAGTAAGTTGTTAAAATGTTAAGAGAACTTATGACTTCCTTTGATAAAGAATGCTTATAATAAAATGTCTATAAAGTTTATACAATTGGAGATTGTTATGTAGTTTTAGGAATAAATGATATGGAATAAAGACATCCTGGTTAAGAAGCTAAAAATGTACTAGAAATGGGATTAGAAATGGTTGAAATTATTAAAAGAGTTAGAAAGGAAATCAATTTCAAAGACTTAAATATGAGAATTGGAATACATACAGTAATTTATTTTTATATAAATCTTAGGGTTAATTTTATGGTGGAATTATTGGAACAGATATAGTTAGATATGATATTTTTGGTATTGATGCTGTTATTGCCAATAAAATGGAATCTTAAGGAGAAGCAGGAAAAGTTATGGTAAGTGAAGATACAAGAAGACTTATTAATATACATTTCCCTGGAGAATATACTTTCACTGGCAATAAAGAAGTAGATATCCCTGTTGCTAAAAAAAAGGTTTAAGCTTATTTTGCAACCAAAACTGATACTTTAAATCGTCAAGACAATTCCAGATATATTTGATCTTTTCATATTTTTCTATTTATTTTCATCAAAATTAACAGAATATAAAAATACTACAAAATAAATTCTTGATTATTTAAACAAATAAATAATAAATCACTTTTTGGCAGTTCCATCTATTTAAGATAACATCTAAGCCATTAATTTTTTAACTTCCATTGTTATTTTCATCATTAATAATGATTATTATCTTGTATATTCCATAGATGCTTGCATTGAAGTTGAAATATATTCTATAAACTCGTATAATTATTGACTTTATTTTACAGAGCTATTTTTATTTGTAATTATTATTACGCATATAATTCATCTTTATTTACTTTTTGCTATCCCTTAAAAATTTACTACATAAACTTATTAATGTCTTAATCACTCAATCTTTTATTTAAATTGGAAGGTTTGTTTTCTCCCTTACAAATCAACACCTTAGAGATTCCTCTAAATAAACAATCAATAAAAAAGAAAAATTCATCTGAAGTTATATGATTTGTTTTATCTGAACCAAAAATCACAGCAATATCTATTCATATTAAAATCTATATTACTATAAAATATTTAACTAATTTCTCCTGTTGACAGAAGAAGCATAACTGAAAATAATTCTGTAGCATCAATTCTTCCTATTCCTCTGGAATCAAATTATTAAAATACTGTGGCCAAAGCTTACTTTTTATTTGAGATTGAATCCATAGCTTAAGATGAATCAAAAAATAATGGTAATGGAGCTTAGTTCTTTTTTGTCAATTTCTATAATATTGATTTTAATGTCTCTTAAGTCCCTGATTTTATTATTATATCTTAATACATCCTCCACAAAGTTCTTCTAACGCAGGTAACAAACATTATTGCGCTCTTAAGTTATTAAAGTATTATTATCTAAATTATGAAAAGGGAGTAGTTTCAAACTTTTAATACATAAATTTAATAAATTAATGTGTTTAAATCTAATTTTGTAAATATAACAAAAAAAAAGAAAATAAACTTTCATATTACTTACACTCATATTATTTCTCTGATTTATAAAATTCTATATCATTTTTGTTATTCTTTTAGGTTCATCATGCTCAAGAAAAAAATGGAATATCAAGCTTTTTCTCTCATTATATAAGTCTAAAATATAATTTTTGAATGTTACTTCTATTATAAATAAGATTTTATTTGAATATATCAACTTGTAATTCATATTATTAAGGTATAAATAATAATACAAAGAAAAAAAAATAAGAATTAAAACGATTAGAATGGTGAAAAGATAACAATAGGATACCTAAATAATAAAATTATCTTTAATTTTTGGTATCAATATGGGACGACATCTAAGAATATCACAAGAAGAGTTCAGAAGTTAGCCCTACTTCATATTCTAATCAGAAGCAGCCAATATTGCTCTTATTCTGAGACCTCTGTCAGAATTTATTAAATTTTACTTTAGAGAGATATTTAATAATAGAAAGATTCTTAAGCAATAATGAGATTTTATAAGCAAATTACCTGAGTGTCGATAAAATAACAGACACTCTTCAAATCGATAGGAGACAAGTGAATATAATAAAGTAACTAAGATGAACTTTTTCTTAGGTTTTAAAACAGGGGATTTGGAAACCCTTTCAAGGTAANAAAATCTATATTACTATAAAATATTTAACTAATTTCTCCTGTTGACAGAAGAAGCATAACTGAAAATAATTCTGTAGCATCAATTCTTCCTATTCCTCTGGAATCAAATTATTAAAATACTGTGGCCAAAGCTTACTTTTTATTTGAGATTGAATCCATAGCTTAAGATGAATCAAAAAATAATGGTAATGGAGCTTAGTTCTTTTTTGTCAATTTCTATAATATTGATTTTAATGTCTCTTAAGTCCCTGATTTTATTATTATATCTTAATACATCCTCCACAAAGTTCTTCTAACGCAGGTAACAAACATTATTGCGCTCTTAAGTTATTAAAGTATTATTATCTAAATTATGAAAAGGGAGTAGTTTCAAACTTTTAATACATAAATTTAATAAATTAATGTGTTTAAATCTAATTTTGTAAATATAACAAAAAAAAAGAAAATAAACTTTCATATTACTTACACTCATATTATTTCTCTGATTTATAAAATTCTATATCATTTTTGTTATTCTTTTAGGTTCATCATGCTCAAGAAAAAAATGGAATATCAAGCTTTTTCTCTCATTATATAAGTCTAAAATATAATTTTTGAATGTTACTTCTATTATAAATAAGATTTTATTTGAATATATCAACTTGTAATTCATATTATTAAGGTATAAATAATAATACAAAGAAAAAAAAATAAGAATTAAAACGATTAGAATGGTGAAAAGATAACAATAGGATACCTAAATAATAAAATTATCTTTAATTTTTGGTATCAATATGGGACGACATCTAAGAATATCACAAGAAGAGTTCAGAAGTTAGCCCTACTTCATATTCTAATCAGAAGCAGCCAATATTGCTCTTATTCTGAGACCTCTGTCAGAATTTATTAAATTTTACTTTAGAGAGATATTTAATAATAGAAAGATTCTTAAGCAATAATGAGATTTTATAAGCAAATTACCTGAGTGTCGATAAAATAACAGACACTCTTCAAATCGATAGGAGACAAGTGAATATAATAAAGTAACTAAGATGAACTTTTTCTTAGGTTTTAAAACAGGGGATTTGGAAACCCTTTCAAGGTAATTTACTTGAAAAACAAAAAATCTTTGGATTTGATAAATATTACATAAGAAAAAAATATATCTAAATTTTTCTTCAGAACATATTATGATAATTAAGTTTTTAACAGTGATGTAAAATCACTATTTTAAGAAAAAAAAACTAATATTTGTTGCTGAATTTAATTATTGACTTTACTTAAAAGTTTTAATTACATAAAAGATAAATTCTTGAGCCTCAACCTATATAAAAAGAATATCTGTAATAATAAATTATTATTATTTTCTATTTAAAGATGTCAATCAATAAATATTGAATATGTGGGCTAAATGATAAATATCAAGATTTTCATATCGCTTTTATCTAATAATAGAAATCCAGTCAAAACTATTATTAGGCATAAAAATAAAAATAATGATATATGAACATAAGCATTATTCCATCTTTTAGAAAATTTTAAATTCCAATTAGCTTTATATTAATTCTTGAATCAAAGTAATCTAAAAGTTTCATGTTTTAGAAATATTGCAATAATAGTTTAAAATAAAAAAATCAATATTTATTACAACATTTTTTCAAACTTAAACAATCTTTTAAGAATAAATTTAACTTTAACATTAAATATTTTGCTAAATAGTATTTCTTTCTATTCTTTGTTAAATAATATTCATTCAAATAAATTCTTTATTAATATTAATCATAAATTTGGAATTTTTGGTCCTTGATAACCATATTTAACCCAAGGTGGCACTTAAGGTTTACTAAAGGCTTCAGAATTAATAAGAATGTATCCCAATGTAGACATTACCGTCGCTAAAATTAAAAGTAAAAATAAAGAAGGCAAATAATAAACATATTTCTAATCTGGAAAATAGTAGTATGAATAATGATCTTCAGGTAGAAAAGGCTTATATATGAAAAATTTTTACTTTAAGTAATAACCATGAACAATAATATATATATGATCCAACAATTAAGACTAATGCAAGCAATCCTAAAATTCTCATAATATAAATTAAAAAATAATGAAGATTATTTATTTCAATCAGATAATTTATCAAATGTATTATAATAATAAAGAGACTTGAAGAGTGCCTTAAGATTGTATTCGTTTAATCTAAATTGATTTCAAATTCGCAAAATTATAAAAATCATTTTAATTCTTCGAATGTTCGTTACAATCTTTCATGATTAATAACTATAAACTTTTGAGGTTCATTTTATGTATTTTAAGTTAATGTTTTTTTGCTTACAGTATTAGTATGTTAATTCTCTATTTAAAGAGGACGATTTCCATTGACCTCTAATTAATTTCTTTTTTCAATTAAATAATTTAATAAAGTATTAATGTTCATTTTTCTAATGTCTCCATTACTTTCCTACTCTAAATTGTTTTTAATACTTATTATGCATATTTTAACATAAGTTTAATTACATCTTCTTAGCCTCTTTTATACTCTGAAATACAATATTAGCAACACTCTTACATAAACTCTTGTAAATCTTTTCTTGTTATATCATATTAAGCATTTAATTACGGGTCCATAGTTTATAAGATGTAAATTAACTAATATAATTAAAAAAAAAATTAGAATTTTTTACAGAAGAATTATTAAAAAAATTAGAACTTTAAGTATCATCTTATATTTAAACTATTCAAATATTACTAATAAATTATTCTAATATTTAATTAGAAGGAAGATACTATTTATTAAGGAAAAAAGAAAATCTTAGTTTTTTTCCTAAAAATAATTAATTAAAATACTTTATTTTCAATTTTATTTTTTCAAGAATTTCTATTCATAATTGTTGCTTAAATAGTAATAAGAAATTATGAAATTAATAAAATTAATTAAATTTTATAATTATTTATTGTTACCCTTTTAATCAAGATTAATTAATAAAAATAGTTCATTTTAAATACAAATAATATCAATTGAGTTCAATAGAATTGCAAAATTCAATTGATTTTGTGATCAACAGTGGGGTTTATTTAATACATTTCAATTTTTTTTTTTAACTGTTTATTGTTCCAGCTTATTTAAAATGTCTTAATATAAATAACATATTAAAGATCTGCTATGAGATTGAAATTTGAAAGTATATTGAAAATATAATTGTTAAATTTGATGAAGTAGTCAGTTCAGCAGAAAAACGATGAATATTTCAGATATTTAATGTTCTAAGTCAATCTCAATTCGATAATTTATATAAAAACCTACTCAATAATTAATGGATTCAATTGACTATACAGAAGCAAAATTCAAATTTTTAGGAATAAGAAAACACTTTTTTAAAGATGTTACTTATCATATAACAGTTTTCGATGAGATCGTTATTATGGGAATAGTAGAGATTGTAATATTAAAATTTAGACTGCTGATTGCCAAAATCCTAAATACAGAATTAAACTGTCTCTTGATACAAAGATAAACTGGGAGATACGTAAAAGTAAAAAGGAATTGGAGAGTTTTGAATTTCTATATTAAAATAAAAAGAAGGCTGTCTATGCACAAGCAAAGGATTTGTTAAAGTATTTTTAGTATCATAATTGATTAGATTTAAGTAACTTTTAGCAGGAAAAGTATTATATGAAGGAATAGGAGATTTATATTAACCTTTATTTTAGGTTGGTAAAGGAAGTTCAGCAAAAGTATTATTATCAATAAGATATTAAGGTGTACAGTGCAAGAAATATTTTAGATTAAGGAGTTTATGCAGTAAAAGCAATAGAAAAATCATTTTTGAAGCTTACAGAAAATGGAAATGGAATTGTAATCATATTATATTACATTAGTAAGCATTTTAATCAGAAATACAAATTCTAAGAACATTGTCATAATATTAACATAATTTCTTGGTTTTGAGTGAAATTTATGAGGGAGATAGCACATTTTATGTTGTCACTTCATATTTAGAAGGCTTAAATTTAAGTGGAGAATTAGAAAAAGCAAAGGTAGTTTTAATAGTTAATTATTAGACTCTTCCTTAGAAAAGACTACCAATATAGAGTATAAGAATTATTATGAAAAAGATGCTAACAAATTTATAAATACTTCATTCTCACCGAGTAAGTATGTTGAATATATTATAGATTATACATAGAGACTTAAAACCTGATAATTTGATGTTTGCAAGAAAAAATGACTATTCATCATTAATTTTAGTTGACTTTGGACTTGCAACTTCAGAACTATAAGATAAGTATTCAAATTAATTTATAAAAGATATTTATTTCCAAAATGTGGTACACCAGGTTATGTAGCTCCTGAAGTTTTAAATACAAGGGGTGATTCAAAATATAATTGTAAAGTTGATATATTTTCTGCTGGATGCATATTTTATAAATTAATAACTGGCCATAGTCTATTTTTAGGAGCTAATTTTGATGAAGTTTTGAGATCAAATAGACATTGTCATCTTGATTTAGATTTACCTATTGATGGAAATTATATTACAGATTAATCATTAGTATGTTTAGTTTAAAATATGCTAGGATTTATTAAAAAAGATGTTGAATAAAAATTCAAAGAATAGAATTACAGCTATTCAAGCATTATAACATCCTTTTATAGATTCAAATAGTGAGTTTAGTACATAAGTAATATAAGTTACTGGTTAATAAGTCATAAAAAATGCTATTTATTAATTAAATTTAGCTGAACTTGAATCTAAATATGATAGTTAAAATGAGATAGTGGATGAATAAAATTGTAAAATTAATGATCTAAAGAAATATTCTATTTTAAATGAAAGTTATTAATAGATGTCTATGTCTGCTAAAAGAAGTAGTGGATAGTTCTCAGGTACATTCTATTAGAAAGATCCATTATCAGCTGTACGTACAATAAAATTACACACAGAAACATCATAGTAACTTAAAAATAGTAGTCATCACTCATAACATTCAGCTTCTTAATTTTGATTCTTTAATCTTTTTGATATTAAAAATATATTATTAAATCATTTATTAGACAAAGATTTTTGGGATCCTACACTTTTCTAACTTTGTATTTCTTCTTAAGCAGCAGGCAATGTAGTATAATCTCCTTTAACAGCCAAAATATATGCTGAAGCAGAAGCTTGCTATGAGATTCTTCTTATCATTTTTCTATAATCTTATTTTGCATTAGGATCTTTGTTATCTATTGATTTAAATGATTCTGTTGAAATTGGTTATACAAATTTATTAATTGTTGCTTATGCTTTTTCAGTAGAAGTAGTTAAAGTAGGCACAATCACTAAGAATATTCATGTATATTATACTAGATTAACTTTATTTGTTTCCTCTTGCAAATTATGATTATTATGATTGTTTCTTTTGTAATTCAAATTACAATTCATCATTGCATATCTATATTCTTTGAATTTTTTATTACAGTGTTTCTATTTAATCTTATAATTCTTAAATTTGTTAATCCTTTTGAGCTATCTCATCCTAAAGCTTTTGAATTTGATCTGTATCTTCATGGATTGATGAATATAATGTTGTGCTACATGAAATTTTTGAATCACATAATTTTGTTTCACCTTCTCGAAAGTCTCTAAGTACTCCTAAAAGAAGATCTCTTCTCTTTTTTAAAATGGATCCTCTTTTATCAATTAGTTAGTTTTAAGTTTCTAGTTTAGAAATTAATCCCTAAAGATCATCTTAATATGTTTCTTGGATTACACCTAATTAATGGGCCATAAAGTAAATAAAATTTAATTAGAGAATAATTTAGAAAATTGAGATTTTTTAATATTAATTGCTTCAAAATTTATATATTCGTTAGTTATTCTATCTACATTTAGAATTAATATATAATTTATATCTATAAACTCTCTAATCAATCTTTATTTAGCAAATTTATCAAAATAAATAATTGAACTAAAATAAGTTTACATAATTTTCTTATCTGATTTTAATATATTTTAAAATTATTCTTTATATAATGTGAGGAAGTGGATAATTTATTGGTTTTGCTAGGATTTAATTAATTTTTTAAGTTTATTTAAATAATTTAAGGGAATTGAATTTTTTTAACACTTTAATTTTTAAGATAGTGATAAATGAGAGAAATAATTATAATAAAAATAAATAATAGAGATATTTGAAATTTATTGGAATATTAATGTTTTAGAATGTTTAATTCATATAAGTATAAATAAATTCAACTTCATACATTAAAACATTAAATAACTAAATAGAATATTCAATAATATTTCAAGGAATCATAAATGAAAATTTTTCAATAATTAAATTAAATATGAAAATACTCTCATTATTAGCCTTGCTTTGTCTTATAAATACAATAAATGCAACTTGTGAACTTGTTAATGGTCAATGCCCAGCTGGTTGTAATTAAGTTTAAGGAGTATGTTATCCTGAGAACTGCTAAGAATTTACAGATAAATTAGGTGACTCTACAACAAACCCATTTAAAGGTACAACAAGTTATATTGATGGCACTGTTGATTTGAATATAACTATAACTTATATAGATCCTAAATTTACTGATACAACATTAAAAGGGATTGCTAAAGGAGAAAATGAATAATCGTGCATATCTTTGAAACTGTTTAAATACCAAAATAATTAAAATCTTGTAAGAGAGGAATCATTATACAAATTAAATTACATAAATGATGGTTCAAGCACAAGAGCATTCTAATTCACAATTCCAAGCAAAGATTTTGTAAAAGAATTGTAATTATCAGAAGATGAAAATAAATTTTAATTTTATGGATATTACAGTTTAGATTTCTTAATTGGAACATTATTACAAAGAGTTCTCTATTTTGATTTTATTGCTGGAGTAGAAAGAACAACAACAAAAAATATTGAAACTAATTTTGGAAGTTTGTCTTCAAAATAGACGCTTAATTGTAATGGAGATTGTATTACTACAGCTACTAGTTCTCTGTAATTCTGCTCTGATTAAGAATGTACATAAACAACAGATAAAATGGATTTATATTTGAATGATCAAGTATGGTTAAAACATACATTAACGAAGTAAGGAACATCTGGCTTTTATTTAACTAATCCTGTAATCTATTTTACAGGAGATAAGTTATTTAAAAAAGCAACTATAAAAGAAAAAAAGCTTAATTAAAAAGGATATGCTTTATATTTGATTAATGTAGAAATTGCTTGGACTCCTGTAACAATAGCTGCAAATGCAACTCTTTCTTCAACAGGAGCAAGAATTCTTGGAGAATCCTCTAGATTATTAGATGAAGCTTAATCATAAACTATTGGAGCTACTTCAGAAATAGATTGTGTTAAAAATAAAGATACAAAAGAATGCATTGTATGCGACTAAACATAATCTGTTAATAATTCTGATGAACCATAAGAAGATGGATGCCCATTAGCAGGATCTATTTTGATGATTGGAATTATGATTTTCATGAATTTATTAATATGATCATCCATTTATTAATTTATAAATATATTATTATTCTATTTGAAATATTTCAAAACTTCAAAAGAGGAAATAAATGTAATATTTTAATTAATATATAAATATATCAGATAGATTAGTTTATTATTTTTAAACATTTTATGATATTATGTAATGGAGATTGCTTTTACTAATTCCATAATCCATTCTTTGTTTAAAATTCAAGTGCATTTTATGCTAATTCTAATGCTTTCAAAAATAAAGTCTTATTAATCTATGAGATATCTGTTGCATTTCCTATAAATTCACTTACTGTTATTCTGTATTGATCAGCCCACAATGCCAAAATTTAATATAGATTTGCAGCATTCTCAATACAAAATTTTAGATTTAGATATTCATTCTATGAGATTTCTAGTAATTCTATCAATGGATTTAAAAACACTCTAATTTTTTAATTGCTAACATATGATTCTAATTTAGTTTAACCTGTAATCCAAGAGATCAAAAGTGTAATAATCTATTACAAATCTTTCATTCCTTATTCATAAAGGTCTAAATAAAATTAATTTAGTGGCTACTACCCTCTCTATGGTCTTGCCAATTAATCCTATTATAGGAAATCTCTAATTTATTATTCATTCCATAAAAAGAAATCTCTATTTCTAGAATCCATTACTATAAATTAAGTTCCTTATATATTCTTATGAGCTACAAAACAAATCCAATGATTTGTTACTCCTAACATATATGTTTGTATTAATTCTTCATTCTTTGAAGATTGGAAATCCTTGAATTAATCAAATTTTCTAAGTTAAGATTTTATTATTAATACTTTTAAAGAACTAATCTCTCATTATATCCATTTACTATATTGCCATATTAAAAAAAAATAGTATCGTTTGTAACTGTATATTTGATGTCTTAAATTATTTCATTCTAAAATGTTGTTTTAAAAAGAGGTTTAGCATGTAAACAACTTTTCAAATAAGTCCTTTCAAAATCACCATTTTCTATATCAGAATCTCTCCATGGCCATGTTGTTGAATCCATTTAGTATTTACTACGATATTACTTTAAGAATTCTTATGTTCTTTTGACATAAGTCCAAAATGCTGCTATATCATAAAATTAAGGTGGAATCCTATAAATAATAGAATTATATTCATACTTATATTTAATACTTTATACACATTGTATTAAATTATATGTAGCATGATATCCACATAAATTAGGAACATTTTATTTATGTACTAAAATATGATAAAAATGCTATTTCATTGCAATATATTCGTTTTATAATTCAACCACTCTAATTATATTTTGGGTTATTGAATTATTTGGTTCATTTTTGTAATACTGCTTCAACAATTAATTCTTTTTATCTTTCTAAGTATTTGAATTCATGTAATCAATAAAATCATGATGTCTTTGAATCTCTGATACTATTTTCAAAATAATTTCTTTTGCTGGATGCAAGTTTTCCATTAAATAAAATAATCATTCCTACTTAACTATTAAATGTATTTTACTTTATCAGATTTCATTAGAATATGATTAGGAATTATTAAAAATAATAATCATTTATCTACAGACATTCTTTCTACAATTAGTTAATCTGTGAAATACTTTGATATATATATATGTTTGTAAATTTTATTATTAATACAATATAAATGTTAATTTATCTAATTTTGATACCTTTTTATCTTACATAAGCAAATTGGAATATTCCAATCCAATATTCTACATTATGCTCTTGCAAATAGATAACTGAAACTACCTTATGCAGTTCAAGTCAATTTTGTCAAGTTGACATGGATTTTTAATGCACTGATGTACTTAATTACAATTGTTCTTATTTTAATGAATAGACTGTTCTATATTTATGTTCAGAATTAGATAGATGTTATTTAAACAATGAACAATGTGTAGAATTGAATAATTGCACAGAATTATCTGGTTAAACAAATCAGCAATGCTATTAATAATCCAAAAGGTGTGGAACATCTTCTGGCAATTCTTGTGAATTAACATAATGTTCAAGTTATTCAAATGAAATCGATTGTAATGATTCTTTGTATAATATACGTTTTGATAATGTTGGTTATGGAAGTGTTTGTTATTGGAATAACAACAATTCGTCATGTGAAAATTTACTATGCGAAAATGTATCAGCATAATAATGTTAATAATATACAAATTTATGTTTACTTGTAAATAATTTATGTACATGGGCAACTTGTTAAAATTTACCATTTAACAGTTGCACGTATGTATGGGAAGGGGCACAAAGAAATGCAATATAGCCCTGTGTATTGATAAATGGACTTTGTTAAAATGCAAATAGCCCAAGTTAGTTAAATAGTTTAGAATGTACATAAAATACACTATATACATATATATATACACCTGAAAAAATTTGTTAGAAATGCCAATATTCAAATTACCTTTAACTACAACTATTATTGTTGATCATTTTATATTATTGATATTATTAAACTCAAATTGGCAAGAATTATTTCAAATACATTCAGGATCTATCAAATTAAAGTATTTTTCACTCCCTTATTTGCTTTCATCTATAATGTGCGAATATAGGTTATCTTTCGATAAACTGAATTCTTAATCAATCTATGTATCATCTAATAATTAATTAAATTGTTTTCCAAATTGATTTCTAAAATCGACTTGTCTGATTCTAATTCCAGTGTATTAATAGTTCATTAACTCTTCCTCTAAAAATTTTTTAATCCTTTTATATTTAGATTTCAAATATGCAAATGCAATTTCCATTGTATCTTCAATCATTTTATAGTTTCTTTTAATCCTATCAGGTGTTACACTTAATATTTAAGGGTTATAATTGATTTCCAATAGCCATATATCTAAATCATTATCAAGTAGAAAATCAATTGCCAAAAATTCACAAAATCTAGAATCTTAATAAAATGCGTATTATCCACTTCTTATTGTATGAATTATTTTAACATAAATTCTTGGATAAAGATATTCTTAAAGCCAATTTTAATTCTTAGGTATTCTACCTTATTCTTTTAATAATTCTTCAATTCCTTCTAAATTCCAATCAATAAACATTTCTTCATCTTCTTCTTAATTTTCTGCACCATTACTTTAATTCTTATGACTTTTCTCTGTTATTGCAGTATTACATATATGAGCAGGTATTGATTCTGATAATGGATTATATTCATTTGCACATCTTTTAATTAAAGCTCTTTTATACATATATAATTATAAAGGCTTACTGCTTGCTAAATATATGTACATTCTAAATTCAATTTTATGTCCTTTATATAAAAATGGTTAATTGATATATTTTTAAGCTACAATTTTTTCACTTACATTTCCACATAACTCACCATTTTAATACACTTCAGTAATATTTTCTATTTGTTTTTAAAATAATAATCTTATCCCTTCTCCTCTATGTTCATCAGTTTTAAGCAAATAATCTGGACCATTGTAAACTCTTGTTTTCTACTAATATTCATCTTAGAGTTTATTCAAGTATTTAAAAAAAGATTAACATTCAGATTTAACATTTAATCTTAATGTATCTGGAACATAAGACGCATTTCCTATACATTATGAACTAGCATTGCGTTTTTTCATATCATAAATGTATTTGGCATAATTATATATTAAACTGTTTTTGCTTGTTAAAGTATATAGTCCAGGTATATGATTTAATTTTTAAAACATACATCCTAAACCTTAACCAAGATGATAATTATCTTATAATCTTGGTTTATAAGTATAAAAATATGATAATTAAGGAGGAATTTTATGTTAAAATTTTGTGGTGGGTTCTTAATAAAGTTTACAATTATGATACTTTGTAAAGGTTAAATGTTTTGAATAGAATCAAACATTCTTGACTTAATTATTTCCCTTTATAAGTTTCCTTTGTCTAATTCTCTCAAAATATATTTATCCTAAAGTAAAATATCTGGATGTAATAATTTCTAGATTAACTCAAATTATTACTAAGGTATCTGATTCGATGCAATAACCTGGTTCTTCAATCATATTAAGGGATGTTTCCTTTCATATTTAAACTATTAATACATTATAGGATTATTTGAATTTGCTATAATTAGTGTGATCCATCATATATGTTTACATTAAGGGCACATAATTTGTTTTTAATTTTTTTGATATCATCAAGTGATAATCATGAATATGAGTAACAATTGTATAGATGAAACAAAAAATAATACTGGCTAAGGCTAATCTATAGGTTATCATTAAAATAATTATTAATAAAAAATCACTTAATTTTTCTTTCCTTTTATTTCTTTGATATTACTTTTTCTTAATGTTGTAAATTTCTCTTGTCAAAATTTTGAAAATTTTGTTATTTTGAATTTTATAAAAATTTCATCAATCTTTAAGATTTTTATTTTTATTATAAAGAATCTATCAATGTTTTCCTACATCTGCTATTATGTTTCTTTCAAAAACACTCATCAAGCTTATTCCATCCATTCTTGTCGATAATGATTTTTATATTAATATTTTTGTAATATAAATCTATCTTTTTTATTCTAATACTTTAAAAAAAAATATATTGTTAATATCAAATTTATCTTTCCAGTCTGAAGTTTCTATAAATTTAAATAATTATCCAACATTTTATTAAAGATTTCTATTATTATACAAAATCTGTATTTAATTTATTCTTCTACAGACAGAATTAATAATATAATGTAATTTTTTAGAAAAAAAGTTATTGTTCATTAGAAATATTTAGGTTTTATTATTTATAGTTTGTTAATTTAATATTCAGACTAGATTTTCTATTTAATTCTTGATTTATTAAAAATTCTATATAATTTTATCAAGAATGGGAAATAATCATGAAAAATTCTTTTCTAAAGAAAAGCGTAAACTCCTCATTTTAGGACTTAATGGAGTTGGGAAATCAAGTAAAATTATAAATTCGATTTAAGCTCTAATCAAAACTCTAAATTAAGGAAATTATCAAGATAAGAAGGAAGATTTATAAATTATAGACATCAAATTAAAAAATATCACTCTATGTGTTTTTGATATGGGAGGAAGTGAAAGATAAAGAATATTTTGGAGATAAAACTTTTATGGAAGTTAAGGAGTGATTTATGTTATAGATGGGAATATTGATATCTAAAAGGCATTATTAGAATTAGAAAAAATATTGATTGACACTGATCTCAAAGACGTACATACCTGATTATTATTAAGACTCCTATTGCAGTTTTTGTTAATAATTATGGAAAAGATAATCCTTTTGACAAGATTTAAGAATTTTTAAAGTAAAATTTATTTTCTTATTTTAAAAAGAAATAAGCCTGGAAAAGTAAATATCTTTAAAGGAAGTACATTAGAATATAAGGACATAATGAGTTGTATAGAGTGGCTTGGCAAAGAAATGAAACCTATTTGAATTATTTATTTATATTATTAATGTTTGAAGATGAGGATGATAATGAAAATAATGTTAATTTAGAAGAGCAAAACTATAGAGATAGAGCTGAAGAAAGAAGAAAAGGTATTAGAGGTGAAGTTAAGAAAGGAGAATATGTAGAATTAGAAGGATTTGAGAAAGATATTAAAATAAATGGATTAGATTATTCTTTGATAGAACAACCTTAATCAAACACTTTAAATAAAATTGAAGATAAGTCTAATTTGATTGCTAAAATTAAAAAAGATTTAACATCTGCCAAAGAAAAAATACCCAAAAAGGCAACACATCCAATGGCAATCAAAATAGAAGCATTTTTATCAAATAAGAATCAAATTACTCCATTAAAAAATACTATGACTTTTATTTATAAATATGACACAGATCCAAATTATGGAATCTCTTTGCCTTAATTTTTTACAAAAAAATATAATTAAGATGGTGATGATCCAATATAAGTTATTTTTGATGAAAAATCTATATAAATGATTAAAGAAAGCATTATCAATACTAATAATTTAACTATTAAGAGATATTAAGAAAGACATAAATTTGATTAAAAAGTACTTATTTAGAGCACTATGGAAGATGAAGAATCAGATGATATTTTTAATGATGCAAAGTAAGTTAATAAACCAAATATTGATGATGTCAATAAAATGCTGTAGGTTGAAATTGAAAATAAAAATTTCGATATAACAGAATACTTATCTAAAAATTAGTTTGATTAAAAAACATACAATTAATTAAAACAAACATAAGAATAAGAAGAAAAAGAGAGAGAAGGTAAATTAACAAAAAATACTTAATAGAGAAACTTAAGAAGCACAAAAAAATGTTGGAAGGATAAGATGATGATTATTATTATGAATGTTACCAGCCTATTGGATTGAGCATAGCTGAGGAAAAAGATCATTAAGCTGAAGTCGAAGCAAAGAAATAAGTTGATCCAAATTTCAAAAATTATGACTTTATTAAAAAGGATTTAAGGAAAAAAAAGAAATATAGGGAAAATTATTAAAAATAATTGGATTAAATTGAAGACGTAAATTTTATTAACTATTTAGATTATTTAAAAAAAGAATAAATGAAATATAATCATGAAAATTTTAATATATTACTAATATCAATTTATAATAAATGTTCCTAAAAAACCAAATAATCTATTATTCTACTTATTTTAGATCATAAAAGATAAGATAGAATATTTGATTAATTAAAATAAGTTCTATGATTAATTAAAAATACCATAAAATTATTATTCTTTGAAGGATTCAAATTATTTGGAAAGAAATTGTTCATATTATTTATAAATTATTAATAAAAGGAGCTTAACCAAGCCAATAAAATAATATGAATTACTTTTTTAGATTGAATTAAATGATAATTATTGTAATTATTATTTTACTTATAATTAAGCAATAATTCTAATTCTTCTTTAAGTAATTATTGTTTATTGATAGTATAAGATAATTAATTAATTAATGAAATTTGAAATCAGAATAAACTATCTAATTGGAAGGGTAATGGTTGGATATCACAATTTTTACATTCATCACAACAACTACATTTAGATGTGCATTTGATTTTTCGTTTTTGACATTCACAATATCCTTTAGAACAACTATGAATTAATTTAGAAGTCATACTCTTATCTTCTGCAATTACAACCTAGATATTCAGATCCAGATTATTTAGAGACAGCTGATTTTGGTTATTTATTTGAGCAATTGTAGCATTCACATTTAAAAGAACATTCTTGATTGTTGGCACTACAGACACAATAATTTTTAATGCATTTTGATTTTCTACATTTACAGACAATATTTTCATCTCTAGAGAGATTAAATAAATCATCATCACTTGGTTTCACTAATTTATTAACAATAACATTATGTTGGTTAAGTTCTATAGAATTTAATAAACCCAAAGTGTAGGTTGAATTTACTAATTTAATAGTTTATTATTACCTTTGTTTTCTTTAGGAGTATTACGTTTGCTTCGACCAAGTATTCCATCTTATCTTATTACTATCTGATCATCATTGAATTCCAATTTCTTAATAATCTTAAATTTTTTGAATTCCTCTTTGAGTTTCTTAGGCGAACTTTGCTTAAAATATGTAATGGGTGATTTGGATAATTGCTATTTTTATGGAGTTTTAACTATATTTTAATTTATATAGAATTACAATCTGTATCATCAAGGTTCATTATAAAATGCTAAATATACTTATAACACAATACTTCCATTTATCCGCCAAAATCAACAATATGAATTAACAATATTATAAATAATATATAATATAAATTATTTCATGTTTATTTAATAACCACCCTCCAGACAACCCTACCTAAAACCAAAATTACCGACCCAATAATAATTCCATCCCAATAATTTTATTTAGCAAGTAAAAACAAATAGAAACCCATTAGCATTTTGCATCTTAGTTTAAGCAATAATTTATTGGTCGAAATTAATTCAAACCTGATTTAATGTCTAGTATCCCTTTTGCTAAATCTATTTAATATGAAATACCTAAATAATAAAATGATTAGCTTTTAAATAATGATTAAGATCCAAAGTAAATTAATTTCATTGTCTTATAGAAAACACTCCTCAGAAATGGTTTAGTTAATTAAAGAAAGTTAAGAGTTAAAAAGAAACATAAGTGAAAAAGATTAAGAAATTTAGAAATGCAAACAAAACATAGAAAGGCTAGAATAATTAATTGATTACTTAGAAAAATAATCAAAAGAAACCTAAAAAGATTGATCAAATTCTAATGAAAAAATTTATATCATATTTTTTATAAATTAGTATAATATTATAACAAGATTAGAGAGTATAAATTATTACATAAAGTTAATGTATTACTTCAATCCTTCAACATTTACTTTTCTTTTTCACGCTATTTAGTTATTATTGCATTTAACCTCAAAACAACTTTTACTTTAAACTAATGTTTTTAGCTATAGCAAATCTTACTATAATACATAATTTAAGATATCTTATTAAAAATCTTTTTTTTTCATTTCACTTTTTTCTTTAATTAGGTAAAAAATAATTATTTTTGATATGTAAGGCTAATGTTATTATAACCTAATAAGCATCATTATTATCGGAAAAATTAATGGATATTTGTTTATTTAAGTAATCATTTGATAATTATTATTGAATACATTATTCTAACTTATTAGAACATAATATTTAATTGTTCGCCTAATAATTTTTTTGAAGAAATACTCAATTATAAATAAATTTATTTTATTATTCTTTGGTAGAGGCAACCAACATATTTTAGTGAAATTTAGATTAAGATTCAAAAAACTAATTAGATTTTTATTATAAATTATATTTTAATTTGAAATATTTATTTATTAATCTAACTAATTAATTTAATTTTTATCCTCAATTATCCAATTAAATTATGCAACAAATATAATGACTTAATTTTTGAAAGAGATTTTAAAAAATAAAAATATCAATGATTATTAATCAAAATAAATCATGCTTTTTTTTTTTTTAATTTTTATTTTAGTAACATATTTTATTTCTAGTTTTTTCAATTTTTTTAATTATCCTCAAATGTTTCCATGATATTATAAGTTGATTATCTAGTTACTTAATTATTTATATTATTTTTAGATAATGCCTTTATGAAACCTTTTTACAAAATAATTTATTTCTTTATTCTTAAAAAGAGAGTTAATTTTTTTGATTTAGAGATTGTAAATTTAGATTTAATTCTGCTTTAAGATAATTTAATAAAGTTTAATCTAAATTATTCTGATGAATCACAATCTAGCATTAGATTTTTAGAAGGAAGCTTAATTAAATAATTTAATTATTTGAAGATTTTCTATTAATTAATGTATAATTTTCATCTTAAGAAAATTAATTCCAAGTGCAGACATGCTAAAACCTTCAGTTTTTTAAAAACTATAGCTTCCATTACAAAGAATAACTAAATTTCCTTTTTTTATTTGAAGGATTTGAAAGGTACTTTTTAATAAATATAATCAACATCTTTGAACCCAATTTTAACTTCATAAAAAATATTAATTTTTTTAATCTATAAGAATTTTTTCTGAAGTTATGGCACCTAATCATTTTCCATTTTATCCAAATGCATGAATCTAGGCAAGGTTTAAATTTATTTAAGTGAAACAAATTTAGTCTTTTTTATACACTTCTCCAATATATGCGATATTAAATTTCTAATTAAGGCAAATAAATGGTAGAAACATCATTTTAATGCCCTAAGGTCTAATTGATTTTGATAGAAAATGTTTTATATGTTTATTTCTTTAGCCTTTTTATGGAAATATATTATTCTAAAAATGATGCTTTCGTTTAGTTATCTTATTAGATTTTTTCCTTTAATTAAGAAACCTAAATTTCCTATACTATTTTACTGCTCTTCTCAATTTAGCTTTCCACTTATATAAGTTTGATAGCATGAATGTTATTTTTTTATTAGAAAGAGAAATTCAAAGTTAACACATCATTTACTTAATTTGGTATACTAATTAAATATGCATATAAAGTTAGCCAAGATAGTGAATCTTACTAAATTAATAGGGCATTAAAAATCAAACCATGTTCATATCAATTTATTGTTCTTTTGTACCTATCTATTTAATCATCTTTCATTAAATATTATGGTAACTATTATTAACAATAAGCCATTTAAATTAACCGTTTTTATAAAGCATCTATTTTTTTTAGAGTGTAAAATAAAATTATCTTGCACATATTTCATCATCTAAATGAATATTTAATGTATTTATCATTTTAAAAACATTCTAAACAAATAATTATAATTCTAACTTTCTTTTTAATTTATCAATTATGATAAAAAATTGAATTATTATTTTTTAAAATTAATATTTTTGTAATGAGACTAACTTTATATCTTCGATTTAATTTTTGATGAACAATTTAGCATTTTGGAAATGATATAATTTCAATTTTATTCTTGTATTAACTTACCTGTTTTTAAGTGCCATTAATTTTCAAATTTCATTTTTTATTATTAATAAAAAATGAATAAATACTTCTTTCTATTATATTTATTACAAATGTGTACCTAAATAAATGACGAAAGCTGAAATTTATTAAACAATAATTAGGAAATAAGAAATTAAAATAAAATTATTTTAATGAAGCATTTCTTTTAAAAAGTGCTTCTTTATTATCCTAACACAAATTAGATAGGAAATCAAAATAAAAGCATTCATGTACCCGAAGCAGGTTTAATACATTATACTACTCCACTACCTGTTTATCAATTTTTTATAAAGGTTGGAATTCTGATGTTGGATTCAATAATTGATGCAGTAATAATATCTCCAATAAGAATAATTTTATTTATTTTAACTAAAAACATAATTTCAATTTAATTTAGATTGGACTTAATTTAAACCATAATGATTTGGACAATAACTTGGCTTTTCACATTTAACTATTTTGAAGTTGGATTTTGGTATCATATAATTAGAGGTTAATCTTAAATCAAACTATACGGAATAATCTAGATTTTAGATTTACTTGATAGGTTGGCTTGTACATAAGGTGATTACATAATAAGACAACTGTATTGGTAAAATGTTTACAAAAATTAATCTGTTATTAATAGATATTTATTCTATTCATTTATTTATATCTTTGCTCATGCATGTTTATTAGGATTATAATTGACTGTTTATAATGTAATATTTAGTTAGAAAGTTTAACTTTTATATCTAGCTTTATTTGTTTTAAGTTTAATCAAACTTAAGGGATCAGTGTTTAAAAAATAAGATGAAAAGTCTTGTATTTCAACAGCTATAAATGATGGAAGAGAATATTTTCAAAAAGCGCTATATATAATATTGATTTCAATGAGTGTAAAATTTACTCCAGTAGACTTTTATTATAAAATTGGATTTTATTTTTTTATAGAGCTTTTAGGTATCAAATACTTATATAATTAGTTGATTCATTTAAATACATATCAATTTTTCATTTAAATAGTGTACCTATTAATGTACTTACTGAATAGACAAAAAGTCTCTCAAATTTTATGTATGCTGTATCGATATAATAAGATAAAATAAAGGAACTCTCATTGATTGATTAAAAAGACTTATGTATAGTTTTGTAGAATGTATGAACGTAAATTAATCCTAGGTTCCACTTGCTTAAGCTAAAATCATAGGAAAATTCAATATTGTAATTTTTCCTTAAGTGATAATCTCTTTGAAAATGTTGGCTTATAATTTTTAAAAGCATACACAATCTTTAGAGTAAGAGGAATATATTTATATCGGGTTCATTATATTAATAATTTTATCCTTTACTAAAATAATAATATTTTTATATCATAGAAACAGCTAACTCTACTTGCATGTAAATAAATTAAAAGATTGAAAAATTAGATTTATAAATATATTTATATGTGAATTCAATATTTTCTAGCTCTATCTTTGTTGGTATTAATTTTAGGTGCAAGTAGTCCAGTCATTTATCTATTTAAATTATTATTTTTAGTATAAGAAGAATTACGTTTTTTTTCTTAAGAAGCTTGTTATGATAACCTAGATTAAAATTGCATAAGTAAAGGAGCTTTAATTGTTTGAAAATTACTTTATTTTGTGTTAGTGGGTAAGTCTGCTGTTTTTAAAATAATAGGTGCTCCCAAGAATTTTTCTTCTTTTATAATTTCTTCTTAAATCCATTCAAATTTATAATCCCATTCAAAGCCTTGTTTTCTAAATGCTTCCTAAAATAATAACAAAGAATAAAATTACTCTAAAAAGATTTCTAAGATAATTATAATCAGGTTTATCTTCAAATTTTAAAGCTCTACAATACTATAAATATTGAGTCAATTCATTGGGATATCCCTTACAAAGTTATTCTGGAGTTGTTTCTTATTTTTTTTCCATAATTTTTTAATATTTATCTTTCTGATTTGCAGCTTTCATATTTTACCATGGTAATTATCCTCTTAGTAAATACATTAACACATAACCAAGAGATTCTAAATCATCTCTTCTAGATTATTCTAAACCAACATGTGTATTTATAGATGCATATCTGGCAGTTCCAGTTAAACTTTTTCCTTCCTTATAAGGGATATGTCCTTCTTTAGTTATATATCTCTTAGCTAAACCAAAATCAACAACATAAAGTCTTGAACTTTTGCTTCCCACTCCAACTAAAAAATTATCTGGTTTAATATCTCTATGTAGAAATTATTTTGAATGAATATATTCAATTCTTTAGATTAATTAATCTGCAAGCATAAGAACTGATTTAAGTGATAGTTTCCTATGATTTTTGTTAAATAATTCTTCTAAGGATGATCCTAAAAGATCCATGACGATGTAATTATAATCACCGTCAGTTCCTTAATCGTGAATTTTTGGAATGCCTTCCTTCGAATTATATAATAAAATTACCTTTATCATATGAATCTTAACCTTAAAGATAATTGTATAGTTTAGCTTCAAATAATATTTAAGGATGTTTGTTATCATTTCTTTCCAATTTCATAGCATATTCAGATTTAGATTAAGATTATACTAAATATATCTCACCAAAAGCTCCAGATCCAATTTTCTTGACTAATTTAAATTAACGCCCAATTGTATTATTAGTAAGGTCTTTTCCTAAAATAGAATCCATATAAAATTAATAATAATGATCTAAAGCTTAGGAATGCAAACCAAATTTCATAAATAAATGGAGAAAATGAAAGGTTTTCTGGTCTCAGCTCGAAATATATCACCCATAAATGACGAAGAGCCAATTAGAAAAACATAAACTCCTTTGATTGGCTAATAAGCATAATCAATATCATTTAGCGATGACGAAATGGAAGATTAAGACTTCAAATAAATAGGAGTAAAATCCACAAATTTCGAAGATGAATTTATACTTGGAAAAAAACTAGGTGAAGGTACTAATGGTATAGTTAGAATTTGTTGGAAAAAAGACAATCCTTAATAATTATTTGCTGTCAAAATTATATAGACTCCAGATGAAGAACAATTAGATATTATTAGATAGACATTTATCAATTCTACAATAATCAAAAGTCCTTATATTGCAAAAAGCTATAAATTATATATTGACATTAATGTAATATATATGGTAATGGAATACGTGCCATTTCAGGATTTATAATCGTTATTATAGAAAAGAATAAAATTGAAAGAATAAGAAGTTTAAAGAATAGCATGTTCTTTATTAAAGAGCATTAGATGTCTCCACAGTTGTGGTATTTGTCATAGAGATATTAAACCAGATAATGTGCTTATAAATCCAAAGTATAATAATTGTTATTTATAGCGATTACACAGTCAAATTGATAGACTTCGGAGTTTCAAGAAGATTTGTTAGTTTCAACAATAGTACATTTAGATATATGAGAAATCAAATGTTAACAGTTACTGGTAACCTACATTATCGAGCACCAGAAATAATGAATAGTCAAATCTATGGCTATAATCAGTAGGTTGATATATGGGCAATTGGAGTTATTATTTATCAATCTTTAACAGGAGTATTGCCATTCACTTCAGATAATACTGCTGAAATAATTGCTTTGTTGGCCAATAGGTATTCTATTTTTATACACTCTACAGTTAATCAATCAATGAGGCATTCCAAAAACAATAATTTTTGTCCCTTTCCTCTAGTTGCAGAGACTTAATCAAAAGACTAATGATGTGGAATCCTTTGAAAAGATTAACCGCCTCAGAAGCACTAAAACACATATGGATACCAAATATGTAAACTCCTAGAAAGCCCCTTACAAAAAAAATTACAAAAGATGATATGGATACTAGTAAAATAAGTTAAAATAGTGATCTTCTTAATAAGTCACTAATTAATAGCGCAACTGTTTTGAATTTTGAATTATAGAACACGCTTATTAAAAGTAAATAAATTGACTCTATCATGGAAAATTAAGAAATCACTCGATCTTAAAAGAGTCTTGGATTCTCAATTAAAATCAAAAGAGAAAAAGAAATTTAAGATTTTAAAACTAAATTAAGATAATTTAAATTAGATACTTCAACAAAAATTTATAAGAGGAATAATTCAAATTAGAATAATACTATCTAATTGGTTGGTGCAGTAATTGATGATAAAATGAACAATTCAATTAAACTGGATGATGAAGACGATATTTTTGGAATCAAAGTATGTGGAAGTCATCACTCTCTAACACAAATTGATGAACCTGTTTAAAATGAGTAATAAACACAACATAACAAGTTGGATCCTACATTATTGTAGTAGCTCTTAGAATTTAATTTGTGATTTAATATATAAATAATGAACTCTTCTAAAACTTCAAGAACTGTCAAAGCCATGCATTTATTCCATTTAGAGTAAAGGAATTCAAATCTTTAACATTATAATATTCCTACTTGTAGAGAAACTATTCCTAGTATCTTAAAACCTTTAAGATTATCTCCAACTAAATAATCATTACCAACATCTCGATTCAATTTAGAAAATAATCAAAGTAAATTATCAGTCGAAAGGAAGATATCATAACTTAGAAAAGAACTACAAATTGCAAAAAATATAAAACAGAAATAATTGTTTCAAAGCAATAAATTAATAAACAACAATAATTTCTCTACTCTTGAGATATAACTAGATAAACAACCAAAACTAATGAAATATTTCCAAAAAAAATCTAATTCTAAAATTAAACTTTTCGAAATCCCTATCACTATTCAAGAAAGATAAATTTAATAATCAACTTAATCAACTTAAGTTACTAAAATTCCAATATTAAAATTATAANATCAGTAGGTTGATATATGGGCAATTGGAGTTATTATTTATCAATCTTTAACAGGAGTATTGCCATTCACTTCAGATAATACTGCTGAAATAATTGCTTTGTTGGCCAATAGGTATTCTATTTTTATACACTCTACAGTTAATCAATCAATGAGGCATTCCAAAAACAATAATTTTTGTCCCTTTCCTCTAGTTGCAGAGACTTAATCAAAAGACTAATGATGTGGAATCCTTTGAAAAGATTAACCGCCTCAGAAGCACTAAAACACATATGGATACCAAATATGTAAACTCCTAGAAAGCCCCTTACAAAAAAAATTACAAAAGATGATATGGATACTAGTAAAATAAGTTAAAATAGTGATCTTCTTAATAAGTCACTAATTAATAGCGCAACTGTTTTGAATTTTGAATTATAGAACACGCTTATTAAAAGTAAATAAATTGACTCTATCATGGAAAATTAAGAAATCACTCGATCTTAAAAGAGTCTTGGATTCTCAATTAAAATCAAAAGAGAAAAAGAAATTTAAGATTTTAAAACTAAATTAAGATAATTTAAATTAGATACTTCAACAAAAATTTATAAGAGGAATAATTCAAATTAGAATAATACTATCTAATTGGTTGGTGCAGTAATTGATGATAAAATGAACAATTCAATTAAACTGGATGATGAAGACGATATTTTTGGAATCAAAGTATGTGGAAGTCATCACTCTCTAACACAAATTGATGAACCTGTTTAAAATGAGTAATAAACACAACATAACAAGTTGGATCCTACATTATTGTAGTAGCTCTTAGAATTTAATTTGTGATTTAATATATAAATAATGAACTCTTCTAAAACTTCAAGAACTGTCAAAGCCATGCATTTATTCCATTTAGAGTAAAGGAATTCAAATCTTTAACATTATAATATTCCTACTTGTAGAGAAACTATTCCTAGTATCTTAAAACCTTTAAGATTATCTCCAACTAAATAATCATTACCAACATCTCGATTCAATTTAGAAAATAATCAAAGTAAATTATCAGTCGAAAGGAAGATATCATAACTTAGAAAAGAACTACAAATTGCAAAAAATATAAAACAGAAATAATTGTTTCAAAGCAATAAATTAATAAACAACAATAATTTCTCTACTCTTGAGATATAACTAGATAAACAACCAAAACTAATGAAATATTTCCAAAAAAAATCTAATTCTAAAATTAAACTTTTCGAAATCCCTATCACTATTCAAGAAAGATAAATTTAATAATCAACTTAATCAACTTAAGTTACTAAAATTCCAATATTAAAATTATAAGAAAAATAAAATTTAACTTTAGTGGATGGAATCAATGAAAATTAAGTGATAGAATTTTTAGATAAAGATTTTGAATAGGAAACAGAAAATCCCCGTAAGTATGAATTATAATTATTTGATTTATAGTAGATCAACTTAAAGGATCAGATCACTTAGATAATTGGATTCTTATCAATTGAATAAACCATAATTCCAAAACAGAATCAACCTAGCAACAGATTTAGTTAGTTAATATAATTTAGAAAATTAGAACTTAAAGGTTATGGAAAATAAATGAATGGGATAAATTTGATCAACTCTTAGATTCCAATATTTAAGAGATAAATTAACAATAGCAAGAATTTGAACTATAAGGAGGATGAATAGAAACAACAGGAGAAAGAAAAAATAAAAAGTTAATGATAAAAGAATGTATCATCTGATTTTCGTTAATTGAATAAAATAATACAACAGTATAAATCATCTATTAAACTTCCCAGTGAACCTGATTCACCAAGAATTATTAAAAAATTATAATCATATTAGTTTACTTAGAGAAGTGTCAGTTAAGGAAATATTGAAAAACCAAAAAAATAAGTATGGACTCCATGGCCATAAAATTTTGAAGGTTGGCATGATCCTCAAACAGATGAAGATTTACTACTTTAAGATTTATAATTTTTCTGATATGAATTTTATTTTGACTAAAAAAAATAATAATAATAGATTCTCTACAATAAATTGAAGTTAAAGCTATTTTTCATATTTTTATGAAGATTTCATATTATTTATTCATTATATCATGCAACATGCTTCTCTTTCTTTAGGTGGTTTGATTTCTTCTTTATTTCTCTCACTTTTTGGTTTAATAGGTTCATCTTTAAAATCTTATTTTAATCCGATTCCCTTTGCAGTAACATATTACAATTTAGGATTAATTTTAAATGGACACAAAAGTTATTCCATCAAAGTCAATCTTTGCTTAAGTTTCTCTTAGAATTTCTTGTAATATTAAAATAAAATGGTTACTTCGATTAATCCACTCTTGTATTCCTTCTGTTATTTAATGATATTGATTCTATCTTCAAATGAGAGTCTGACATCAAATCTTAGATTAACAGTTACATTATCTATGTAGGGAGCATCCAAACTTTAATCTTAGTAATTTACTATCAAATAGCATTAAGGTATAGTTGGAAGAGCAAAATGTCTTGGCCTAATTTATTAATAGATGTCAAGAACAGGTATTTTAATTTATGCTAATTCTTTAAAATCTTCACCTAATGTTCTTGCATCTCCTAAATTTTTATCTAATCTCTTCCCCATTACAACAAGTGTTATAGAATCAATAGTATTGTCCAAAGAAATACAAGTAGATCTATTTGAATTCTCTGGATAAAGAGGTTGATAATTTTGATGAATAGTTCCAACTTTATATTTCAGTTTATAAAACTAAGAAATGAATATTTGTTCAATACTTTTTACATTTCGCTAATTTAATTGACTTGATCCACGAAGGAAACGACTAAAGCATTTTCTTAATTATATTCAGTCTAATCTAATTGATTTATTGATTTTTAATACTTGCTTCAATGACTTTTGAAAATTTATCAAAATTAGTAAGTTCATCCTTGAAATAATCAATATTTTTTTGAAAATCAAGGATTTTAAGATGTATCATTTTTGCTTAATCCAATAATTTCTAAACAAAAGTATCAATGGTTGCTTCTGATGCAAACTAATTAAATGAACAATCCTACATTCTCATCATAAACTTAATCTTATCCAATAGTATCACTTATCACCTTCCATAGTATATGTTCTTGGTCTGAATTGATTTCTGGAAAAAACCAAAGTTAATCATCAAATGCCGAATCAGCTTTGTAGCCTTTCTGATCAAAAAACTAAAGAATTTCTTCTTTTTTGGATTGTATAATGTCCTCTGACTGTTTAATGAAGGATGCATTCAATTAATCTGCCATTTTAATAAAATTATTATCGTT